ACTGCAGTAGTAAAAAAGAGGTAAATACTTTACATGATGAAAATAATATTTTACCCCGAACTGAAAAACACACGCTACACATACATTAATGTGCATCTTCTAGTTATTATATATACAAATATAAGATAAATAGAAATTTATCTTGGATCAAAGTGACCAGTTCGACAAAATAATGTTCCATACAAAATACATTCTAGTATGCATCTTAGCCACACTAACAAAGGCCGTCAGAAATAAACATGACAATACATATATGCTTTACAGGCCCATATATTAAAGTTTATAACATGTTGCATGGATTTTTGTTATTCATACACTTGGGTCCTTCCCAAACCTCATAATCACATGCACTGCCAGCATTGACCCTCTGCGAGACATTTCTGCTACTCGACCCAAAAATGATAGCTTCACCGTTTCTCTATTTGTAATTGGTTTTTTGTTCCACCTATTGGGTGTAAACATAAAATTTAGTCACAGGTGTAGTTATTACTGCTTACACTGTTTAAAGAATTGAAGGAATATTTATATTTTGTTTCCAGAACATACACGAAATATTTACCTGAGTCTTGAGTTATTTTTCTTAGGTCAGGAAAAAAAATATTGACTTAGTTTCTAAGGTCCAAAATGATGCATACTTTATAGTTTATTGAAATCGTTAACATAATTAATAAAACTAGGATGCATTTGTGAAGCCATTGAGTAAAATGAGCCTAATAGGTACACAAATATCTTGCACCCCTCAAAAACAAGCAAAAGCCCTTAAGCAAATTTGTCCTTTGCAAGTTTTGGTATTAGGGTGTAACCACCAATGATCCACTTTTCAGTTTGCCAATGCTCCTTGCCAAGATTAGAAAGGAGATAACTAACAACACCAACAACATCATGAGCAATGTTTGATTTTGTACACCATCATATTATATATTAACATAACAATTCTAGATGAACATGAAATCTTATGCATTCATTTTTTCTCTTTCTCACTTGTAGCATATTTAACTTAAAAAAATTGACCTGCAAATGTTAGAGTTAAAATCGTCCATATTAAATTTATCTAATACTTTGTCTAGGATAATTTTTATATGTGATTACACTAATCATTAATTATTTTTGCAATAAACAACTTTCGTGCTAATTTTTATATGTGATTACATTAATTATCAATTATTTTTGTAATAAACAACTTTCGTGCTAAGGATTTATTTTGTAAGACCCAAGTCTTTTATTCTAAAGGACTTGTTGAGTTCTCATATAAGTTTGATTCTCTCTTATGTCATAACCAACTTCAATATATCATCAACATAAAATAAATAAATAAATATTTCAATTACAATTTTTTTTTCACAAAAACATAATGATTAGAAGAGGTTTTGTGACCATGATCTATAAATGAAGAAATCAAATTTTCTATATCACTATCTTAGAACTTGTTTGAGTCCATAACAATTATTTCTTAGTATACAAACAAGCTTCATTTTACCTTTAATTATAAAACTTTCATGTTGCTCCATATAAATATTTTCCTCAAAGTCACTATGAAGGAATGTTATTTTCATATCAAGTTGGTCAACTTTGATTGAAGTAATTTTGAAGCAACATTCTTTTAAACCAAGAATAACTCTAATTAAAGTCATTTTGATCACATATGAAAATATTTCTTCAAAATCAATTCTTTTCTCTAATTAAAGCCTTTCCTAACTAATCTTACCTTTCAATCTCAACATCCATTTATTTCTTAGTATTCTTTGTACTACTTATTTGTCTCTTCACAAGAAAAGGTTTTTGGCTCTCCCTCATCAATTAACAACACAAATTCATGGGGTGAATTGTCTTGTGAAAGAGGAATCTTTCTAATAGGATGTTTTTAAGCTTCATAAGTGGTTTAAGAAGGACTAATTCAATTAGTTTATTAACTTGAGTTTCAAGCATGAAACCTACATTCTCCAAATTTGTATTCGCATTTCCACCATGATCAATAATCCTAGGAGGAGGTTTTGGTTTAACAACATTGTACCTATGACTAACCTGTCTTGACTTATCTTTCTTGTCAATAACTTTATTAGTCAAGTCTTCAAGAAAAACAACATATTGATTTATAACAATTTTGTTATCAATCGGATCTCAAAATCCATACCTCAGATCATAATGACCATAACATAAAAATACAAGGTTTATACTTCAAATGAAGCTTAGATATTTCATTTTTAGAGTCTAAACAAATGCCTTGCAACAAAATACCCTTAAATGATTATATTAAACATTTTTCTCTTTCCACAGCCTCTCAAGGACATTACCATCAAGAATAATAGATGGAGATAGATTGATCAAGTGTACTACAATTCTCAATATATCACCCTAGATATTTCATTTTTAGAGTCTAAACAAATGCCTTGCAACAAAATACCCTTAAATGATTATATTAAACATTTTTCTCTTTCCACAACCTCTCAAGGACATTACCATCAAGAGGAATAGATGGAGATAGATTGATCAAGTGTACTACAATTCTCAATATATCACCCTAGAAAGGTTTAGGCAATTTTATATGAGAGAGTACGTATTTGATTCTAACATTGATTGTGTGTTTTTTTCTCATTAACTCCATTGTGTTGAAGGGTTTTTGGAATTGTTTTCTCAAATTTGATATCATGTTCATTTAAATAATGCTCAAAAGGGTCTTTGTTTATTATGTGTTCTAACACACTTCAACAACTTGCTTGTTTCTTTTCAACACTCGGATGTAACCGCTTGAATGCATAAAATACTTGATCTTTGGATTTTTTAAATAAAAGATTAAACTTATCTAGAATGGTCATCAATAAGAATAATAAATAAGAACAATCACTAGTTGATTTATCATCCATAACACAAACAACAATGTGAACTAAATCCAAGATATACAGTATGATAGTGAAACATAAGTGTGAAAACAAATTGTACGTTGCTTATTAACACACAATCAGAACAAGTTTCAAGCGATACACCTCCATAAAAAATAACTCTTGCAAAGTAACAAGACTTTTCTCACTTAAGTGACCAAATTGTTATACTATAGTTTTGTAGAACAATCCTCAACTATATTCACAAGAAGTGTAGACAACTTTGTTAATGTCCAATAAAGAGTATTTCACTTATCTCCTTTTACTACTACCAATGTCCCTTTTGTGCACTTTCGTTTTTCATCATTAAAGAAATTATGGTAGCCATCTTCGTCGAGTGTGGAATCAAGTAGAGGTGTATGTAAGGAATGTGTTTAACATTCTTGAAATATAACTTGCAATCGATATTAATCTCTAACCAAATATCTCTAATGTCAACAACCTTGCTTACTCATTGGTTTCTTATCTTCACATGCCTCAAATCAAATTTTGAGCCAATGAGCTAACCTTATTACTTCTCTTCCTCCAAGTTTTTTCATTTAGAAAACTATCTTTGATCATATCAAAAGTCAATTTTTTATTAAGAACACAGTTACTTAGAGATATCATCCGTCTGGTTATGAACTAAGCAACAAAAATATATATAGCTTATTGTTAACTCAATCTCCATAAAGATTAATTGATTCATTATATTTTGAAAACTATATAAGTATTCTACCACCAAAGAACCATAATTGTATTTCAATTTTATTACCTTTAGAAATGCCTTATTGGAGGAATGTTTTAACTCAAAAAGTCCATATTTTGTATGAGTAATTTGTTTAATTGTATAAATACTTAGTTTTAATTTTCTTTATTTATTATTTTTTAAATAATTTTCTTTTTCCGAAAACTTTTTTCTCAAACGAACAATTATACTTTACATTCTATTTTATATCAAAACTTCTTTCTTTTTCCTCATATTTTGTTTTTTCAACCGAACAAACCCTTAATTAATTTGTGGAGACAAAACAGTGATCATGCAACTTATCTGAATGATTTATTGCTAAGCATCTTTTCCAATCCTCATAAGACAGAATTTATGTTGTTAATTTACCACAATGGTTATTTATACATTAAAAAAATATAAATTAATTAAAGATATTTCGGTAAAAAAAATTAATGCAAAAAACAATTTGAGAGAGTGAAAGAAAATGATTTTTTTTAATTAGACATTATATTTTATTAAAGAGAGGAAAAAGATGAAATTTTAATACAGGGGAAAGGAAAGGATTGGAGAAATTTGAATTAAACATTATGTCTGGTTGAAAAAAAAAAAAGGAAAAGATGGATTTTAATGGTGAGAAGAAAAGAAAATCATTTTTTTTATTCTCAAGGGGAAGATAGGAGTTCTAAATTACTTTCCATCCTTATAATTATAAATTTAAACAATAACATCATGCACATATAATAACTATAAGAGGTTGCTAGCAATACACTCTTACTTAAATCAAACTAATCTCAGTTTTTTATTGATTACAAACACAGAAATGAAAAAGCAAATTAATTTCAGTTTTAATTAGACACTAATGATTGAAAGTAACACTTTATCCCAAAAATGGACTGACTCGGAGGGAAATTATAACTCCTGGTTATATAATAAAAACATCAATAAAGAATCTAAAGACGCTTCATTTTTTTCATCTACAATATTCTGTTTTAAAATTTTCTGTACTCAGCTCTACCGGAAGTCAAAATAGATATGCCTTCTTCATTGTAAGCTTATCCTCTTCTAATTTAGAACTAGGCTCTACTCAACTGTAAATTCATCGTCTTCATAATAAACATTGAAGTATAATAACCTTATAACCCAAAAGAAGAATAACCTGACATAAAAATGTTGATTTCTTCAGGACCAAGATTAGCTTATACAGTTGGAACAAGCGCATAATCACTTACAAGGTTTCTTGAAACAACCATTTATGAGTTCGTACGAAAAACAAGCTCCCTCTCTTCATGCACATTCAGAAGCGCAGATGCAATTATACGTACGAGCACATAGTGGTATCATGGAATGAATGTTTTGTTATGACTAACTGAATAGAATCACAAGATTATTTATAAATTACAAAAAAATTATTCAAATCAACATTCACTTCTTATGTTATCTTCAGTGGCTATGATGCGTATACTATTGAAAGTAAGAAGTTGAAAATAATCCTAAATTGTCAAATTGAAATCCAGCAGAAACCAGTGTGTTCAGTAGATTAATACATACCAGTCCTCATGGCGAACGACTTTCCCCTCTTCGATATACAACTTGATTAGCGATACCATGTTTATATTCTTCCCCAAGAATTTGTAGTATTGCTTAGTGTCAATTAATATCTGTACACAACATCCATCAATTTGGATCATCCAGTAAGAGATCAAGCGTGCACTTGAACTTCTAAATAAAACAAAAGATTGAAGTGCTACATACATACTACAAAATGAGTGGCACAAGATTTACTAACCTCTCCATTTCCTGGTGAAACCATATATTCTTTGATACTGTATTCCACAATCTTTGACTCCTTAAATACCTGAGTTATATAAATAGAATTTGGAAAAGAAGAGAAAGAGACCCGAAACAATATAATTTTATCTAATACTACTATTAAACAAGCCATAAAAGAATAACTAATCTGCTTCTAGTATAAAAAACTTCTTGCACTCTACAGAACAAACAAAATACATTTCTCACTGTTAAATTACTACTATCACATGCTTGCTTATCCACTACCATGATAGAAGCTCAAGGCTTATCGCTGTTTTCTCATATATTTGGCGACAGAATGTCAATAGATAGATAACAGGGTCACAACAACTTGCAAGCAGGAAGTATTCCATTATACAACAATTTATACATATAATACTCTGCTTCAATTATCCTTTCAATAAGTATTAGATAAGATAAAAGCTTGAATGGAGTTTAATTCATTACCGATAAATGACACATTCATTACAACCAACTATACAAAAACTGTTATATCTTTTGAACAGAAGTTTGTATATCTTTTAACATACATTCACGAGAGTTAAATATTTGCTTACAAGTGAAAATCAACTTATCCTCCCAGCTTTTAGAAAAATTAGATGACAGAGTTTCTATAATTTTAAAAATGGACGAGTTGATTTTAATTTATATGAGATGTTTAACTCATTTGATCTTCTTATCATCTTTTCCTGAGAGAAAGTTAGACTGATGTTCTGTTATATATCAAGAATTTGAGGCAATTATTCCTCCGGGAAGATTAGGATTCTATTTAAATGCAATGCAATATCCAAAGCAAGAGAGCAAAAAAATGAAGTACTGAAAACCTTGCGAAGAGAATAGAATGCTGATTTGATCTGTTTCACCCTGCAGTATGTATGAATAAAATCCAGCGTTTAGTGTGTTTTGAGGAAAAATAAACCAAATAACAATAAATGCTCACCCGCGAGCACACATAACCGGATCCTCGAAGGAAGCATTAGCGGCATAGATGTCAAAGTCGCGAGACGTTGCGCGCGATCCATACCTGAAATGAAAACAGAGTTTCAAATTAAAATCAAAGAATACGAAGACAAGAGTTGTTGAGCGAAAAGAGATAGAGCAGAGATTGAAGCAATAAAAAGGTTACAGTACAGATGAAGAATGTGAGGAATTAGGCCATCGGCGTAGCGCTTGGTTGCCGCGCAATTGAAAGATTCTTTGTAAGTCCTCTCCGTGCCTTGAAATTCAAGAAAAGAAAGTGAAATGAATCGATAGCGTATAATGCATTTAGCTATGGTTATTGTATGAGATTACCAGCCCAGTAAGTAGCCATTGCAAAATTTCTCGGAAGAGAAACCCAATTGTTGACGAACCGTTGTTGCGCGCTGTGTAGCATTCGTGGCGCTTTAGGCATCAACGTGGCCATGCTTCCCTCTCCCACTTATTCTCCTTGTAGATATGTCTCAAATAATCAGCATAGATAAGTATTTTTCATTGAATTGTTTTTTCAACGAATTTTTACGAGTTATTTTTAATTAATTTTTTATAATTATATTTTAAAGTAACAAATTCAATAATGCATCACACAGGTTATCAATCAATAAAGCATGAAAATAAAATTAAATAATGTCTTTCGATTATTATTCCTTAGGAAAGTCTGAATTTAGGTGTAGAAAAAAAAAACAAATAAAATTCATAAGCTTTAATTCTTCATCATGTTTACCCAAAAGTTTGGTTCAATCTGTGAGTTTATTTAAAATGTGAAAAGGAGATTTTTCATTTTCATTTTCATTTTTTAATTTATTTCCAATATATTTAACGACCAAAAAGACTGTAACATGTTGACCTATAAAGCCTAACAGGTTTTATGTTTAAAACATGAAGGTTGAGTTTTATACTTAAATTTTTTTTTCTCAAAAACTTAAATATAACATTTTTAATAAACAAACCAAATCTTCAGCTAGAGAAGTTGTAGGTTCGTGACACGTTGGGAAAATACATAATTTTTAATTTCATTTTCATTTAGGGTTAACTGATGACATGGTTGTCGAGTTATAATAAAAACGCTGAATTTAGATTAGTATATAGGGTCACCAAAAAAAAATTAAGTTATAAATTATATTGTTGGTTGATTTTTCATGTTATTTAATTTTTTTTATTTTATATTAATTTAAATTGAATTTATTATTTTAAAATTAAAATTGTACATTTTAGCCTTGCTCATTTGTTCGTAGATGCAAACATGAAAATTTTTTTCCACTTAATTTTTAATCCTTGTTATTTTTTTTATTGTTTTTAGTTACTCTGGCTATTGAAATTGACATGATATTTGAAAATGTAAATAAGAAAAAAAATACAAAATATTGTTTGAAATTTGATGGTAGAGTATCTCACCAAGTCCTTAGTTTGTAAATCAAGACTGCACTAAAACTTCATTCATATAATCACAATCACTTGTACACACCGTTCTAAAAAATAAAAATGAAGATTCTATGATCAAACTTCATTCATATAATCACAATCACTTGTACACACCGTTCTGAAAAATAAAAATGAAGATTCTATGATCACACATACATTTGATTTGAAGACTAAGACCTCAACAACAAATCAATGGAACTATACAGAAAATGTACGGAAGCAGAGAAATCACCATCTTATCACACTTGCTGCAATACCCAAAACACAAAAATGGCATACTCCTTTTCAGCCACCAAATGCAACCTGCTGAAATATAAGTGAGAAAAGAAAAAAAAAAACACATGATATAGTAAGTAACATCTTGATAAATTATAAAAGGCCTACCTTATGAGCAGTTATTTTATCGCTTGGTCTCATTCATGTTTTTCCCTTCAAAAAATTCACCCAACATTCTGTCTAAATCTTCTGCTGTGTATTTGATGTACTTCTGAGGATTCTTTCCACTCTCCACTAGAGGCCTGTAACACAGCAAGTTCCCGATCTTGCATCATTAAAGTGAATGTTCTCACAAAACCCATTAGCCATCAAATGTAAACATACCAAAGATGAGTAGTAAAATAGTGATCAGTAGCTAGATAAAACCGTAAGAAAGTTGAAGGAAAAATAGAGGATTCACGAGATGGTTTTTGCCTAAAAGTTAAATCCAAAACACTTTCAATGCACAAAGATTACAAAACCCTTTGAAGATTAAAATCACTGGAACTGTTGAGATTGGTAACCAAGTTGATTTGCACAAAACTTGGACGGGAATAAGGTACATTTTACCCAAGTTTTAAGGATAGGAAAAATTTCTTTATCTCAAATTATTATAATTTTTGTTCTTTCAATAGGATTTGAGATTATTATACATGCAAATTTGTCTAAAAGGGGACGAAGACAACTTTTCAGCTCCAGGGATATCATTCCCTACATAAATAGAAATGATATAATAACGTTTGAAGTGAATCAAATTGAGAACAAACCCAAATCGTTTGACAAACGATCTGTAGGCAGGCAGCAAGACTTCAGCAACTGCAAGCCTAAGAGACTCTCGCAATTCAGTGTCAGGAACTGTCCATTGGGATTGTTTCTGATGGAGTTCCTCAAACATAATATTGAATGCCTTAAACCTGACAACACAATACACATAGACATGTCAAAAGAAGTAAAGAAATTACTCTCCCTAAAAGTAGTCCATAATGAGCAACCGAAATGCTACCTGTCTTTAACAATTGCTCTTGAAGCACCACTACTGCTTCCAGTTGCACCATCACCACCACCAGCACCACTCCCACCACCTGATGAGGTAAGGCCCTGAATAGACAGGCACTGTAGAATCTGCCAGGAAAAGAACAAAATTTAGCAAAGTCACCGTGCCCACAAAAATAATTACAAATCAATAAAGGGGATGGTATCTGAAGATTTAGCCAAACGATTGCACAAATATGTAAACGTAACTGTACAGCAATTTGTACCAAGAAGACATTACTTCTCAGCATAGAAAATGATTGACAGGAGAAATACCATGGCTCTCACAGTATAATTGGCATACGCAGTTATACTCATACATTATAAGCAAGAAGCTAGAAAGGATTATGAATGTAGCAAGGCTGTTCAATCACTTCTCATGTATGAAAAGCAAAGTCTCTTGCAGCTGTCATAAACAAAACATGAAAGAGAAGCTCACTTGCCCAAACAACATTTCATATTGTCATAGTAAATGACAAAAACCATTTGCTTCACTCGATGTTCAAAAGTTCAATGGGAGGAGATAGAAGCTAAGAGATCTCAATAGTCACCAAAGCAAGACCCCCTCAATGCTCAAGTTGTGTTGGAGTGAGCTACAACTGTCTGTTTCTTGGACCACCAAGAGACTAATGGGTCCAAAAAAACACTCAAGCACCACCAGTTGACCTTGTATCAACTCTAGATCTGATGTCCAGTCAACATAACAAAAGGCAGTGATGGGAATGGAGGTAGAGAGAGTGACAAGTTCAGGTGTAAACCCCATGTGATTGTGCTTTTGAGATATCTAAGAACTCTTCTCACTACAACTCAGTGAGCTCAAGAACATCTTGTTCACAGAAAAGTTGTTTTCTTGTCTAGTGATGGTTATATGATCTCACCCGCCACTGACTTGAACATGGATGGATCAGCTAAAGGTTCGGAACCATATTTAGTTAATTTGAGACAAGTATTGGTTTTGCCTCAAACTAATTAGTTTTAGCTAGCAAATCCCCTAATGTAGACAGGGTGTTGGGTGAAGAAGGAGAGGAGGATTGGGTTGCTGAGTGAAACTACGATGGAGAGACTGTGGGATGTGAAGATGATTCACTAAAGAGAGAAACATGAGAGCGGAGAACTAGTATGTTTGACTAAAGGGATGGATGAGGAAAGAGGACTTGACAAGTAGACTAAGATAAGGAAGTTGAGATCCTTGGAGATGTAAATTCTCCCATCAAAGGAGAGACATTCGTATCCTTTATGACCAATAGATTAACCGAGGAAGACTCATTCATGAGACCTTAAGTGAAGCTTATGTTTAAATTAAGAGGAAAACAGGCACAACAAAAAATTATGAGAAATTGATAGTGTAGTTGTTCCTAAAACAGTTTGGCATAGGGGATTTCAAACTTGAGAGGAAGTGGGCAACTTATAAGATAGACACTAGTCAAGAAGGCAGGATCCCAATAGGTGAGGGGAAGTGAAGCTTAGGCCAAGAGGGTGATACCAAGTTTAACAATGTGCCTCTCCTTTCATTTTGATGGGATGTGGGAAAATAATCGTATGAGGGACCCCACCCCAATATGTCTGACTAGATTTGACACGAAATTGTTTAAAAACATTAAGAGTTTCTTATTTAGTTTTAAGAAGGAAAATCCAAGTGTACCTAGTATAGGCATCTACAAAAGTAACATAATAGCTAAAACCATTGGTTGAAACAGAGGGAGCAGACGCACAGATCACTTAAAATTAGTTGATGATGTGCGAGTAAGAATTGTAGATAACTGAAAAGAATCTAAATGAAATCCTGATATTTAACCAAATTGTTGAAGATCTCATATTGAATAGATATATGTTGACCCAATAGGATTTAGGGCACTTCATCATAGATGGTGGAACACAAGTAGTAAAATATAAAAGGAAGCTAAGAGGAGCACCTAGTAGTGTGATATCCGAGGTATGAAGGGAGAGGGGGAAAACAAAGGGGGACAGAAAGTGCCATAGTACTTTGAGAGGGCCTAGGAAAGCAGGTGGAAGTATCATGCTAAACATGAAAGCTGCAATACATGAAACAGTCAGCAAGGTCAATAGAATAACACCTTTGCCCAAGCATTTCTTTTGTATTGATTAGCATGCTGCTGCACAATTCTCCTGTGTCGTTGTACCCAATCATCTCCCAGCAAATCCTTGGCTTCAGACCTAAAAAAGAAGAGGATTAAGAACAAAAGTAACTTTGAACCATCAGGATATAATAAAACTATGATTCTATGAAATTAATAACCAAAACATGTTGAAGAAATACCTACGAACCGATCTGACAATATAATGAATATTGTTCATGAGAAAAAGATGTGTCAATGCAGGGTCTTTATACTGTTTTGATTTCCCATCTAAATTAGTTTGCAAAGCTTGCATTATTCGGACTGTTACAGATGCTAGCTGTGAAGAATCACCACCACCTTCAAATTCCTGAAAAAGTTGCTTCAAGGTGGATTGGTAGCTGCAACGTTTAAAGAATTCTAATCAAATCAAATCAAATAGGTGAAGATCAGATCTATGATGTAGATCCTAAATAAATATACACAAAATCCCACACATTGGATATGAGTACACAAGCTTAAGTATTACCCCTCTTAAATAAGAAAGGAAAATTGAATTTTAAGAAAAAAATTCTCTTAAATATAAAAAATTAAAACAGAAGCATGAGATTGCAAGGTTCCCCCGAGAACTTTAGAATTTCAGAAAATTTGAATTGTTTAAAACTTTTTATCCCAGTATCAAGTGATTATCTTATATACCCATAAAAATGTGTATATATATATATATATATTATATGACAATGATATTTATTATTCATTATTTTTTTATAAAATGCACAGCCTTTGGGATTTAATAAAAAATGCATTCCTTCTTTTAGATTCTGAACCAGTTCTATCAACAAGACACATCCTCTCAATAAAACTAAAAAAGAACCACCCGGAAACTAAGACTGAATTATGTAGTATGCTATGCCAATCCTCTGCATATCAAATACAGAAATGAACTGAAAACTCAATGACCAAAAAACCACAGAAAAGTGAAATAAATTTTAAAAAATCATTATGACTAACATCTTTGTCATTAATGCAGACAACAAAAAATGCTAGAAACAATTTGATGGTATGGTATGACTATCAAATTGGGATCAGATGACAACATAGCTGAACTTACTCAAATAAAAACTTCACATAGTTAATAACATAGCTTGTCAGAGGGTGGACAGTTCCATCTGTTACTGCAGTCTTCGTAGCATCTTTCTCAACTGCCTCTTCAAAATCTCCAAAGGTCTCTTGGGCTGTTTGTGCAAGTCGTTTGGTCAAACCAGTTGCAGCTTCTCTAATTCCAGAGCAAGCTTTGCCTTTAAAAAGAGTTTCAATCTGCAAATTGTCAAGTAAAATAGTTTATCAAAAGATTATATGACACCACTGTAATATACCTTAGACTTGTTTTATGTAGAAACAACGCCCAAACCTACTCTGCATGATGAATATCAAAATATATCACATCTAGTGTGGTGACTAATCTGACCTCTATCAGTTAGAGGTTGAAAATAAAAACTGTGGCAGATGACACTAGCATTAACTCTCACAAAGAACAGAATTACAATGCTTTAAATAACATAAATTAGCCTCAAGACATGTGCAGGAGCACCTTTCTGAGACTATTTTATATTTACTAAATAGTTTTTTCTTGTCAATGTTAAAAACAGTGAAAGTAGCTATATTATAGTTCAAAAACTTTTATTCAAGATTTTTTGTATAAAAATATATGTATACATGAGAGACCAAACTTATTTTCCCTTTCATGTTAGTCCCTGAGTAATAGAAGACATCCATAAAAAAAGGTTAAAGCATAAGGTAGAGTGCAAAGAGTTCAGTAATCATAACAAGTTTCATGATTGCCATGACATGAACGTTCAAAGCACACAAAAATATAAGCACCAGACACCTGAGACTTTATGATCGAACATTCTTTCTTAAAAAATAATAATAATTAAATCAGAGGCCTTTACTAGTCTCATAGCTAATGGAAAGGAACCTACACCTAAGATAGTTATCCAAGTGAAAGGTCACTGACATGTAAGGCCACTAGCTATTATGATAAATAAGGATGAATTGTGACTGGCTACTGAATATAAAATAAAATATTACAATTTGACATCATAAGTTTTATGAAACCAATACACCAAATAGATATTTTGCATGTTAAAAGCCATACCTCTGAATGAAGCTCTTGCATTATTTCATACATGTCCAAAAGTACAAATAACTTTTCTGGGGATCTCTTGCTTTTGGCAATTGCTTCTCCAAAACTGAGAAGCATAGAAACACTGCTTGTCGTCACCTCAGCAAAACACTGTTCACTGAGTGAATCAAAGCCTTCAAATATCTGATCACAAACTTTCCTCTCACCAGCAAACAACAATTTCACCTGTTCATGTATAATTATATTTTTGAGAGAAACTAAAAAAAATAAAGAAAATAAAAATTGCATCAGTCCTACAATCATCTTACTGCTATTCGCATGAAATGAATCCAGTTTCCAATTTTTGCTTCCAATATCTCCCACTGCAGCTTTTGAACATCATCTTTGTTAAGTTTCTCCACTCCAAGTTTTTGGAGGCTTTCTTCCAATACATTAGAACGGGCATCCCTACATAATAATAATAATCATAATTAAATTGTAGAGTTAATATTAATCATTGTTGGAAATGTTTTATAAGTACAGTTATGCACTACATCTAGAGGTGCCAAAATCATGCTGTTTAATAAGCCACTGCCATAAAGCCTACAAAATTATGTTTCAGTCCAATTTTTTTTGGGCTCTCTCATCCCCTCAGCATTAATTAGACTGGGTTAGAACAAGTTAGAGGTAGCAATGCAACACCCTAATCAGGACCGAGGAATGATTTTACCACTAACAAAACTTGTCAATTTGACTTGGTTCACGCAAGGTTTGACTATGGCCACATGGGCGGGCCAAAAAAGCCCACATAAAAAAAGACATAGGTCCAAAATGTCCACAAAAGACCTATGGGTTAGGGCTAGCCCATGGGTCAATTTCTTATTATAGTAAAAAAAAATATACTTCAAAAATGAGAGTTCTAAATAACTTTTACTTTAAAAAAATTTATACATATGAAAAACAGTATTAATTTGCTCTAAACTTTGGTTATTCACAACATAATTTAAAAGGTTAACATTTCCTTCATAAATTCATAATCCAAATAAATTAATTAAGTCTCAAATCACAAAAGAAGAAAAATCTATATTTTTACAAGGAACAAAAATAAGAGAACCATAAGCCCAAGTATTAATGTCATCTTCACATCTTCCTATAATAATCAACCATTAACCCGTATACAATGGTGGAGCTTCTTGTGAGGTAAGGGCCCAAAAATTTAGTAACTTACTTTAACATTTATGATTTTGGCTCCCAAACTTAAAGATAATGAAATATATCTATTTGAATAGTTACAAATTTGACTCTTATCTTTTTATATTCTTTCACCTAATGATAATGAAATATATATGTTTGAATATTTACAAATTTGACATCTTATTTTTTCATATTCTTTCACCTTTCCATATTTATTTATTATTTATTAATAATATATTATTTGACCCTCAAAATCAATAATCAAGATCTGCCACTGTCCGAATATAACAAATATAACAAATTTTGAGTGCAAAAGCTGTGGAGTTGAGTTTGCACATGATTAGGAAGAGTGGAGTTTTTATATTTGGAAACTAAACTTCTACTTTTACCAAGTGCTGACTTTGTCGCTGTAATAGTGGGAATATTAAGCACACATTTCCCGAACAATATCCTATTCAAATAATTTATCTCTATTAGATTAATCAAATTATACCACTTTTTTCAAAAAATTACTCTTATTTCTCACCTGTTTTTACTTTACTAAACAATTAATATTCAATATTATTTTTTATTTATTTCTTTTTTATCAACTTATTTCTTTGCTATATGTATTCTATCTATTTCTCCCGTAAAAATCTAGTAGAAGTAAAAATTTATTCTTTTCAAGTCACTCCTCACCTATCTCTTAATGGAAAATGAACTTTGATTTTATAAATAACTATAAATATTATATCTTATTTTTTTAATTTTGTTGCTAAATAAAATAATTCAATTTTGTTTTATAAAACATTTTTTATTTCATAAATACTTGTGATAACATTAAATTTTTTTTTTTTGCTTTTTAATTTTATAAAAACAAAATTAAATTATTTTATTATATGTAGCAATAGAAATAAAAAAAAGATGAGATATTTATAATTATTTGTCAAATCAAAGTTCATTTTTTATCAACAGATTTATGAGAAATTACTCGAGAGGATTTATGTTTTTCTTTACTTTTACAGGATTTTAACAAGACAAATAGAGAGAATAAAAAAATAAAAATAAAGAAAAAGAATACTAATAGTTTAATAGAGTAAAAATAGATGAAAAAAGGGTAAATCTTTTAAAAAGATGTATAATTTAGTAGAGATATTTTATTTGAATTTATATTATCCATTTGTTTTTGTTCCTTTTAGAAATATAGGTTTCTCTTTGTAATTTTGAGACTTGTAATCAAGTTATGTTGGACCATAACGTCAGCGCTAACCATTTAAATTAAGATTATGTTGTGAATGGCTAAAGTTTGGAGCAAACCAATATTTTTCTTATTTGTATAAAGGTTTTTTAAAGTAAATTGTTTTAAACTCTCATTTTTAAAGTAGATTTTTTCTACTTTAAACAAAATTACCCCATGGGCTGGCCCTAGCCCATTGGACTTTTGTGGGAACTTTTGTCTTATGGTTTTTTCTTGTGTGGCCCTTTTAGCCCTGTGTACTAAAAAATTTACTTGTGACGATTGCTTATTGCACCCCCATGACAACACTACCATTGCAAGTTTTATTTGATTGTGAGGTAAAATATGTTCCAGAATAGCATTTCTGGAAGATTTACAAAACTAATAATCGAGCCTAAGAATATGTTTTGGAGTGAAATATAGGTTTCAAAACATACAATCCAAAAGTATTCCGAAGATAAATTGTATACTAGTACTCAACTCGATACCTTATCAATGACTCCTCAATTACCATGTACAACACAACTCCCAAAAACTTTTTAGGGCTATGAACTATTTCAACGGGCCTATATGAATTAATCACTTAGAACCAATCTCCAATAGACTTCCCTAATTCACAAGACAATTTGTAAATAGTTTCCATCCTATACTTTCAATTTTAAATGGTGAAATTTTAGTTTTCATGCTCAGTACAATTTTTAAAATATAGAAGTCTATATAACAAGGCAATTTAAACTTTTCCTTCCCTAAGGTCATAAACAACTAAACAGTGAGCATTACCTGTATATTTTGAGTAACTGTTGCTGGTGACCAGCTTCAACCATTTGCTGAGCTAAATCATGTAGCAGCGGCAAAAATCTTGGCGGTATGAGGGCAGGAGGTGTATATACAACAGCATCAGCATTATTATTGTGAGACTCAGAATGGTGATTAGAAGGAATCTTGGCACCAGAATCACCCTCATGGCCAGGTGATCCTGATGAAGGTCGCATTGAGTTTGGAAGGCAGTCAAAGAGGCGCTCAGGTTCCACAGGTTTGCTGTAATAACACAAAATATAGCATAACTAAAATTTTCTCTAAGCAGGCAAAGAAAAGAATCCCATGTTTAGTAAATAATCACACTTCATAGGCACATTTCCACAGATATCCTTTTATCGGGAAGATCATATTCCTGTATAATCTGAGGATAGTTCAATAATTAATAGTATCAAAGGAGAAACCACCATGCAACTAACAACTAAGAGCTACAGGCAATATCAACATACTTCAAAACACGTTGGACTTGTCAAAGTTGGTTTTTAGTTAACATCATAGGTAAATAAAGCAAAAAAAATGATAAACATCTAGTAATTTTAGATTTTAGCAGCAAACAATAGCAGGAACCAACTATTACATATTACACGGGTAATTGTTCTGGTTTATCATATGAAACATCATTTTTTTGACAGTCTGGCACAACCATTAATGGCTATTGAGTTCATGTAGGCAAATAATTTCTTCACCAAACATGCCAAAAGATGAACATTAAGCACAACAATAAATACCTGTAAGATGATAATAACTGCTTAAACTCATCTTCTAGGTTTGAAATAGCCTTAGCTAGCAAATTATTAGCATGAACAATAATGCCATCGCTGCTCTTAAAACCCTTCTTACTGCCAAAAAACTGAATGTTGCTTCTCAAGTTCTCAATTGCTTCCAGATAGTTTTCCAAGTCTTCATGTGGCCCTTTAAGTATTTTTGCCTCGGCCTGTACAGTAGCTCAATGTGAGCATAAAACAATGTATGGCATACCACATATCTTTAAAAAAACTGGAGGAGAAAAGTCCTGAAGTCGTCATCCTGAAAATCAATTTTTTAAAGTACGAAGATATGAATTTTTTCTATCCATCCTCTTCCAAACTTTTTTCTTGGAGTTCTCACACTAGTAGTTAACCCATTATACATGTTCTGTAGCATGGACAAAAGTCATGTGAACACCTTTCTTTTCCAAAGTCTTCCACAACTCTTCTCTAGGCACTCAATCATGATTTTTTTTTTCAAGTCAGTAAAAGTAACATTTGCAATAACATCATAAAGAAAAAAAATCAGTTAAATTGACCAAATGAGACAAGGGTCAGAACTTCAAGTTTGCAGTTGATCAAAGCAACACAGGCAACAAACAAGCATGCCTTCAGCTGGATTTGAAACATAGCTAAAAGGAATTTAAGCAGCATTGCAACAAACAAAAACACAGTGACAATGAGAAATTGAGTTATGCAATCTTTTTCCAAATAAAATGATAAATATTTTAACCTGAATTTAACAACACATTGACGGTGACAGAATTTGATTTTGGTAATTCCAACTCATCAATTCGCCAGAGTAACTTAATTTTAAAAAAGAAAGTCTACATTATGAGAAACAGATCACGGAGTTTGAATCAAATAGCATCAGAAAACCAACCTGACGATATTGATCGAAGTGAGCCAATATAACCTCCGCAGCCTTCAAAGTCCTATCAATATTCTCATGAGCCTTCCTAATAGAGTGAGTTCTAACCTGCAAACCCAGATAAAAAGATCTAACATTCAACCACCCTCCAGATCCCCACTTGAAAAATGAAGAACCCCAAAACGAAACCTCAATGCATCTAAGTCAAAGAAAAGTCATCCCAACAAAACCCATTTCCCAAAACCCCATTTTTGAAGCCTCAAAAGCAACCATTGCCAAAATCTCTCCTCATTTAATGGAGAACAGGAAAAAAAAAACGTACCTGAGTTGGGCGCATGGCGGTTTCAAGGGCCGAAAGACGGTGGTCGAAGGAACCGAGAATGGTGACGACATTGTCTGCGATGGTTTGACTCTTCTGCAGAGACTCTCTCATCATCGCCGCTTTTTCACTCAACACATCAACACCTGCCACTGCAATTCCCATCTTCTTCTCCTTCTTTCTTCTCCCCCTTCTTGTTGTTAAACTTCAGTCTCAGAAAACCATAACCGAGAGAAATGTGGAAGAAGAAATCAGAGGTTATTCTTGGTAGAGTGTTTGAATCGGTAGGAGAAGCTGTGAAGATGATGCTAAAGGATGGTCCCACAGTTGCCTGTGCTGGTGTTTGGTGATACTTTTCCCTTCTTTCCACTGTTGTCACGGATTTTTTTCTACGAATAATCAACTAATCATTAAATAAAACACGCAATTTGCTGTATTTATAAGTTTCCATATGTTCGGACGTTTGTGTATGATATAGTTGTCGAATTATTTTATGCTATAATTTTACTCCTTCAAACTATGTTTTTTTTTTTGTTTTTTTTTTTTATGTGTAACATAATATATCTCATTTTCATTGTCATTTTTGAAATTCAAATAATTAAATAACCAATAAACCTAGTTTATGATGGGTTATTACTAACATATTTCACAATAGTAAATAATAATAGTTACATCGTTGGCATCAGATTTAGATTTTCATATACTTTTATTTGATCTACTCACCAAAGAAAATATAAACTGAACATCTTTATAATATAAATATTCTAAAAACCCATAATATTACTAAATACTAAAATTGGGTATTTACACTGTCCGTATGATTTAAAGACAATATTTTATATAGATTTTGGTCATGATTTACATAACTCTCGAATTAAAGGGATTTTAAATTAACTTAATATATTTTAAAATTTCTATTTATTCATTATATTACGATGAACGAACATGGATTCTCTCTTATTGATAAAACTGGAGACTGGAGGGTGTCCAAATTTTAAATCTCATCACTCATCAATGCTTTTTCTATATCTTTTTATACTAAAATTATTAAATGTAAATACTAAGAAAAAGTTGAGTTTTATTAAATTATTATAAAGTTGGAAAGTATCCTACTCCAACAAATATTTTAAAAGTGAAAATTTAGAATAATCAACTATATAAACAAAAAATTGATGTTAAATACATTTTTGTAATCCACTATACTATATTTTAATTGCATGTCATAAGATTGTTTTATTTATATAAAATTAAGTTGACAACTTTAAAAGAGAAAGTGAGTAAAAAATAGCCTTAGATACACTCTTTTCATAACATTTAAATACATGTCCATGTGAGGATTAAGGACAGAATTGTAATTTGATAATTAAAAAAAAAGGAAGTGGAAGTCAGAAAAAAGTGAGTGACAATAATAAGCCCCTCCATTAACTGGGCTTAATTGGCCCATTATAAAGCTATTATTTTTTACACTCTTGTTTCTATTTTGCCTCTCTTCTGATGTAAATGGCTTTGTGTCGATTCGCTTGTTCTTCCCCTGCTTCCACCATTTTTCGTTCCCCGAAATACCCTTCAAAACACGTTAAATTCTCTTTGCTGCCATTCCCATTCGCAACGATGGAAGCTCCTCCAGAAGGTTATCGCAGGAACGTTGGTATCTGTCTCATGAACACTCACAAAAAGGTTCCTTCCTTCTTTCTTAATTCATTTGCGTTTGGTTTCCGCATTTTATTCATCGAAGCTTAATAATTCGTGTTTTGCAGATTTTTGCGGCTTCGAGGCTCGACATTCCCAATGCTTGGCAAATGCCCCAGGTATCTATCTTTTGATTCTTCTTTGCAGTTATCTATCTCTATAAATATAATTAAAACTAAAAATAAAATCATGGTTAAATTACTTGTTCTTCCTGAACTACTTGGTAATTTTTAAGTAGGTAGGTTCCTAATTATTATTATTTTTCTGTTGGAGCTTAATCATGTGACTTTTTTTTTTTTTTTTAATTAAGTCTTGAGAATTTCAAAAACTAATATAAGTTGTTATTTTCTAGAGAATTAAGCTTCCAAAAAGTAAGATCAGGGAGCTATTGTTTTTAGTTCAAGGACTTTAACTTTTTTAGTTTACAGACATAGTTTAAAATTTCTCAAATAGTTTAGGGATTAGTGGATGATGTAACCTAAATTCAACTTGAAAAATTATCATTATTTTTCTAAGAGCTCGAGAGAAAGGAAAAAAATCCCCAAAAAAGTGTTTAACAGTAGCAGAACGTTGTACAAACGTGGTAGTTATGAAAAAGCTATTGATGGTAACTAAATGAACATACAAATAAAGAATCTGAATAGTTTGTACTTGCACTTTTCTTTCAGAGTGTTGTTTGTTGAAAGGAATAATGAACTGTGTAAGTTTGTAATAATCTTAATTGTGGCATCTTTCAGGGTGGTGTTGATGAAGGTGAGGATCCAAGAAATGCAGCTATAAGGGAGTTGAGAGAAGAGACAGGAGTTAGTTCGGCAGAAGTGATCGCAGAGGTGCAAATTATACATTTCTTTAATTGCTAATGCCCTTATAAAGTATATGCTTGGTTGAACTTAATTGTTCAATCATTTTTCACCATTCTACTAACTGGTCTACGTGATTCTAATTTTTAAACGGTTGCAATTTCACATCCTTGTATGATGAGCGCATTGTATACAAGAATGAACAGTGGTACAAAAGATATGGTAGAGAAAACAACAGCCTACCTGCTTCAGTCTAGCCTAATAATCACAATTTAAAACTATTTACCTTAAAGTTTGCTTGAATCTTGAGTTCACTGACATATCAAGATATCTATAGGTCCATTTGGTTTGAGAAAATATTTTTTGTATTCACTTTGTTTTCCGTTTTCTAATGTTATATGGAAAAATGAAATAGGAAACAAGACAGAGTTGTTCCCCCTGTTTATAAACTTTTGTAAATAGGAAAAGTAAAAACAAAAATTTAAAATAGGAGACATTTCTTCTAATCGAACTGTCCCTAAGTTTTCCTCGTAATATCATGTGCAGCCGGGCTTTTATATTCTTATTACTTTTTCCTACCTAGATTTAGTCTTTCAATGTTGAAAATATGAAATCATTTTGACAGAACACAGATACAGCTTAAACTAGGGCTGTGAATGGTTTATATCTCTAACATGCCCCTTTACATCACAACCCACATAGTTCTTCTGCTGAGATAAAGATCAGGTTGAAGCACAAAACTACAATGATTATATCCCCACTACTAGATCATAGATAATAAGAAAATTCCATGTCAAGAATCATTGTTTTCTCTGTTGATGAACAACATCAATTTGGTCCTTTGGTAATGATTAATACCATCAACTATGTTCTCCAGTGACCAATTTAATTGCAAAATTTAATGCCATATGTATCTTCGAAGAACTGATTTATTTGCAAATAGAGGACCAATGTGATGTTTCATACATCTTTGGAGGACCAAAATAGATAATATTCCGAAAACTTTATTGTCAGTGGAGGCCTATGAATGGTTTATATCTTCAATTACCATAAAAAATGCTTCCAAAAAAAGGAGTCTGCAGCTAGTAAAAATGTCTTGATAAAATATAAAATCTTTGTGCACGATCCTTTTTAAAATAAAATCATTACTATCTATCCTCAGTAGGCCTTTGAGATGTGTCGACGAAAATAATTAGCCCCCTTTCAATGCTGCTGACTATGCTAGAGTTACGATGTTACATGTAATGATAGTAATCTGATCTATGAATGTCAATTAATCCACTCACTAATATTGGTTTTCATCTAGCATGAAATCCTGATAAAGCATCTTTCTCTTTCCTTGCTTTAATGATAAATGTTTATCCTGGTGGCTTTATGTTGTAGGTGCCATATTGGTTAACATATGACTTCCCACCAAAAGTGAGGGAGAAATTAAATATTCAGTGGGGATCTGATTGGAAGGGTCAGGCACAGAAATGGTAAACATCTGGATATGTTCAGTCTGGATTGAGTAAAACTCTTAATAACAGTACACAACCAGATTATATAGTGTTTTAACAACCTAGAAATACCCATTTGTGGGCAGTAAATATTTCTGACAAGTTTTTTTACCCTCTTATGCAATGACGAGGCTATAGTGTTATGCCTATATGCATGTGTAGTTGTGTATGCATCTATGGGTGAGTGCAAGAAGGCATTGGAATTAGAAGGCATTGTAGGAGGAATGCTTGTTTTAGCTTTGCTAAATAGTGTTTTTTGACACTTTTGATTTCCACAGGTTTCTTTTAAAGTTTACTGGGCAAGATGAAGAAATCAATCTTTTGGGTGATGGTACAGAGAAAGCTGAATTTGGGGAATGGTCATGGATATCACCTGAACAAATAATTGATCTTGTAAGTATGCGTGATGAAGAGAACATTTTTCATACTTGTTCAAAGACAATTTTAATGGGGTACTCTAGACTATATATAACTTGGTTTATATTCTCTGTGCAGGCAGTGGATTTCAAAAAGCCTGTCTACAAGGAAGTCATAGCAGAGTTTGCTCCATATTTCCAATAATCTTATCTCTGGCTGAAATTGTTATGGGTTTCCTAATAACAGGTGCCTTTGGGGGGTGATTCTGAGGCTGTTTTTAAGAAGAATGTATTCCAAATAATTACCAATACAATTATTCTCTTTTTCTCGTCTTGATCATGACCATGGGCAGACGAAGAGGACTATTTATTGTATGTCCGAGTGAAATATATTATGATGAAAATTGTTATGCATGTATTACATCTTTCCACTTCTTTTCTTCGCCATATTTTACGTATAAGGTGTATGAAATTATTTTTGTGATTACTAACCTACAATCCTTTTGGAAACACAGTAACAAGATTTTTTTCGAAAGAAACTTCATAGAATTTTCTTTTGTACAAAGGTACAGATGTCTAAGAAGAAATTTGTTTAAGCGTTGCTGAACAATTTTCTTGCGTTTCCAATTGAAAGCAAAAACATCCAAGATAGATTGCAGTTATTATTAATAGGTCCCCTCGCATCAATCAAAGCTGGTCCTGGAATTTGGCACCAAGTATTGAGATCTATCACCTTTGCGTGCCTCCACGAAATTGAATAATGTCGTTGAAAGATTAGTGGAATGTATTGAATCTAGTTTTTACAAAATTCTTCTGCAAATCAACACACAATGTTTTTAATTTCAAGACTAAGATCATTAACGACTAAACATTATATTTTTACGCAATTTTTTCTTACGTGATACATTAAATGAATAATAAAAATATATTACAATTGTGACTAATTTCGAAATTAATGTTAACAATAACATAATTATTATACAAACCATCAATCCTAGCAAACACTGGTAGAAAAAAATATATTTAACTAATTTTACATTGGGTGATTTCTGCATTCATGCAACCTCAAGGTTGAAGTTCAAAATTTTCTGCATCCTCAAACTGTTCGTAGACAATCCAATATGAATTGCAAAAAAGCTTATTTATGAATAAACTCAAGCTTCAACAGATGATTTTTCAATTAAGAACTCTATTTGAAGGATGGAACAGCTTTCAGGAGGCAACTAGACAATAAATGAGATCATGCTTTATATAAGCATGCATGCATCGCTGACTTGTCATGTATACCAAGATATCGTAATAAATGAATATAACATGCCAAGCTTATCAATAGATAAGGTTTGAACACTTACTAATTGAACTTTCAGTTTAAAAATGAAGTTAATACCAAAGGGAATTTCTAAAATAGTTTATCAAGAAACAGAAAAAGCTGTCACATAAATACTTTGTAATGCTTCACACATAGCTGAGACAAAAAAATTTCAGTGATCAAATCAGACAATCCTTGATGCACCCTTCCATATCTACAGGCACCAGTTATTGCCGAATAAAAATTTTGCAAGTTCAAAACAAGCACAATAAGAACATACAAAACAATGAGATTCAATCTTTTCTTGACTAGAAGACATGATGCTTCTTGTTAATGTCTTGGACCAAACAACCAGTGGGTCGGTTACAGCGTGATCATGGTCATTGTGCAACAACGGCAACATGGAACAACCAAAATAAATAATAAGGTTCCAAATAACATCTTGGAGGCTACTGTTCCAAGTTTCAATTTAATCTATATCAGCAGAGATATTTCACAATAGCTTGATTCAAATAACGTAATTACAGGCAAAAACCACAACTGCAAAATCAGATTAAATTGCAAAGTTTCTAATCCCAAACAAATGTTCCTACGTTTAGACGAATTAGTGCAATCCTAGCGTGATTACAATTATGAGGACATGACTATGAGCAAGGGCAAGGATCCACTTGGAGGACCTATGACAAAAGGTTAGAGTAAGGGAACAAAGGAAACTTTTTAACAAGTATTGGTCATATTATTTGAATACAAGCCCACATTTTAAAGTGAAAATACCAAAGTTATGAATTGCATCATGGCTCAAATGGAGGAAGACTAATTTGGCTGACCAATTATGTTTTTGGTTAATCAATTAATGAACTTTAGTTTAGTTTTGTTTTAAGCTGTAATAAAGACCCAATTGAAAACTTAGGTATCAATCTTTGGGAGACCAAGAGGGTGCATAACTGATTGACTCTTGGTTGTCACAATTTTAGTTATAATTAACTATTAAGTAGTTTTGAATTCCTAAGTTAATGGATCATTATTAATATTTATTTGCCTCCAATTTTCAATTCCTAGATTAATGGATCATTATTAACATTTATTTTCCTTTATTGAGTCTTTGTAACTTTGATGGCAAAAGCTTCTATATAAGCTAAACTATTTTTATCAAAAATACAAGTTGAGTTTTATTAAGAAATATTAGAGTTTAACTCTTTTATCTTAATGAGAGTGATTCTCCTAAGTTCATGAGTGATTCAAGAACTCTTGACTATATCAAAGGACTTTCACATCCTTTGTAAGTTGTCTCCCTTGGGAAGAGTGATTCTTTCCTTCGATTTTTCATATTCACTTTTCGTTCTTTCTTCACCAGAACCTAGAAAACTCAATTCTGCCAAACCGTGAAACTTTCACTACTTTCTAATCCACTTTCTCACTAATTTTCTAAATTTCCTACAAAGTTCTAACCCTAAAGATCAGTCAGTCCTTGTGCAAATGAGGTTCATATCATTTGGTAATCAGAGCTCCGGTTTAAGGGTTTGAACATCAAATTGGTAACATCTTTTCTTTATTCCCTTTTTACCAAGTGATTACCTTATTTTGTTTATATTATTTGTGATTGCGTTGAATCATTGCAAAAAAAAATAAAAAATGAAAAAGTAGACTCTTATGAAAATAAAATAAAAAAATAAAAAAATAAAGTTACAACATTTTATACTTTGGTTGAAAGTGATTAAAAAAAAAAAAACAATTGGGCCAAATGATTCATGCTTTTGAACAATTTGTTATAAGGTAATATATTGGTGATCTTGAAGGATTGTTGTTAATTCTCTTGTTTACCAATTTTTCTTTTACCTCTTTGTTTTTGTGATTTGTTAGCCTTTCTTGTCTACCTAGCTTACCGTGCACACATATTGGAAGATTGTTCTTTGTTGTGGCCATAATCTCTTGAATTGTCTAAGAAACTAAGGAGAATTTTAAGTGGTAAAAGGCAAGAGTGTTTTCTATAGAGGAAAAACCATAATTGTGTGATACACTTGAGTGTGGTGAGGTTACAATTTTTTTTAATTGTTGTTTTTGATCTATTTGTTGTGATGACAGAGAAGGATGAGACTTCAAAGGGAGATTTATTGATGATTAGGCGATTACTTGGTAGCCAATTGAAGCCTATGGAAGAAAGCCAAAGAGAAAACATTTTTCATACTAGATGTTTAATCAATGGCAATGTGTGCATGATGATCATAAATGGAGGTAGTTGCACCAATGTGGCTAGTGCTAGATTAGTGTCAAAGCTAAATTTAGCTACTAAACCACATCCTAGGCCTTATAAACTTCAATGACTTAGTAAGGATGGAGAGGTGCAAGTGAGACAACAAGTTGAAATGGACATTTCGATTGGAAAATACAATGATAAGGTGCTTTGTGATGTTGTTCCTATGGAGGTCAACCACTTACTTTTAGGGAGACCGTGACAATTTGATAAAAGAGTCAATCATAACGGGTTCACCAACAAGATCTCTTTCATGCATCAGGACAAGAAGATTGTGCTCAAACCTATAAGTCCACAAGAAGTGTGTGAGGATAAAAAGAAAATGAGAGAAAAACTTCTTCATGAGAAGAGAGAAAAAGAAAGCGTTAGTGAAACACTTGAGAGGAAAAAGAGTGAAACACTTGAAGTGAGGGAGAGTTATTTAACCACAAAAAGTGAGTATAATGTTAGTTCTACATTCAATATATCTGACTTATCTCTTTTTTATGTAAATGATGAATCTGATTTGAGGACAAATCCTTCTCAAGAGGGAGAGAATGATGGGGACATGACCATGAGCAAGGACAAGGATCCACTTGAAGAACCTATGACAAAGGTTAGATCAAGGAAAACAAAGGAAGTTCTTCAACAAGTGTTGACCATATTATTTGAATACAAGCCCATATTTCAAGGTGAAAAGATCAAAGTTGTGAATTGCATTATGACCCAAATGGAGAAAGACTAATTTGACTGACCAAATTATGTTTTTGGTTAATCAATTAATGGACTTTAGTTTGATTTTGTTTTAAGTTGTAATAAGGGCCCAATTGGAAACTTAGGTATCAACCTTTCGGAGATCAAGAGGGTGCATAGCTAATTGACTTTTGGTTGTCCCAATTTCAATTACAATCAACTATTAAGTAGTTTTCAATTCCTAGGTTAATGAATCATTATTAGTATTTATTTGCCTCTATTAAATAGTTTTCAATTCCTAGATTAATGGATCATTATTGGTATTTATATTATAACTCTGATGGCAAAAACTTCTATGTAAACTGAACCATTTTTATCAAAAATACAAGTTGAGTTTTATTTAAAAATATTAAAGTTTAATTTTTTTATCTGAGTGAGAGTGATTCTCCTAAGTTCTTGAGTTATTCAATAACTCTTGACTGGATCAAAGGACTTTCACATCCTTTGTGAGTTGTCTCCCTTGGAAAGAATGATTCTTTCCTTCGATCTTTCATATTCACTTTTAGTTCTTTCTTCACTAGAACCTAGAAAACTCAATTCTGCCCAACCCTGAAACTTTCACCACTTTCTAATACACCTTCTCACTAATTTCTTAAATTTCCTACATAGTTCTAACCTTAAAGATCCTAAGTCAGTCTTTGTGCAAATGAGGTTCATATCAATATTGGAGGCTACTATTCCAAGTTTCAATTTAATCTATATCAGCAGAGATATTTCACAATAGCTTGATTCAAATAAAGTAATTACAGGCAAAAACCACAACTGCAAAATCAGATTAAATTGCAAAGTTTTTAATCTCAAAGAAATGTTCTTACGTTTAGACTGACAAAAGAGGAATTAGTGCAATCCTAGCGCGATTATGGAAAAGCAGATACAATACATAGGTCCATCCATCAGTTTCAACCCTTGAAACCTGAGAATGATTCATGTACGGTACAATGGTTGGACTAAGTAGAAAACAGGGTGCTGGATAATTAAGTCACGTCTGTTAGTCATAAATTTTTTTAGTGCTAGACTTAGTCTATCTAGTGAATTTGGTTTAGTTCCACCACTATCATCTTTATTATGAATTAGGAAAACTACATCTTAGATGAATAGATGTGAGACAGTTTTTGTTCGTTTCATATTTTGGGGAGCACATTGATACACGGTATGAAACATTTAACAGTGATGCACCTATTTGATGTATTAAATTTCTTTAAAAAGAAAGTATTGAATGGTTTCTGGGTCCTCATAAAATAAATACTCTATTTTCCAATTAAAATTCTGTATTTACTTCTTATCATGTGTAGTGATGAGTGTGCTTATCAGGTACATACAAAACAGCAGGTTTCTAAGTTTAACTATTCAAAATCAAAACTACAAATTGATGGGGAAATTTATGAGGATGTCACACAGCAAACAAACAAGATGGCAAAAATGGAGAAATAGATCAGTAGTTATTTGTGACTTAAAAGTATCTGCCAAACTCAAAAAGGCAAACTTTATCATACTGCTGTACGTTTGACTATAATTTATGGTAGTGAGTGTTAGGCTTTAAAGGGAAAACAAGAGAAAATTGCGGAGACTAATTGAAATGAGAATGTTAAGATTTAAAAGGAAGGCTTCAAAATGCACCAATGAGAGGAGTAGATTCTATAAGTTTTAGTACTATGAAAATGACAAGGAGATAAAGGACATTGGAAGTTGTCAAGAGAGATCTCACTGGTAAATGTCACTGAAACTTTGGTATTTAACCAACCCGAATAATGTCATATGATCCATGTAGCCAACATCATCTAATGAGATAAAGTTTTGTTGTAATTATTTGCCATAGACACACTATAGAAATCTTCTTTCAACTATAATTTTATATTTCACTAGCATTGCTATTCAGTAAATCAGAATTTGCACAAGGAAGGAATTATATTTTTCTTTCAAGTTAATCAAAAGAGGAAGCATAAATGATGCTGTCTATCTGGTCAAAACCCCTTCTAAACAGCCAGACATTGTTACAAACGATGGAAATTTTCCCAGAGAACAGTCTTGTGTTTCTCCACAAAAAAAGAATTAATTATTGAAGACATTACCTTCCACTGATTACTTTGATGAGCCTTAATCAATTCCCTAGAGGTCAATATGTCCACTTACAATCTCAATCTCCTTGAGAGTGAATCACAACAGAAGACAGGTTTGAAGTATAGCAGCAGTGGAGAAACAGAACCAGAAACTTTATAGTCCTTATTGACCTAGAATGTTTTGTATGTGATCTGCAACAATGTCGGCCACGATCTCAGGCGAGAACCACCGTATCATGTCCTCCCTTGCCTTCCTGCCAATGGCTGTAGCCTCAGGGAGATTACTCATCACCTGCCTCATTAAAACCTTAAGTTTGTCCTCGGAAGGTTCAGCCCAAAGGTGTCCCTTGAATGGACCTTCTGTTACTTCACTCATTCTATCCACAGGCAGTGGATAGCTATTATCATATGTTAAATACTCAGTTGGTCCAGACCAATTTGTAGCAATCACCGGCAATGCCATTGACATGGCCTCCACCAGTGGTCTCCCCCATCCTTCCCCTCTGGAAGGAAGGACAAAAGCATCAGCAGCACTGTAAACTCTAGGCAAGTCACTCAATGCTATGTGAGTATCAATAACATAGACTGGAGCCCAACCACTAACTGGTTCTACCATACCCGAATTCTTCACAAAATCCAATATCTTCTTACGAAAATTGTTGTCAGTATGATAAGCATTTGTTAACAAGTACAAAGAGACCCCGTCATCCTTTGAGAATTCCTTCAAGTATGCTTTTAACAACACATCCCACCCTTTTCTATATTCCCATTTGAAGATACTTAAAAATACAAAACTCTTCCTCACACAGGAACCTAAGACAAGTTTTGCTCTAGAAGCAAGATCCAATGGCTTGTACCTCACAGGATCAAAGAACTTCACATCAACAGGTTGAACAATCTTCACCACCTTGGAAGGATCAACCCCACTTTGCACAAAAGTAGACATATGAAACTCTGTAGGAACCCAAACATAGTCCATTGTATTACAGCGCTCCACGTGTTCATCATTCACTCTATCAGTCTCGAACATGGTCCTGCCAATAACAGACTTGAAATGATGGTACAAAGATGGAGGGCATGGGTTGGTTTCAAACATTGGAGGGAACCAAGCACCAGGTTCACTATGGCAAATTACAATTGTCTCGTTCATTCTACACCGAGTTTGGTACAGCTCAAGTGCCAAATTCTTCATATCAAGTGGCAAACCCTGCCAAAACTCCAGAGATTCTAGATCACCATGGTGCTCAATCGCCAACCTTAAAGATTGCATTTTTCTGTGGCCATGAAGGGCCAAAATATAGGACCAACCTTCCGAGCTATACCCACCACCTGAAAGAAAGGGGGCCATCCATAGCACACAAGAATGGGACGGCACAGAAACTGGTTTTGAGGGTAAAAAGAGAGACCCAATTGCATGAAAAATGTGTGGTGATGTGAGGGAGTATTTCAAGCGGTGAACTTTGTAGTAGTTTGTTGTTGTGAATCCCCAATAGATTGCTGTAAGGAGAACCAATAAGGAAAGTGAGTGAAATGTAAATTTTCTGAATTTTGATGCGAATGGATGGGTTGTTGGATTGGGAAGAACATGTTGTTTGTTTGATTTAGAGGAATTCATGACAACATATATGGCTGTAGAATCACACTATAACCATAGAGAGACAACAAGAATGATAAATCCTCAGATTCGAAAATGAGGTTAGTATTCTCACATGTTTTTCTTGCAAAATTCAGTTTTTGAGGAACTTGCTTTTACATTTACAAACATAATTTTAACACAAACTCTCACTGTCTCTTTGGTTCCACAATTTATTTTATTTTATATATTTTTTCTTTTTCTATAAGCTTTCAGGCTTCCAGTCAAAATGAATGGGACGACTATTTTAATTCTTTGTTTTTGTACATTTTTACTCTTGATTTTGTAAAACGTTTTTTTCGTATGGATAACTAACATATGGATTTAATTAAATTTAATAAAATATTTTTATAATATAATAAATATATAATTAATTAATATAATTTTTTTATAAAAATTATTATGTAAAGTATAATTAAGATTATAAATATAAAATATATCAAATAATTATTAAAATTAAATAAAAATAAAATAAAATAATAATTATTTAAAATTGATGTTATAAATATGAGATAAAAAATACATCTATTTTTTATAAAAAATAATATTAAAAAATATTTGATCTAAGATTTTTTTATTCACTCGTTTGATTAAAAAATTTAATTAGTTTTATTTTAATTTTATCTGTATTTAATTAAAATCTGATTATTTATTAACAAATCAATTTTTAAATTGGTTGTCGATCAAATTTGTGGACGAATTTTGCAGAGAAACCTTGGATTTTCGAGATATTGGACTCTTACCAATGTTTGCATTATTCAAACCGACTTTCTCCCTTCCACCTCTTTCAGCACTGCTTGTATGGATTCTTTCCTCTTATGCAAAACGCTCCCCTATTAATATAATATATTTAAAAAATACTTAAATAAAATTTTGGTCTATTTTTTTTGTTTATGCATTCATTATATTTCTATTTCTCTTATTTATTTTTTCTTCTTCTCTTTTATCTCTCACTCGTACATCTAACTACAAATATTTTATTTAAATTTAATAAAAACTCGTTAAAGTATTTTTTTTAAATTAATATTAAAATTAAAAAAGATATTAATTAATTAAAATTATGATAATAAATAATTTATTTATGATAATAATAATAATAATAAATAATCAATTTAAAATTACTTTATCATAATAAATTAATTCTTCTTTTAATTAAAAAAATATTAAATGTTTATAAGTTAAAATTATTTTTTATTTAATAATTAATTTAGGTTAGGTTATTATCATTAGTTGAATTGAATAATTTAAATTTTTTTAATAAAAAATATTTTAAAATAAATATTTTATTAATTTTCAATGTTGATTTAAAAAAATATTTTAACATATTTTATTAAATTTTAATATATTATTTTTAATTAGAAGAATAAAATATAATAAATAAAAAGAAAGCAACAAAAACAATAAAAAAAAGAAAAAGAATGAGTAAATAATAAGAAATAAAAAAAGGAGAGAGAAAAAATAACTAATTTTTCTTAAAAAAAATTATTTTGCACAAGTGTATAAGGAATAAAAAATGTATTTAAATAAATAAATTTGTCAAAATTTATTTAAACAATTTTTTAAAATATATTATTTATGATATTTATTAGATTTAATAAAATAAATAATTTAAAATTAATTTTTAACCAAACCCCGTCATAAAATTTATTATTTTAGAATAAGTTTATGGTGAGTAATTGTATTCTACTAAAAAAAATTGATATATCATAAAATTGAACTAAAAATAGGAAAAATTACATATTAATAAAATCACGTACTAACAATGTGAACCACAAATAAAACCTTATTCTTTGTTAACAAATCTTTCCTTAAATTATATGTTTTTTGCGACAATTTATTTTTTGTTCTTCAAGCATATTCAAAGTACTTCGTAGATATTGAAAACTATCAATTTTGAGTGGTTTTGTCAATATGTCTACTAATTATTTTCCGCTATTGCAATAATTCAGTTCAATAACACCATTATTACATAAATCTCTTAAAAAATGAAATCTTATATCAATAGGCTTACTTCTTCCACGTAAGACTGGGTTTTTGGATAATTTTATTGTAAAAACATTATCACAAAAATGACAATAGCTCCCTTTTGACAATGATCTAGATGCTCCAAAGTTCTTCTCAGCCAAACACATTGGCACGACACTAGCTCCCCTCTTGACAATGATCTACATGCTTCAAAATTCTTTTCAGCCAAACACATTTGCAATCACTGCTATGAACTCTGTTTTTGTTGTGGATAAGCTAAGTTTTTTTAATGACCAAAATATTATACCATCTCCCAATTTGAAAACATAATCAAATATGTTATTTCTATCTTCTGGATCCTTGATATTCACGTTCCTTAGAGACATAGCATGTGATTATTCTAAGTATACATCTTCATTGATTGTCCCATGTAATAAGACTGACTTCATATCAAGCTGATAAATGTTCCACATTTTTGTGGCCGCTAATACAATAACAATTTTAATGGTTTCCAAACGAGCTATTGGTACAAAAATGTCGCTATAATCGATGCCCTCTTCTTGAGTGTATGCTTTAAATTTGTCAATTTCCTTTGCCTCCTTCAATCTTATCTTGTAAATTTGACACCTATAATTTTGCAATTTGGTGAGCTCCCATGTATCATTTCTTTGAATGGCTTGAAATTCAACATCCATGACATCTTTCCAATGTTGACTTTGTGATGCTTGGTTATATGTTACTGGATCTGCACCTACAAACATTGCAAAATTTATAGCATCTTCATATAGCATCTTCATTAATTAAACCATTGACATAATCTTTCATCCATGGTGGTCTTCTAGTCTCCCTTCAATAGGAAGGGCTCTTACTGGAGAATCAGAGATTGGGTCCATCCTGTTGTATTGGTGATTGCTATTACATCATCATTCAAGTTTGTTTGGAATACTCCCTCGTTTGCTTGAGCAAATTCTTCCACAGGTCTAGCATCAATCATTCTACTGGTTTCTGCTTCACCAACATCCTCTTTAAATTTGACATCCTGCTGATATGAATCTTCTTATTAATAGGATCATACAGTTTGTAGGCTTTAGACTTTTCACTTATACCTAACAAAACATATTCCAGTTTGCTCCTTTTTTTATCAGGTATATGAACAAATCCAATATAACCAAAAATTCTGAAGTAAGAAACAGATGACTTAAATCCGCTCTATGCTTCTTTGGGTGTCATATTTTTTAGTACAAAAGTTGGATTTCTATTCAAGATATGAACCATTCAATTTACAACTTCGGGCCAAAAGGATCATGAAACTTTTCTTTCTATCAAAAGACTTTGAACCATTACCATACTTATAATGGTCTGAACCATATTTATAATGGTATGATTCTTCCTCTCAGCTACACCATTTTGTTGTGGTGTGTATGAGGCAGAGGACTGACTTTGAATACCCTGTTCTTTACAAAAATCAACAAAGTCCCTAGAGGTGTATCTGTACGTAAAATTTGAATAAAGGTACCAGTTTGTTTTTCTATTAATGCTTTAAAATTTTTAAAGATATCAAATGCTTCACTTTTCTCACCAAGGAAATATACACATACTTTCCTACTAAAATCATCAACGAAAGTGAGTATGTACCTTTTATTCCCATTAGATGTAGGATTGATGGGGTTACATCTATCAGAATGGACTAGTTGCAACACTTGAGATGTACGTCAATTGCTTTGAAGTGGAAAAGGATCTCTTTGATCCTTGTTTCCCTTTGAGACAATGTTCACACAGTTGAGTTAGGGACAGACAGCCCTTTCACCATATCATGCTTTAACAAGGTTTCCAATCCACTATAACTCAAGTGACCATAACGAAAGTGTCAGACTTGAGCTATTGTTGGCTTTGAACTAACTTCAAAGCAATTATAAGAAACTCCAGATTTTAACAAACATGCGGTTAATAGTCATAGATGTTTTAAATATCATACCCTCTCCTTGAAACATTTCACATTTATTTTCTTTCATTTCAATCCTTAATCTTTTCTCCAAAAATTGACCCACGTTAAATAAATTATTCTTTAACTCAGGAACATAAAATACCTCCGTAAATACATGCATAACTTTATTAATTAGCAATTTAACCGTGTCTTTCTCTGTCACCTTTAAAGCATAGTTATTCCGCAACTTCACTTCATCAGAAAAAACAGAATCCATAGAAGAAAAACAGTCATTTCTACCTGTCGTGTGATTGCTACAACCTGAATCAATAAACCACATATGTAATTGATTCTTCATCTGTTGGAAGTTGTGCCATGAGTAACACGATTTCTTCACCACCTTCAGCATAATTTACTTTGTATCCCGAGGTTTCTTTGGACATTTATATCGGAAGTGTTCGAACTCATGGTAATAGTAGTACTCTATTGTTGTCTTATTCATAAATTGTCTACCTCTTCTCCTCTTCGTCTTGCATATGCTCCTTGAAAAACACTTCTTCCCTGTCCATTGTCAGCACTTGTCTCCTAACCTTCAATACTTGTTCTTCATGAGAATTGTGTCCATTCATTCTCTGCTTATACACTAATAAACTACTTTGTAGTTCATCTATAGTCATGAAATCTAAATTATGAGATTCCTCAATGGAACATATTACATAATCGTACGTCAAAGTCATTAAACGAAGAATTTTTTTTCAATAACAATAAGGTCAAATACCTATTCACCTGCAGAATTTTCCATTCACGTCATGTAGTTGAGCTCGCTTCACCCTCGCACTGCCTTGATATTGTTGTTTCAATGAATCCCAAATCTCTTCGATGTTGCTTCTTTAACATTGTTTCAAGCACAGTTCTATCAATAGCTTGAAACAAGTAGTTTTTCCCTTTAAAATCCTTTAATTTCAATTCCTCTAGAGTTTTTCCCTCATTATGTAACCTTTCTGCATGTTGTGGAATTTCATGAATTATAAGATTGCAGTACTCTTTTGATCTTAAGAAGTTCTCCATTAGCAATGTCCAATGATTGTAATGCTCATTCAACTCTGGAATTGCAGGTTGCACGAAATTACTGTCTGTGCTGACCATGATAGAAGTCTGCGGCTTCTTTTCAGTCGAAGTTGAAACTGACTTTGATGTCAGTTGTTATCTCAGAAAACTTGGTTATGTTATTTCTTCGTAAAATAAAAAAGCTAAATATATAGATTTAGTTTTACTATTGATAAACTAAAAAATAAGAAAGATAACTCTCACGTGCTAACAAAGATAACACACATTTAATATCTTTGAACAAAAATGCTCAAAGAGTAGTAACCAAGTTTTGAGGAATGATTCCATTTTTATCGGATGCCCCGAAGGGACTAAGGAGTATTTTCAATGTAAGGTTTGAAGGTTTGTTTCTGAACTTGTTCCTGAAAATTCTTCTGCTGAAGAATAGTCTAATATCCTACTTTAGAAAAAAAAAGTCCAATAACTTATCCTTGTTAGTTAAAAGAAGTTATAAAAACACTGAACTTAGTTTCATAGAGTATATTGAATGTAAAAAAACTTAGTGCACAAAAACCAAAACCACAAGAAGGGAAACATAAACTTTGTCATGATTATTATACAAGCTGCAAATAAGCCTTTAGAAAATATGATATCTTTCTTACGTGGAGTTTTTAGCATCTACATACAAATATTTGATAACATCCCTCATCGCAGGTCTGCTGCGTGGATCCATTGATGTACATCTGAAAGCCACCAAAAGCACCTTTGTAACTTGTTTCATCACATCAGAATTTGAAATTTCATCGGCCAGTTCTGAATCAACAATTTCATCAACAACTCCCGTTTCCTCCCAGATAGATCTAGCCCAATTAACTATATCTGTTCCTTCCATAAATGATGGATCCAATGCCTTCTTTCTGGATATCAGCTCCAACAAAACTACCCCATAACTGTATACATCGGACTCTTTACCCTTTGTTGTTGTATAAGCATTCTCTGTCAAAGACAATCATTTAACATGTTACTATGGTAGAGGATTAGGAAATAAAAGACGTTGTTATGCAACAACAAAAAAAGGTGCAGTTATCATGTGGACTGTGTAGAAGAATTACCTGGTGCTATATAACCAAGTGTACCAGTGACAGATGTTGAATGTGTGGTGGTAGAATGCTGATCCAATAGCTTGGCAATACCAAAATCTGCAATATGAGGCTCCATCTCAGAATCTAGAAGTATATTGGTTGTTTTGATGTCTCTGTGCACTATGACAGGATCACAGTCGTGATGGAGATAAGCCAATCCATGAGCAATTCCAACAGCTATTTTATTCCGGATATTCCACTCTAAGGCGTGTGATCGACTCTTCTCATGCAAAACATCATGCAGACTTCCATTTGGCATGTATTTGTATGCAATTAGACCATAGTTTTTTCTCAACCAGCAACCTTCCAATTTGGCCAAATTTCGATGCCTAATCTTTCCAAGGGTTTGAATTTCTCTGGTCATGCTTGAGCTTTTCCCTTCATCACTAGCAAATACTACCTTCTTTATAGCCAAAATATTGTCTGGACCAAGTTCTGCTTTGTAAACAACTCCCTGACCGCCTCTTCCAATAATATACTGATCGTTTAGATTTCCTGTAGCTTCCATAACCTTATAGAGAAGTGATGGGGAATCATCTTCCCCATTGATTGTGACTTCCTGCTTAATTTTTCTGATAAAAAATATATAAATTAACCCCAGCATCAGAATAACAGATATTAAGGATCCAAGTGCTATCATCGCAGTTGCAACTTTACTGAGCTTTTTTGACTTTTCTGAATTTGAGTCACATGGCCTTAAATAGCTGCTTTCAGTGAAATTTGAGCTACATAGGCCAGGATTGCCCAAAAACGACAAAGAAGAATTTGGTAAATTTGTTAGCTGCTGTGGCACATGCCCTTCAAAAGAATTATATGAAACGTTGAGCTCAGATAATGAACTGAGCTCATCAAGAACCTGTATACTTCCTGTCAAATTGTTCCAAGATAGATCCAGTCTTAGCAGATTCTTCAGGTTTTTAATCTCAATTGGAAGCTCACCTATCAGCCCATTAGCACTTAGATTTAGCCCATATATCAAATCCACCAGTTCTCCAATTGATCTAGGAATGTTTCCTCCAAACATGTTTCCTCCAAGTCGTAACTCATTGAGCCTTTCAAAATCTGACAAGAAAGGTGGGATACCACCATCAAAATTATTCTCCGATAGAATTAAAGTTGTTAATTGAGTCCAGCTCTGAAAACTTGATGGAAACGAACCATTCAAGAAATTGAATCCAACATCAAACTTTATCATTTTGTTACAGTTTGACAGTTGATGTGGCAAAGGACCTATCAAAGTATTGTGAGAAAGATCCAAAGTCTGGAGATTCACAAGGTTTCCTAGCTCTGAGGGTACAAGACCTGTCAAGTTGTTCGTGGATAGATCTAAAAGAGAGAGATTTGTGCAGTTTCCCAAACTTGATGGAATTTCTCCACTGATGTTGTTGTTGTTGATGCTCATGTAAGAGAGATTTGGATTAGTTTCAAAATCAGGAAGTGCCCCAGTAAAATTGTTTTCCTCGAGTCTTACCCTTGTAAGAGTTGTGCACCTTCCAACATCAGGAGGTATGCTGCCATAAAATAGATTGCTACCCATATTCAGCCTGATCAATTTCTTTCCAAAGCAAAGATTCGGTGGGAGGGCACCGGTGAAATTATTATACATGAAATCTAACACAACCAAACTGCTGTGGATTCCTAAGCTTTGAGGTATGACTCCAGAGAACTGGTTGTTAAACAAGGTGATATTCTCAAGATGTTTAAGTTCTGCCATCTCAAGAGGTAGCTCACCTGAAAGGTTATTACTGTATACATGGATCTGCTCAAGTGTTTGAATTTTCCATATGCCAAGTGGAATTTCTCCTGTCAAAAGGTTTTCAAACAATCTAAGATCGCGTAATTTACTCAAGTTTCCCAGTTCACTGGGAATTTCTCCTTCGAGTTCATTGGAATTCAAATGCAACTCTTCCAGTGATTTGCAATTACCAATCTGTGGAGGTATTTTCCCAGAAAATCGGTTCTCTGAAATCAATAGAAGAGAAAGGCTGGTCAAGAGGCCTAAGGTTGACGGTATACTGCCAACTAAGTTACTCCTTGCAGCATAAAACTCTATCAGGCCACTACAATTCCCCAAGCTTGCTGGTATACCCCCACTAAAGTTATTGAAAGAAAAACTTAGTCTAGACAATTTCTTGCAATTTCCAGATCCCAATTGAATAGTACCTCCAAGACTATTATCATTGAGATATAACTCAATTAGATTTTTGAGATTATTTAGACTCTCCGGAATAACACCCCACAGTTGATTACTTTCCAAATACAGATTCTCTAATTTACTACAATTTCCAATGGATATGGGAATAGTCCCTGACAGCTGATTATAAGAAAGATCCAGTATGACAAGGTTAGTGATGTTCCCAATACTCGAGGGAATAGAACCACTTAAACTGTTGTTACTAAGATACACTACTTCCAGGAGAGGAATTTCCAACAAGGATTTAGGAATCTCACCACTCAGCAGGTTAACTGAGAGATCCATGTACTTCAAATCTTGTAAGTTTCTGAAGATATCTGGTATTCCTCCACTAAAGTTGTTTACAGTAAGGTCTATGTACTCAAGCATGCTACAGTTGTTTAATTCTGGGGGGATTTTTCCAGAGAGATTATTATATGACAAGTCTATGGTTTGCAAGTTATTCAAACGTCCAAGATCAGGACCTAATTGGCCAGAAATGGAATATCTACTGAGGTTCAGAGAATCCACATTACCGGCATGATCACAATGCACTCCTGCCCACGAGCATGGAGTGGAATCAGACAACTTCCATGTGGAGTTTATGTCAACGGACCCAACAGTCCAGTCCCTGGAGAGGGACAGCAATGCCAACCCATCAGAATTCAAGGCAGAAGCAGCATATAACAACGTACAAAAACATAGAAGCAGCAAGAGAGGCCCCATAGAAAGAAGCATTATAGACCCACAACAAGGTTGAAGCTTTTAGAGGGAATAAGCACTTAACAAAGAATGGTGTTGTTTTGGGCTTTAGGCTTTATTTGGAGGAGCATAAATTGCCTGTATAAAGACAGAAAAAAAGGTGAGATAGGAGAGTTTGTGCAAATGAAGTAAGAGAAAAGGTAAAAGCTGAAACTGAAGAAGCATTTTGGTCTTGCATATAAATAGTGGGATTGGTGCCATGCAACTTGGTGCATATTGGATACGGTAACTTTTGGCTTGTTATTAGCTTTTGTCCACTTGCAACATAGTTGCTGATTTTAAGGTTGGAAAATGCAAATGTGTGTGTGAACTGCTACTGGTGTGCGCCGTCTTCTGGTTCCTTTTTATGGCTTGAGTTATTCATCGTTTTGACATACTGATCTAATCCGTGTACTTGTTAACCACCATTCTTGGTCAACAGTGGTAACGCTTTCGTATAGATAGATGCAAGAGGGTCATGACTTTGAAGTTTGAAGCTTGGTCTAGGGATGCAAGATAAAACTATCAAGTTTAGATAAATAAAAATAGTCAAACATAGCATTCTCTAATCAAATTTAACAACTTTATAATTTATGACTATACATGTAAATTATTTCAAGGATGGTCTTCTATGGATATTAAAAAAAGACAGCAGAAAATCGTCACCATAATATATGGGTGCATTTGGAAATATATGCATAAGATAATTTAAAAGTAAAAGATTATAATAATACTACTTATAATCTTGTTTTGAAAATTGGATAAAAATCTAAACTTTTTGCTGATTTATTTTTGTTTGGTAACTATTATAGATTTAAATAATATCATATATTTAATTTAAGTTTTTCTGTATTTTTCAATTTTTTAAATCTATTAAAAATTAATTTTAATTAATAATAATAATAAGTTGTCAGATCATATGATCTGATTTTAAAAATATTTCGATGAGTGTCAACAATTTTTTATGTTTAAAATTACATAAACTTTTTGCTGGTTTTTTAGTTATAGGAGGCTTCAAATTTCAAATATTGAATCTCTGTGTTGGATCGGTGATAGAAAATAAGAAAGTGAAAAAAAAATTGTTTTTTAGATGAAAGAGAGTAGAAAATTAATGAAAAAAAAAATAAAGTTGTTTATATTTGATGAAAAATGAAAATGAATGAAAAAAAATCATTTTATTTATTATTATTAAAAATAGAAAAATCCATAATTAATTCTAACTATTCGTAATCGATTAAAAATATTGCATAATCATATATAATCCCTCAAAATCTTTTTATTTTATTTTTACGAAATAATTGATTATTTATGTAACATAATTATTACATTTTCACGTAGAAACTACAAATAAAAAATGAACCTAGTTTTCTCTTCATATCTAACCATGGAACATGAGAATAAATAAATAAATAAATAACAATAAAATCCACAAATTTTTTTTCACAATAAAATAAATAAATAAATAAATAAACCGCCACAATTGATTAGAATATTGATAAAGTATAGGTAGGCTATTCCACGCTAGTGGGTAGTTCAAAAACTCATTAATCGCTCTATTTTCACAGACTTTTCCACTTTATAACTTGTTTTTTATACTTTTCTGGTGACATAAAGATTGCGTTGAAGTCGTTGGAGCAATTCTATTCCATTTATACTTTTACAATTATATATATAATCTCACACTTTATTTTCTTTTTATTTCGGAATGTTTTCAAGATCTAGATGATGGAAACAAGGTGTGAAAACAACAATTAACACTTGTGTTATATTATATCACCATTTAATTTATATTTTATGTCATAAAGAGACAATATATATACTCTTTGATTAAGTTTTTGTTTTCAAAATATTAAAATTAAGTCGACAATCTTGACTTGAGTTTTGGCGTCTGTTTTGACATTCGCAGCTACCCTAAGTCATTTTCAATACAAATAGACATAATAAAATATAATACCAAACAATACTAAAGTTAATCAAACTTAATGTAATCATACAAATTGACACAATATTTTTTATAATATAATATAAAAATTAATAACTACAATATTATGTATCTAGAAAAAGAGAATATAGGAGAAAAATGGAAAAAAAATGTGTACAATATATAAAAGAGATGAGAGAAAAATGTTATATATATATATATATTACAAAATAAACTAAAATAAAATATAAATCTTTAATTTAATCTTATTCTTTATATATATATATATATATATATATATATATTAAAATATCTTAAATATTATTTGCTTTAAAACATTAACCATTATAATATTTCCTTATAAAGTAACCTGAATCAGAAGAAAAAAACAACAACTTTTAAGTTATATTCAACGTCCCAAACCATAAATATTATTTTATACCAACAGGCTTATTCTTGTATAAAAGACAAAAGTTAGTTTATTTTTGTTTTTCCTTAAAAAAAAGGTAGTTTTGGTACGAGAGTATAATTAATACTAAATTTCAACCCTATTTAATCAAACAGTAGCATTTGTTTGATTTCATGGGACACGGTTTGGTATATTTTATTCACTTGTACGGAATAGACCTTTGCTGGCACAGGGAACAGGTCCATGGATTTAAAGCTTGAATACTTAAATTAAAACTACTAAAAACGGATAATAATCCAATCCAACAAAATCGATTTAGTACGATAAAAATTATATATATATATATATTATTAATTTTATCTTATTTTTAATTATATAAAATTTTATTACAAAAACTTTTTATCCTTTTAAAATTTAATCTCTGAAAATTAGTTAGATTCACTGTGTCAAAAAGTAAAAATCAAGTTGTTGAAAAAGTGTTTTAATGGGGTTGCAAAAAGGAACGGCCTAAAGTAATCCACTAACAAATTTGGGCTCAGGGTCGGTCTTGGGCTTGGGTCGGGATTATTTGAATTGGGCCTGAACGTTCTCTTGCTACTCAAACATGAACTTAGCGCAAACGCAATTTCGCCCTCTATAAATAAAATAATACGAATAGTTGGTGGAAGTTTCCACCGAAAAACTCAGAAATTGATGAGAAAGTTCCGATTATAATTCGGTGGTTTATAGCGTTAAGCAAAAACCCAAAATTCTAAGTCTCTTTGTTTACGTTGTTTCCCACATTCCTTTGTTCTCTTCTCTCTTCTCTCTCCCATTCAATTTCAAAGGCGTAGAGTGAGGTCGCGGACGATGAAGAGAGTATTTGGTGTCAAGAAGAACAAGGAGCCTCCTCCTTCCATTCAGGATGCTTCCGATAGGGTTTCTCTCTCTCTCTCTCTCAATTATCAATTCCGTTTATTCGCAGATCTGTTCATTTTTTTTCACTGGAATCCATGTTTTGAAGCAAAGATAATGAATGACATTTTGGCTCAAACCCTAAAATGGAGCAAATGATAATTTAGATTGTAGCTCGTTTCTCTCTTTTTTTAAGTTGGCACTTTCAGTTAAATACTTTTCTTTATTATGATTTTGGAGTTCGGATTTTTTTTTTCTTCGTAATTCTATTGTGCAAAAACACATGTTTTTTCTTTCTTTTTTTGGTTTCATAAGATTTATTTTGATATTGGTTTTTATGACGATGTTTTTATTTCTGTTAAGTCAATTTGACTTGGTTTCGTGAGTTGCTAATTGGTGTGTATGTTTTCCAGATTACTAAACGAGGTGACACGGTGGATGATAAGATTAAGAAGCTTGATGCCGAGCTAAGTAGATATAAAGAGCAGATCAAGAAAACTAGACCTGGTCCGGCCCAGGAAGCGATTAAAGCTAGAGCCATGAGAGTTCTTAAGCAAAAACGAATGTGAGTTTGCACTTTCTGTGTTTCTTAGCTTACTGTTGTCATTTAGTAATCAAATTAGTTGAGCCAAAATTACGGATCAAAGATGGGAATTTACTGAAAGGTTTGAGTTTGTGGGCATATACAACAATAGCTGAATAATAGGATAGTTGTGCTAATGAAAGATCATTGATAAGAAATTTAGTTAAGCTGAACTGCTATTTCAACAAAGTTTTATCAATTCTGTTTCGGAAAATGGCGGAAAGCTGATATTCCGCGATATCATATAGTGGAAAGCATCATGTGCAAATGAGATTATCCTTCACAGTCAAATCTTTCGTGATTATCCTTTACAGTAACTGAACATTGCAAAATAGAAAGTTATGGTATTTCATTTCATCGAGAAATATCATGTTATCATAACAAGCTATGTTGTTGTGCTTCCTGTGAGTTGTGTCCATTTGATAGTTATGTAATATGTGTGGATGATTAGGTTTTCTTTATGATGTTGCAGAAGTCTAAGTTTTAATTCCTTATATACATGTGAATGTGATTGCTATATGTTCGTAATGGAAATATATTTTGCTTAACTCAAATGTTGGACTTAGAATGACTAGGAGTACTTGGCATCTTTACTTCCAAGATGTCCTAAGTTGGACTTAAGAAAATAAAATAATCTATAATTTTTAATTTTATTCATATAACAATACACTTTTAATTAATGTTATGTAACTGTACTCATATATCAATGTACTATGCCTTTGGTCAGGTATGAAGGCCAGCGTGATATGCTTTACAATCAGACATTCAATCTCGATCAAGTTCAATTTGCTTCTGAGGGAATTAAAGATGCTCAACAAACTGTATGTATTTTAGCACTTATTAATTTTCTATGCGTCCCTTATATTGAACTCTTTATCCTGCATCCATCTGCGTGTGATATTTCTTTGTTCTATGCAAGAATATGTGGATGATTTAATTTATAATGGAAGATGTTTAACAGTAACAAAATTATACGGATTAAATCAAACAATTCATTACATAGCATCATCCTTCCCTCTTTTAAAGCCCTTCCTGTGATTGGTTGCAGTATTGCACCTGTGCCTAAGGTCATTAGGCAGTGAGGCTTGTTATTAGTATGTTTACTGAATGGGGAAACTTATGGTTCTTGTTTTGATGATTTACCCTGAGGGTTAAGTCTGGCAGAGGTACTTCTACATTGTGAGCTATATTGGTCGCATGTTTTAGTCTGGAAAACAGCTTTTCCACCAGTTAGGTTAGGTTGTTTTCATTTGAACCTCTTTAGTCCCCACGTTAATGGTAGTCTTGTGCAATACTGAGCTGGCCTTTGTTTTATGATTTATTGTTTTTTAATATTTAAATTCAAATCAGTTAGATGTTTGTCACCATCTCTAAATATCTACTAGTTTGACCATGTCAATTGTATCCTATATAAAATATAGTTGATTGGGGTACTCATATTCACTATAAAACATTCGTTTGTCTTGGTAGCGCTTTAAGGGGCATGGTTCGAGGCGGAGCTTTGTCTGTACCCTGTTTGGAACCTGCTGCCTACCTCATGAGAGGTAGGTCATGAGGTAGGGGATGAATCGTCTGTCATTTGGGAGGGGTCTCTTAATAGAGATGTTTTATATTGTGCTTTATACTTCTGTTATAACAAATTCTACTATATTTTGGTTTTCAGAAATCAGATGAAGTCAAAAAGTATTTCTTTTCATGCTGATATAGAATTCAAATTCAATCGTTTTACAGTTTTTTTCCTTTTTACCCCTTCCCTTTTTCAGATGTCAGCTTTGAAGTCTGCTAACAAGGAGTTGAAGGGAATGATGAAAACTGTGAAGATACAAGACATTGATGTTTGTATTCTCGTTACCTTACTCTTATAGCTTCTTCTATCTTGCTAATGTTGAAAATTATAGGGTTTAACTATTGATCTATGCCATGTGTAGAACTTGCAAGATGAGATGATGGACCTCATGGATGTAAGTAATGAGATCCAAGAGACTTTGGGTAGAAGCTATAATGTGCCTGATGACATTGACGAGGATGAACTAATGGGTGGTAAGTAACAAATTTGGTTAGGCCTTCGAGATATTTGTTGGGAACTTTTCTCAAAAACACCTTGCTAACATGGCTTTATTGTTGGGTAGGGTAATGGGATTTTATGGCCATGTGATGAAAACTGGTTTTGAGAGCATGCACTCCATCAAATTTTCACGGGGATAGACCCCCTCCCCCAATTTTTTTATCATGAAGTGGCTTTAATGATCTTTTTCTTTGTTTTTTGTTTTTGGTAAAACAGAACTAGATGCATTGGAATTAGACATGGGAAATGAGACTGAAGCTGATGGGGTCCCATCCTACCTCCAACCTGATAAAGAACCTGATTTAGAGGCAGAGCTTAACTTACCTCCAGCTCCTACAGGACAAACGACAGTACCACCTGGCAGATCCAATGCCCAGGTATAATGTTTTGCCTCTTATATACATGTACTCGTTGTGGAGTAGTTGGTGTTAAAACAGGTGACTCTTGCCATTCGTTAGAATATTATTTGGAAGCAGGTTGGTCATGCCATTTATGTTGTCTATAGGTAGATTAGATACATTGTTTGATTACTGAAATGATTAACTAATTGGGGGAAAGAGCATGTGGTAGTCTATATAATGCTGGAAAAGATGTTGGAAAAATGGGGTGTTATTCAATACCTGTAGGTTGTCTGTCTAGACGGCACAATATTTTCTTTGTAAAATTGATTGTGGCAGAGTCTTGGTAGAAGGATGGGGTTTGGGGGTTCTAAAGCAGATCAGAAAAATAGTGTGGTTGTTACAACGCATCATCCCCTGGTTTCTTCATAATAGGGAGTATGGGAAGCCCATACCTAGTACGTCGTTTTTTGCGACAACTGCATTGCATGGTAAATTTATGGATGTTTGGTCGCATTCTTATGTATGACGATATAACTTGTAATATGCCTCACTCACTGCTTTATGTTCATTATTTGTGTCAAACTTTCTGTAGCTTAACTGATTACTGAAACGATCTTGACACTGTTCAAGAATCTGAACGAAATAGGTTACTATATTTTCTGCTATTTTGTTTTAAATGATAGCATTCCTGATTGATGACTTTGACCCTGACAGACTGAGGATGAACTGGGTTTACCTGCTGTCCCTCGGGCATCCATACGCGGTTAAAGAATGCTTTTTTTCCCTTAGTGCAGTCACAAGCAAACCCGCAAACCCTTGTAAAGATGTGCAGATCTTAAGAACGTCGATTGATACAGTGATTTATTGGTTTGATGTTGCCATTTTTAGACTTTTATCTCTTATTTTTCCTTGTAATAATAAACTATGTGGAATCGCCCTTGTTCTTTGTATGAAACTCATGACGGGAAAAAAAGAATACTTGATATTGTCAAAAGCTTGGAACCTGCAGAAAATTTATATATACACTCTCGTTATCCAAACTGTACTGTAGCCGGTAAGGTGATTTATTGATCTTATGCAATATATTTCTATAATTGTAATAGTACAAAAGTCTAAAGTGGGTGCATGGGTGTGTTTTGTATGTACAGTGTTATTCAAATTAAATATTTTTTCGATTATAGAATAACAAAGTTATCCTTGGGAATTAATGCGCAATCAAAATGTTGACAAAGATGAAAAACCAATTTCGAATGTTTCAAATTGTAACCCCAATACCGTACACGCAATGGTGATACATATATGGTCAACCTGCAGAAGTCGTTAGTGACCGTTAATTTAAATTATGACTTGTAATCTCAAATTTGGGGTGCTAAAACAATTCACAACTAATTGAATAGAAAGTAGTCACATTCGCACCACACACAAGAGAGAGATTAGCTTAGCACAAAGTCCTTGTCATGCTACACCACATGGAAACTTCTCGCAGAAGGAGAAGCCAGCCAACAAATTAACAACATTAAATTAAAAGTTAATTAACATAAAATATGAAGCAGATGTAAACGTTGACCCCCAAAACTATGATGAAGCCTACCTCATCAAACAAATTTTGGTAAACCTCGTTACTTACCAAATTAAGGAGCATAACAAGCAAATCCATCCTTCAAATCAATTCCATTTTTACTTGAAGATGGACAATAGCACCACCAACAAAACCCATGGTTTTGATGCAGGTGGGTTCACATATGGAGTGGCGTTTGTAATTGGGTTGGTGTTCTTACTTCTCACGGTGGGTTTTGCATGTGTGCGCCTTCGCATGGCTAGAGGTCCCAACATGCTCAATATTTTGGCTGGTATCCCACCATCTCATCACACAAGAGAAGAAGATTCAGCTGAACAAGGCCTTGGCCTAAGCCTTCATCACATTGACACAAGTTTTGAAAGCTACCCGAAACTTCTGTACTCCCAAGTACAGAAGGGTTCAAGTTCAACCAACATTTCTTCTTCTAGCTGCTCCATCTGCTTAGGGGACTACAAAGAGGGTGACATGTTGAGGTTACTTCCTCACTGTGGCCATATTTTCCACCTTGCATGTGTTGATCCTTGGCTGAGGTTTCATTCAACTTGTCCCATATGTAGAAAATCTTCTCTTCAACCTTCACATAATTAATATCGACGTGTTGTGTCCATCATAAACTTGTTAAATTATAACACTACTTAGGAATATATATTATCAATTATTTGTTCTCTACTTTTGCTGAATTGATCATTGCTACTCTGATATGTCTCATCAGACAATTTTTCTTTTCTGTCTGCACCCCATTTGGATGTTCTCGAGCAGTAGTTTTGGTTTCGGGTACAATGATAACTTCAAATTATATTTTGTTTTCATTTTTTTTTTATTTGCCTTACTTCTTTTGTCCAATTATGTTAACGCTCTAATTATTCGATATTGTTGTCATGATTATTCTTTAACTATTTAAAATAAATTAACAATATTAACTTGCCTTTCTTTAACTAAGGAATTTGGTAGAAATGCAGTGTTCAAAGTTTTTTTTTTTTATATCGGTCAATGAATTATTACCTTTTCAAATGATATTATCATTCTGGATTTTAAATTCATCAAGATGTTTTAAACATTAAAGGTTTATCCAAATTCATAAAATAAATATGTAATTAAAAACTATTTAATTAAAACTATTACCATTTTATTCTACCAAAAATCTTCAAGAATAATTTATAAACATATTCTTTTAATCTGTTAAAACCGAACATAATCTTATGAATTCACAAAACGAGTTTACACCTGGGAGGAACAACTACAATTTACAAATACCAAATAAAATAAAACGAAGATTAAATATATATGTATTTTAGATTAAGATAATATTTTAAGCCACTCTTCTAACTCATTCAAATAAATAAATAAAAGCAAAGAAATCCAAATTTTGACCAAGAATGGAATATGAATTAGATCGATGTCACAATCGAACATAAAAAGCATCGAAGATAGTTTTGAACTTTTAATAAAACGGTACGCAGCTGCTACAAACTAGAGATAGGATATGTTGAGTACAAGCCAAAATAGACTTCCAATAAAAACATGAGAAAATTAAAAGCTAATGTTCAAGGGATTATGCCATTGGCTGGGATTATGCCATTGGCTCGCATTATGCCATTAGCAAAATCATACATAAATATATTAACGCATGCATATTGCACATACATTCTGAACCTCAGAAACCATTGTCTAATATCTGTGATGACCATATATGATGAATAGTTCAGAGGAGTCTGTGTTATTGCTTGTGGGCTTTATCATTCTGACCCTTGTAGTCACACTTGCTGCTTATTTGTGCTCTAGTGATATTCCAGGCACCATTCCTTCTGTGCCTGTTGGTGTCACACACTCCGACCACACCACAATCACTGTGGACCCACCTGAGCCATGCATAGATCAGAGTGTGTGCAGTTTTCCAAGTCTCCAATTTTCCAAAGCCAAATTGTGTAGTAGCACTAGCAGTAGCTCTTCAAGCTGTTCCATATGCTTGATGGATTACAAGGACTGTGATTCCTTGAGAGTGCTGCCTGCCTGTGGTCACTTCTTCCATGTCAAGTGTGTTGATCCTTGGTTGAGAATCAATTTGACCTGTCCAGTTTGTAGGACCCCAATTACCCTCTCAGATGTATGTAAAACTGTGTAACAGTAAAGAATTATTTCATATTTAATGACTCTATATACAATATATAGGGTTCTTGAATGTTGAGGATTGAATTTAGTTGAAGGGAAACAAAACTAGAAGATTTTTCATGGAAACTAATAGTTTGGTTTATTTATTTGACTAGAAATGATGTAATGCTCTAAGATAATCGTTGTGATCTGTGCTTGCCATGTTAAATTTGATCAATGCCTGTCCATGGTTTTGGTTTTCAGGCAATGTTGCAATGGAAAATTTTACCTTCTTCAAATTGGCACATTCATTGAGTGAAATATTTTATACGTAATAATCTCACTCAATTACTTATTTTAGTCTTTAAATATATTTGCTGATATTATCATTTAAGTTATACTATTTCTGTGTACATATGCAAATTACTGTCACAATCTTCATTGGTATTGAGGGAATCAAGTTCAACATACTGTATCCCTACAAAACGATAGGGAACCACATATATATCTTAAAAAAAGAAGGTAGCTATGGTTCCATTGAAGGAATCCAAACTCAAGATACTAAAAAGCAAGCAAGAAATCCAAATCTCCCCTTACACAACTACAATATGATGAGAGTCTCAATTGAAAACCAAACCAATACAAAATCAATCTAATTAGCCTAAAATGCACGTACCCTGCATGCATGTTGTATCCCCTACACTACATCACCCAAAATCCAAAAAAAGCACCAAGCATAGATAAGACTTTCCCCAGAGACAGAGAGAAACTTATCCCACATGCCAAGGCCACTGCATTATTCACATCATCTTGAGTGGAAGATGGCACAGGAGAGTTCCCACCATTGCCTCCTGAAGTGTTTCCAGTAGAAGGTTGGGGGCTACTTATGCCACTAGATCCATGAGGTTGAGGAGCAGATCCATTTGGTGATAGCTGTGGAGGAGAGATTATGATTGGCACTTGAGAGGGTAATGGTGATGGTGAAGGTGATGGTGATGGTGATGGGGGGTTTTGTGAAGAACCTTCATGAACAGAAATCGCTATCTTCTGGCCTAGACAACAGTAGTTAGAGATGCTGCATGTGAAGAACAGCACACCTTTCTCCTTCAGTGGAAGAATTACTGGGCTGCTATTGAATATCCTTAGAGGCTCAAGAGATGTGCAATGCTCGTACTCTTGTTGTGATACTTGAATTAGGTTGTAGAATTTGTCATCGAACAGGAATTCTGTGTTAAAATTTCAAAATTCATCAGAACTGCCATATAAATATATGCCAAAGTTAACAACTAAATTACATGTTTTGTAAATATATACAAGCAGTAATCAATCCACCAAACCCTTGAAATGATTGAGGAAAAAGAAAACTACAAGTAAATGTTAAACAATTAACAACAAAATTCGATTAGAGATCCTTTATTCTATGTAAAGTGAGGTATTAAGAGATCAAAACCCATGTGTTCTAGCTCAAAATAAATTTTACTATCAAATGTACATATTATAAAGATAGAGATAATATTGAAAGTACTTGTATCAAAATATATTTTTTGTTATCATTTTTCAAGTGTAATGCACATTTTTAGAAGAATGTCAACATTTATCATGTATGTTTATTAACAGAATGATATTCCTCACATTGCAAGCAGCCAAATGACATACATAAAGCTAGAAAGAATATAATTTTTTTACCTGCTTAATGAAGCTAGAGGGTAGGGATTCAAAAGGTAGTGGTCTTCCATAGCCATGATAAATAAATTAGAGATCTTATGGAAAGAAGGAAATGAACTTCCTATCATGTTTCTATCTAGCATAAATATATCAAAGCAAAAACAGAAGACACAATCCTTCAACTATACGAGCATTTCTTATAAGGCTTTTACCAATAGAATCGCCTGCTCTTATGAAATGGGAATGTGTCCAATTATTGTAGAATGTTGGATATGGTGGAATAATCCAGCCTGCTGAATCCCCCACTGTGAATTTCGTAGCAGAACAGTGACAAAAGAAGGCTAGAAACAATGCTGAAAATGAGAGAACAAAGGGGTTTTGATGATGCATCATGTTTTTGAAATTGAACAAAGAGTGAAAATTGAGGAGAGGAGAAAGAGACGATTGAAAATGTTTGGCAGGCAAATTAAATCATTCAGAGATGTAACCGCACATTTAAGGTGAGAGGGGAATATCAATATATATTGATGGTTTTACGTTAGAGAGAAAAATTTGACTAAACTGTATTGCTTGAATTAATGTCTTTTACTATTTCAAAACGAATTTTGAATTTACTATGGTGATTACTACACTGCAAAAGATGAAACCTCTCGAAGACATAATGAACCAGGTAACGAGTGTTGAAACTTTCTGTAACAGGTTCTAATTGGGATTCAACATTTTCAATGCCTAATTAATAAAAAGCAAAGGTCCTCAACATTCTTATTTTTTCCCAAGATCTTATGCTGTGCTGAATAATGCTGATACTGGTATTTTAGCTTCTTCAGCTAATGATCGTGTTATGGTAGTTTTCTAATTTCTTATACATTGATTATGCATCTGATCCACACAATAAAAACACAAGAGAACAAAATAAAACTGAGCAAATTATATTAGCACATGCAATTCTTGAGATTGCACACAATACTTGTGTTTCATGGATAATAGGGAGTATTAATGCAATTCAAACAATTAAGTTCATGTTTGAATATTTAGAGAAACACAAAAGTACTTTTACAAACATATTTTTAACTTGTAAACAAACATTAACATAATGAATACCTGAGGGTGATTTGCTAGTAAATGGAAGAGAAGGATGCATAGACTTCTGATTCAAGTGGTTGAATCCTTTTATTAAGGTATAAAACTAAATACATCGAAAAAGCACACTGAATCTGAAATTCCAAGGACTTTAGATTGGTCCAAGAATCAACACTAACAGGCAATGCCAAATGCCTATCATCAGTGAAAAAAAAAATGAAAGAATGATCATTACCAAAAAAATGAAAAAAATAAATGCAGTTCCCACAAATTTACGTACAAAGTCTATTACAATGGATAGAACACACTAAGTATAGAACTCCATCACAGTAGGTAGAACACAGAAGTGTAAACTGATCTATTCTTCATCAGCTAGCAGCAATAAGGGCACAGAATCAACCCATTCTCATTACACTGAGAGCACTGATTGCACTCTCCATTTTCCTCCATGACCTTGTGGCTACCATTACACTTGAAGCACAGCACAAACCTTATCCCTCCACATGCATCACAAGGACCATTGGAGTAATCCATTGGAACCCCTTCAAAGATTTTCCTCAGCTTTCCTTGCTCATGCAGACTAAGAACTTCTTCTGCCCCACCGATATACCTTCCCTTCACAAAAAGCCTTGGAGGCACTAATTTACCATCCAAACTGCTCCACAACTCATCCCTGAACTCCTTGTGCATTGATATGTCCCTCTCAAAATACAAAACCTTGAAACTCTGAAGTAAGAAGCGAATTTTGTTGCAGTCTTCAAATGTCTTCCGGATTCCCCTAAGCGATGTGGTGTAGAAAATCACAGTTCCATCTCCCCCCGGTGGACATTTCTCTTCAAAGGACATCAAAGGGTTGGGGTCAGTGTCATGGTCATTATCTTCCACTTTCTGTGAAGATTCTTCTTCAACTCTGGCTCTCCTATGTTCTTCTGTCATTCTAGCATGTTCCTTCAGGGCTTGCTCGAACGCCGCCAGCAGATTCGGATCAAATAGGCTCCCAGAGTTCAAGTCCGGCCTCCGGAACGATGGAATGTCAGAGTCTACCAAATGGGTTTTGGTTTTTCTGTTACTGTCACTATCAACTCTTGCTGGTGAAGACTTTTTTTCCTCCAAAACCCCTCTCTGTTTTGACTCTGATTTTGCTCGGTTCTCACTCTGCAAAACACCCTTGTTGTGTTGGAGAGGTTTCACCGGACCTATGTTCTCTTTGTTGTCATTGTAATCCTCCAAATTCCTTTCTTCTTCATCCTCCTCAAGGTCTTTCATCAGCTCTGCCACGTCTATGATCTCAGGTTCCTCCTGCATATGCATTTTCTCGCAGCTCTGAACAGTTTTCTCAGACTTATTTTCCCGGAAAACAAACGGGGCATGCAGGTTGAAACTCGGAATCTTTGGGAGAAAATCAACATACCCATCCGAGGCCTTTAGTTGGAGAATTCGATCTTGCTTGAGATACCCTACTGGTTTGATCGATTTGAGCTTCTTCAGAAATCTTCCTTTCACCCCCTTCATTTTTTGTGTGAGCTGTTGCAACAAATTATTATCTGTAAAGAGATAAATTGAAATGGGTTTAGTTGTCTGAATTGGATTAAAGAATAGGGATGAGTGGGAAAAGCGAGTGTGAATGAATGATGATTTTCTTCTTCTTGGAATCCTGAGACAGAGTAAGAAAGAGAGTGACGTGACAGAGTTCCAACGGCTACAATTTTTGTTGAAGCATTCTAAAAATGCAACCTGTTACCAAAAAATAAGTCTTCCCAAAGTTAGCCACGTGTTCGCCATCAAGGAAGGAAGATTTTTTTTTTAAATATTCTTTTCAATAATAATACTAATATTTTATAAAAAAAAATTGAGGAGATAAACTTTATAATTGTTTTTTATATTTGTTACTATAATTTTATTTTAATATTAGCATAATTATTATATAATACTATTATGATATTTTTTAATTATATTATTCTTTTTACAGGTAAAAAAGTTTGACTGATAACTATTCTATTTATTATTATTATAAACTCTCATGATTTGTGAGGGGCCACTATTTGAAGAGAATATGAATAATTTATTTATTTTTTTTATTTTTTTTCATCTTTCTATGCTACTTTTGTCTGTTTTATGTTTTCTTTTAGTAGTAACTTTTAACTTTCTCTATCTGAGTTTGCCCGTTAGATGTTTTATTTCTCCTGACCTATTACTTTTATTAATTGGGAGACAACAAACTTATACATAATTTTTAAATTAAATATTAATATTAAGTAATCTAAATATTACAAGTATTATATATTTATTATATTATACATTTAGCAACAAAACCGTTTTTATATATTTAAATATAATATTATATATAAAAATAATTATTAACTAATAAATATACATTAAAATGTTTCATAAAAGTTATTTATAACTTTATTTTATTTTATATAAATATATATACCACTACTACAAAAAAGGCTTTTTACATCGGTTAAAATGGACTTTCTACGTCGGTTAAAGCGGCGACATAGATACTGGAGGTCATAGAAAGTAAGGCTTTTTATGTCGGTTCCTAATAATCGACGTAGAAAGTAAGACTTTCTATGAGCTATTATGATCGGTCAAACTGGTTCCGATCGGTCATAGAGCTATTCTGATCGATCATAGTCTGGTTCGATCGGTCATAGGAAGACTTTCTACGTCAGTTAGTCGAGGAACCGACGTAGAAAGTCTTACTTTGTATGAGCTATTCGATCGGTCATAACCTGGTTACGATCGGTCATAATACTTTCTATGTCGGTTAACATCGATAACCGACATAGAAAGTCTTACTTTCTATGTCGGTTAAACTTATAACCGACATAGAAAGTCTTACTTTCTAACTTTCTATAACCCCAGTATCTATATCGGTTAACAGTAACCGTGATTGTATGTGTTATCAATGTCGGTTATGCCTATAACCGACATAAAATGTTAAACTTTCTACGTCGGTTATGTCATTAACCGACGTAGAAAGTACTTTCTACGTCGGGTAATGACATAACCGACGTAGAAAGTGTTATTTTTTTTTAAAATACCTGCATTTTCTTTACAGATGCTACCTTTCTTCGAGTAGACCTGCCTATTCATCACAGTTCCAGACAAATATTCACAGATCCAGTACAGACAGATATGCACAGTTCATATATAAATTTGCTACAGATATATATCCAGTACAGACAGATCCAGTTGCAGACAGATATGTACATATGAAACACATTGAAATCAATATATGTACAGACAGATGGTGTGCATGTGCTTCATCACATAATACCCGCACTCATTGCTTCCCGGTTGGCGTGGACACTACAAGTTAAATACATGTCAGATTAACTTTAAATGACAAATTGAACAACAGTAAGAGGTGTTTGGTTACCTTTGGTGCAATATACGTCAACTTCTTTCTAGCATGAGATGGAAGGTCTTGCAACCTTAGGTGAGCTTCCAAAGCTCTACAAAAGGACAAATAATTTTGGTGTAAGTAGTGCACATATGATACAACAATTAAAAAAAATCAAACTTACGCGTCTATGTGCTTTCTAATATCCAAATCATTTGGTTTCTTGTGTAATGAACACAAGAGAATCACAAGAAATTGCCGAGGAACAATGATTATGAGCTGCCAATGACCCCTGCACGTTGAAATAATATTAGTAAAATTTCAGTTTTACATAAATGTGCATTAATTTATAAGATGTATACTTACTGATGCAAGTAAGGTGCTAAGTAGACTTCTTTGCCCCCAGTTTGAAATGCCTCTATTAAGTACGTTTGCACCTCTTCAGCTTTATTCCCAACGGACTGAATGGCAACAGGGTCAACAAATCCATAGAGAAAGCGGATCTTCCTCTCAACACACAAACGATGTAAATACCTTCAACATTGAAAATAAATAAAGTTATAAAATAATGTACCAGTGAGAATATAAAAAATATGTAAATATACTTACATTTCCCAAAGCTGCAACACTGATACACATAGCATATCAGTACCAGCGAGAATATCAAAAATATCCCTTTGGAGTAAGAAAAAAGGGATCGTCATTTCCAGGTTGTCTGGGACCCGGGATCATCAAAGATAACATCAAGTACTTACGTTTCATACACAACCACGGAGGTAAGTTGTAAATAACTAACACCACAGGCCATGAACTATGTTTACTGCTTAAATTTCCATATGGATTCATTCCATCTGTAGCAAGTCCAAACCTAATGTTTCTTGGATCATTACCAAAATTCTGGAAGATGGAATCAATTTTTTTCCATTGCAATCCATCTGCCGGATGCCTCAACTGACCATCTTTAATACGACTATCTGCATGCCATCTAGTGAGCTTTGCATCATTTCTATTAGTGAATAATCGTTTCAACCTTGGAACAATGGGAAGATACCATAACACTTTTGCCGGGTTCATTATATCATTGTCAGAATCACCATCCTTCTTCTTGTATCGTGATTCCCCGCATTGTGGACATTCGTGACAGTTCTCAAATTCTTTCGTGTACAACACACAATCATTCGGACATGCATGAATTTTTTGGTACTCCATACCCATTGGACACAATATCTTCTTAGCATCATAATTGTGGGTTGACAATGTGTTACCTTCGGGGAGCATGTCACTCAACAACTCAAGCAATTCCGTGAAACTTTTATCGAGTCCACCCATTCTTTGCCTTCACATTGAACAATTTTAGTACCGTAGACAATCGTGTGAACTTAGTACAATTTGTATACAAAGGCTCTTTTGCATCATTGGACAACTTCTCGTACACATGTGTATGTTGGAAGGCATCTTGTCCAAGCTCACGAATCATTTCCTCCAACTGATCATCCATCTCTAGATCAACTTCTTCTTTGTCTTCTACACTTGGCATGTTTAATAATTCACCATGCCATGTCCACTTTATGTAACTCTTTAGGAAACCATCACAAAGAACATGTTCCCGAATAACTTCGATCGGTAATCTTCGCTCATTCAAGCGAGTTAACACAAGGGCAATAGAATCTTCCATCATTATCCAGAACATTCATCTTAGCAAATTCAAGGAATTGTTCTACTCCACTCTCATATTCATTTGTTGTTCGTCTATAATTGATCCAACTCCGATCCATTGTTACAAATCTAATTTTCAAAATCAAATTAGCTACAGCAACACGAAATAACTACATTATAATGCCTACACGAAATCCAACTCCACTCTCAAAATAACTACATTATAATACAAATCTAATTTTCAAAATCAAAATCACGAAACACATTCAAATGCCTACAGAAACACATTCAAATGACTAAACTACTTACAATACATCTCTAAATTAGCTAAAGGCACCCGTGATGTTTCCCTCTCTTGACAACATTATTACTTACTAGATTCAATACTGTAAACCTACAATGGCTAAAGCAAGCACGAAAACTTACCTCTTGAAGACCTACAGAGGTGGCAGGTGGCGTGACGTGCAGAGCTGGGTGGGGAGAAACGTATCCCAGGCGACGGGCACCAGTAGCAGCAGGCGGCACGAAGCGTTGGCAGGTGGCGTGACGAGCAAATGTGGGTGCGGAGAAACGTACACAAGCGAACGAGGAGCTCTGCTATGGGTGAACTGATGAAAAGAAATGGAGCGTAGGGAGAAACGTACAGGGGAGCTCTGTTATGGGGGAAGTGATGAAATGAAATGGAGGGAAGGAGGAGGGTAAAACAGAAGATACTATGTCGGTTGCTCTAACAGCCGTCATCAAAGACACTTTCTATGTCGGTTAAATTTTACCCGACATAGAAAGTTCACTTTCTATGTCGGTTAAATGTTACCCGACATAGAAAGTTAACTTTCTATGTGGGGTAAATCTTAACCGACGTAGAAAGTGAAATTTCTATGTCGGGTAAAATTTAACCGACATAGAAAGTGACCTTTCCACTTACTATGTCGGTTAAAACTTACCCGACATAGAAAGTTTATGATTTTATTACAAAAATGCCACCGCGCCACATACTATGACGGGTGGACTACGACCGTGATAAAAACTCGTCATAGAAAGCTATTTTTCCACTAGTGTACACACAATATGATTTAAATTTTACATTATATTTTTTTAATTATATGATTATATAATTTATTTTGAAATATAAAAACTAAAATTATAAATATGTCAATAATTATATAAAAAAATAAATATCTCCAAATTTAATATTTTTATCATAAAATATTAAATATTTTTTTGTAATAACAATATTCACCTAACTAGGACTAATAAAACAGTCAACATTATTTTAATTTTAATTTTATATTAAATTAAAAATCAAATCAAACCAAATTATATTTGATTCTGAACTTTGATTATGGTATGAAAAGTTGAATTAAGAATAGTAATATATATATATATATATATATATATATATATATATATATATTAAAAGAGAGGAAAAAAATAATATAATACTCATTTACAAAAGTTGGCACCCACATAATAATATCTTTTTATATTTTATCTCTAATTGTGCAAAAAACAAAATGACACATTATTTTCACAATGATGTTAAATTAATACAACAATATTAATTTTGTTAAGAATTTTTAATTTTAAGTATCATCTAAAGAATTGTAACAATTATTTTTATTTAATTTAATTTTTTATAAATTAAATCTAAACTTGTTATTATTTAAGATTAAAAATTGGTCAAACACTTTAAAAGATAATAAAAAGAATTGAGGTTAAAATTATTATAATGGTAAATAAAATGAATTTATCTTTTTATGTAATTAAAAGTAAAATAAACTTAAAATTTTATTATACACCGTTTTTAGTAAAAAATTATCTTTACAAGTTAAAAATAAATTTATTTTATTTTACTTATTTTAAAATAGTCAACCCACATATTATATATTATTTTTTATATTTATTGTATTAGTTAAGTTTCAATTTCTTTTTATATTTTTACGAATAATAATATTTCTTTGGTATATTTTTTCATATTAAAGAAAATAAGGACAAATGTTTTTTAATAAAAAAATTGTATACTGTATTTATATTATTTTGTATATTCTATCTTGTAAATTATGTTAATTGTTTTCTATTTTTTCATAAAAAATATTTATATATTATATTTTTCTATAGTTCATATCAAATAAATTCTTAATCATTTATTAAAGTAAAAAAAAAAACCTATATAAAGATTATTAGATAGATAGATTGAACCAATTTATCTGAAAAAATGATCTAGAAATCTCCATGAATTTTAAAAATTTAGAGTTTAGTTAAGATTATATAAAATTTAAAAAATAAATTGATTAAATTTTTGGATCAAATTAATTTTAATAAAAAAATAATTTTTTAAAATATATTTGTATTGAATAATAATAATAATTATTATTATTATTATTATTATCTTAAATAATTTATATCAGTTTTAAATAATAATTATATTATATTTTTATTTTACTTTTATGACTCATGATAAATTTATTAACTATTATTATTATTATATATTTATTTTTTAAATATTATTAATTTACTATAAATATATTATTTAAATAAGTTTAATAAAGTCGATTAAATTTTTAAATCTAAAATTTATATTAGACCTGAAATTGATAGATGGTAAAAAATAGATATAACAAGGTATGTTCTAAGATATTTGAGTATATACTGGGTTGAGTGAAGAGTTTTTTTTTTTTTTTTATAGCAAAACTATTCATACAAAATATTTCCACCACTTTATAAATCTAACGATAGAGTATCCACTTTAAATCATAATTTTTATCAATAAATTCGAATAAAAAGATTATTTTATTTTAATATTTCTCAAATCAGTATACGATAATAAAACAAGTACAAAATTAATAAACTGTAAAAATAGCTTTTATTAAAAAAATATATAAAAATGGTTTTTTATTTATATTAATAAAAATAATATCAGTAGTAAATAATTGATTGTTTTAAAATATGTTGTAAAAAATTTAAAATTAATATGTGAATACCTTAACATATCCATTACTCAATAGCTCTTGTAAATCCCTTGAATGACCTGTGATTAAAATGGAACCGAATCCTGAGTGTCACTGAGTCACAGAGTCCCACTATAATGAGTCATCGGTACCAACTTCAAGTTCAAGCCATTATCGTCACCTCCTTTCGCCAACGCCACTTTTCCTTCTCTTCCCGTTACGCTGCCTCAAGGTTCTTTTTCTTCCCACCCCATTTTTTTTCTTGAACGTCTTATAATACTGCTGTTGCACATCTATATTTAAAGTTTTGGATTTTATTTTCCTTCTTTCAATTTCTTAACTATTCTGACTTTTTTAGTTAAAGGGTATCGTTTTCTAGTTTTTGTTGCGGGAAAAATATAGAAATGGAGGAAGTGAAGGTTGCTTCGGACTTGTTGGTGGGTGACCCCGCTTTGTTGGAGAAGAAAATTGATGCAATTCGTTTGGGTGGTCCCCAGAAGCTACAGGTTTCTACATGCATTTGGTTCATAATTTAGTTAAGCGCTGTATTGTGTATTCCATATCTTTTCTTTGTGTGCTTAATGAATTTACGTACTGTAGTAGTGTGGTGAGGTGATAAATGCGTACAATTTAAAAATTGTTTAGCAATGTGTTGCTATTTTTATGATTGTATTGACAAATTCCTGGTACCAGGTTATTGCTGATTTTGATGCCACTTTAACTAAGTTTTCGGTTAATGGAACTCGTGGTCAATGTATGTTGTTCCCCCAACATTTTATTTCCCCCTTTTGGTCCCTTTGACGCAAGAAAAAAATGAATTTCATTAGGAATTCTGCTACGTATCATATCTAATAGAATCATTTGTACTTTTGTAGCCAGCCATGGCCTTTTGCAGCAGGGTAATCCAGAATATGATGCCAAAAGGCAGCAGTTATATGAATATTACCATCCATTAGAATTTTCGCCAACCATTGGACTTGAAGAGAAAACGAAGCTCATGGAAGAGTGGTGTGTGATTTATTAATGGTGGACATATAGGCACTAAGTTAAACAGTGATTCATTATTGACATTAATTCTTTTGCTGAATCTCTAAATCTTGTGTATCAGGTGGGGAAAAACACATGCATTGCTTGTTGAGGGAGGACTTACATATGAATCGATAAGACAATCAGTTGCTAATGCCAACATAGCTTTCAGGGAAGGTGTTTCTGAACTTTTTGAGTTTCTGGAGGTATATTTCCCATCCTTCTTTGGCAGATATAAGTTCTCACAGTACAATTTGATTGGTTTATTGTATATCAGGTTAATTTATGAAATGTAACATAGACATGTTAATTTCCAGGCAAGAGACATTCCTGTGTTAATATTCTCTGCAGGGCTCGCCGATACCATTGAAGAGGTCTGAAAAATCAATTTTATTTTATGATGGCAAGGTTGCAAACATATTTTCTTCTCTATTGTTGTAGATGCCTCCCATTGCAATATATTGTTTTATTTTTCTTGATAATAACAGGTCCTCAGGCAGAAACTTCACAGATCCTTCAAGAATGTGAGGATAGTATCCAACAGAATGGTATTTAATGACAATGGCAGCCTTGTATCATTTAAAGGTAATTCTATGCTTCCTGCATTGATTAGCTACATATTTGTTGGCATTTCATCTCAGTTTTCATATCCAAATATCTTTTGAGGCCAAGGCATTACGTAAATGCCTTTACGTTTCTTTTTTAATAGAGAAAAATAAATATAGTTATTTACTTCTATTTACACCTTGGTGAGTGGGTTGGGTAAAATAACATTGCAAAACACAGAACACAATGGATGATATATCACTTTGTGTTGGGCGGAAAATATATTATACGTACTCTATCATATTTTGATAATTTTTTCCTTTCCTGTGAGAACAGACAGCTAAATAAATTTATCTTATCTCAATACCTTTTCATATGTGCTGTATCGTATAGAGTATAATATTGTATCAGAAAATCTTGGCTAAGCTTATGCATTATAATTTGTACCATGGCAGGTTGCTCAAACAATGCGACCATTATTTTGAGTGAGAACTAGATATGATCCCTGCCTATACCAATGTCAGCTAAAGGTTTTCCAAACACACTTGAACCTAGTAAAAATCCCTTGATTCCCAAAATGTAAAAAAATTGGATACATGTATTACTGGTTGCTTAAAGGCAGCAAATTACATTCTAGAATTTCTACTCTCTAACTGTGGATATTTTCATTACAAAACCAATGATACCACTTAATACTAACGGATCCAAAATTGTATGGAAAATGACTCAATGTTGGTTAAATTGACATTTGTCATTAGTAAGTTCTATGTTTACTTTCTAGAATTGGATAATATATTACTCTTGCAATTTACAATCAACGGATGAATAAATCTATTTCATGCAAATCCAAACCTCTCACAGAAGTTAATAGGGAATTCAGAAACAGAAACCTAAAAGCAACTTGCAGAAACACAAGCATTGTCTCTACACCCAGTCCTGGAATTATATTTTTTCCTTAAACTTAAAATTTAAAACAAAAATTGATATCGACTTTCATGTTATGAGTTGTGTTACATTGTAGCTTATGGCTGAGTTGTTGAAAGTAATTTTTCATATTCCAGTGCATGTTGTTGAATGAGATTGGAGAGTATTAAGGATAAAATAAAATTTGGGGGGCTTCTAAAGATATAAATATAATTCTTACTTTTTACATGTAAATTTTATTACAGGGAAATTGATTCATAGCTTAAATAAAAATGAGCATGCTCTTGATATGGCAGCTCCGGTTCATGAGAGGTTTGGTGATATGGATGGTCCTACTGACGACAATGCCTCATTGAAGAAGAGGACCAATGTTCTCCTTCTTGGTGATCACCTTGGAGACTTGGGAATGTCAGATGGTTTGAATTATGAGACCCGAATATCCATGGGATTCCTGTAAGTTTCGAATCTGCCTTGCCAAAGTTTTTTACTTCTAGTTGTTTGGGTAACATGTAAATTTGAGCTCAGCTAATGTCAATAAAGGTACTTGTAATGCGACTTGATCTGTACCATATTATTGTGACATTTTGAGGCCAGTTATGCAGGATACCTTGATAGATTGTCAGTTTTTTTCACATTCAACAAACATCTATATCAAACTATTTATCTAAACAATTATGGCTTTTAGTTTATTGAATGCTTAACTTCTAGACTTGGACCAATCATAGAAGGAATTGTTCATTATTTTTTGTATATGTTGGTTGCATTCTGTGTCATTTTGTATTTTGAGTCGTCATGTTTGGCCTCTTTGTTCTCATTCTATCGAGTCTCTGTTTCTCAACGGAACTTTTCTAGAGTCAACATGTTGCTGTGGCATTTGTACGCCAAGCTCAATTCATTTTATTCACCCTTGTTACTGATTCTATTGTAACTGCCACTTTTACTTCTTTGTTGCATTCAACTATTATTTGGTTCAAACTTGTAGTGCAATTCTTCTTGGTGGATTTTCAGCAGTGGGTATTACTAGTAAATTTGTTAGCCTCAAACCTTGTTGTTCTGTTATGCATTCTGACTGTATCTAGTTTTCTTTTTTGTCGTGTATCATGTTACATCAATTTTAAATTGATTTATGATGGATACTGAATTCAGTCATGAGATGACATTGTCACAACAATAATGTTAAAATTTAATCAACTGTCTTGTCCAAAGTTTGATTTTGAACACAAATTAATTAGTAACTTGTAGATATTAGTGATTTATGGTCTGTTTTGGACAATTTTTTCCATAAACACATATAGGAGAGAAAAAATAAAATGAGATTCTTCTTTGTTTATGCACAAGTTAAAATTAAAATTTAGTAAAGTTATATAAGAAAACCTCTATAACTTACGGAGAGGTTCATTTCAATTTTTCTTATTTTTATCCTCAAGAAGGACTTATGGGAAAAGAGGATTAGTTTACTGGGCTATGCTTCTGTTTGCCAGCACTTGTGTAAGTTTGTATCTGTTTTTATTTATTTCTTTATTTGCAAAATAGTAGGGAATTGGAAATTGGCAATTACAACTAGTGGTGCTTAATATGGTAGCAGGATTCCAGTTATGGAAATTATATTTTTATGTCCTTTTCATATCCTTCCATGATCTCTTGTTTTTAACTTCTAGATGCATTGTCTGAAAATATACATCCATTTTTCCTAGTTCTTGTGGTAGTATAAAAAACTGTAATTAATACAGATGCTCATTTGTATAGAATTATTGTTGTAGGAACCACAATATTGAGAACTCACTCAGCTGCTATCGAGAAGCTTTTGATGTTGTTTTTGTGGTAAGTGGATTGGACGGATGTTAGAATATCTTTAGATCCTTTGTTCCTTTGGTACGAGAACAATCCTGTTATGTTTTTTACTTTGATAAGTGCCGCTGCAATTGTGAGGAATATAATCATATCAAAATAAATTAATGCATTGATGTATGTTCATATGTGATTTGGTTCTAACAATTTATGTTTAGTTGAAGTGAAGATATCAGAAGAAAGGATTAGGTAGCTAACTGTAATTTGCAAATTTTTACCTGCAGAATGATGCACCCATGTGGGGAGTTATCAAATTGGTCTCTCAAATGTGTTCAAGTGGGACATGATTATTTCCAGTTTTGGTATATTCTTAGCAGTCTCATTCTTTTTTGCCTTATATATCTTAGGATTCCTCCCGTATTATCTATAGTTTTAAGAAAATTGTTCTCAATCTCAACCATTAAATTAAGCTTTAGTTTTCAGTGGTTTAGGTTTGATATGGACACTTTCATGGCATGCCCTACAATTCTTGTCGTGTTGTGGACTTCAACGCTACCATCTTTCCTATGAAGGTCTCTCTTTTAGAGCATTTTTTTTGGTTGTATTTAACATGTTAGACTGGATGGTATGGTAGTTCAAAGCTCATCACAAATAATCGTTAAGCTAGCTTATTCAATTCTAAATATTTGGTAAATACAAATAACAACTATCTAATTATTATGATTTAGTAACATAGTAACATTGTTGAGAAAATAGCTAGCTAATAAATACACATAAGAAATATCATAAATAAACATATTTATATGAATTTTCAAATTAATTTAATTAATTGGTAAATCATACTTTGAAATAACTACATTTTTTTAAATTAATTTTATGTTTTTGTAATTTTTTATTTGTAATTACATATTTTGTTTCAATAATTATGATTTTCATATTACATATTTTAATAATAATAACAATCTTATATTGTATCCAAAAACATTTTCAACAAAGTTTGGAATAATATAAGTAACATTCAGTTAAGTAGATTTTATACTTTTATAATGTTGATTAACGTTTAACAATTGAAATATAATGTTAATTATGTTTTCACTCCCTAAAATTTAAAATGATTTAGATTTTAGTTTATCAAATTTAAAAAAAAGGTTTATTATATCTCTTCAAAATTCAAAAATAAATAAATTTATTCTTAAATAATAAATTTGAAGAACTAACATGAATTTTTTAAAATTATACTTGGTCCTTCAAATTGAATGCTAAGTATTAAAACTATATATTAATTTGAGAGATTAAGCGCTTGAACCGTGGAAAAAAGAAATAAATGTCTGATTTGGTTCTAATGATTTGCATGAAAAACACGATAGTTGAGTAAATGAGACGGTGGTTCATTTTTTCTCTTCAAATTTGCTAAAGAAAAGGCACGTGTATTTATTTTGTTCTTACGGAGTTAACACAAGAAAAGAGAAGTGCAAAAAAAATATGATAAAAATTTAATATTAAAATAATATTAACAATTACATAATTAAAATAAAAATAAAAAATAAGATTAAAGCAATATAATAAATAAATTTATTAGTAATAAATATATTTCTTTCATTTCTATTTTTTTCTACCCTCACTTTCCATCTTTTAATTCCAACCGAAACTAAAATTATTTATCCCAAATTTTAGAGACATAAAACATGATTAAACATATAATAAATAATGTAAATATTGTATCAAGTTAGAATAAACCACGTGAGAAGATACCAAAATCATAACTTCTGTAAAGCAAGTTAAAAGAAAATTTAATAAATATTTTAAAGATAAAAAAAGAATAAAATATAAAAAAAAATCAGAAATTAATATTTTAAAAATTATCAGTAGAAATACTTAAGAAAATAAAAATTATATGTTTGTCCAACATTATTGATAAAATGAAACAAGTTTACCAGCCAGTAACAAAATTATATGTTTTAATCATTACTGTTAACTTGTGTTACACAAAAAATCTGAATCCATTCACTTGTTTTGCATATAGCCTGTGCCAAATAAGAGTGTGGATCTTTTCACCAAAAAAGAAAAAATTGTATAAAGTGATATGTAGTAAATGGTATAATATGAAATTTATGTTGAGATGGTGTTGTTAAAAGAGTCATTTATGAGAAGTGGAGAAAATTATATTGAAGATTCTTAAAATGTTTTTATTGATCTGATGAAATTTATGTTGATGTAGACCAATCAAACAGTTTTAAATTTGATTGTTTTTTGTTGTAGTGATTTACATTGTGACATTTTAGCCTTGAAGAAGAAAAAGAACTGAAAATGGAAGGGAGTGATAAGTAACATACACTCAGTGTTAACATCCCTGAAGTCTCCAACATAATAAGACCATTATTAATTAGAAAACCAGGCCATGAAAATTCTAAAAAGAAAAACTGAATCTTCAGCTCAGGTTAATCAATTCAAATATGTTTCTAATACCGGTTAATCAGTGTACAACAAACTCAGAAGGTGAAAAGATGAGTTACCAATAAGAGAGGCATTGAGCAATGCCGTTGTTGACAAATCAGATATTCTTGCATATTTGGTTACTTGAGGTGTGTGTAGTGGAACTCAATTTGTAGTCTATGATGAAGTGGCATGGATGCTTTCAAGCCTTTCTTGACATCAACCTGAAGCTCTCTTATGGGAATTGCAGCCAAAAAGCTTTTTATGAACTCTTTGCATGACTCCTTCCCTCTACATATGATCCCCTCCTTTCTATCATTGCTTTCATTTGGGGTGACCATGAAAGATTCACCAACTACGTTTTCCTCTGAACCATTTATCTTCACTGTAACATTGAGAGGTTTTCGTTCCAATGCTTTATTTTCCTTCTTAGTCAGTTTCTCAATTTTTGTGCTTGTATCAAACTTCAAGATGTAAGCCTGATTGCATCCTTCATGTAGTCTCTCCCCCAAAGTGTCAATGATGTAGTAAGCATCTTTCTCAACCTTGAGGACAAAAAAATGGTCATTCCAACTCACTATGTACACCAAAGGCTCCCTAACCATGAGAAGTTCCGATGCACAATGGCTTATTTCCTCCCATATGCTATCAAAGGACATTGCACCATGAAGGAAGTCAAAACCTTCACTGTCAGGTTCCTCTGGGATAAAAAATCCAACAAAGGACTTTTCTGGGACTATAGATACTTGATGGATTTTGGCTTGTAGAACAGTTTCAATATCAAAGTGTTTATCTGGAAACCTCTTTATGTAGTCCTTGTTCTCACAAAGTGTTCTCCATTCTGATGATCCATCTCTAATCAGGTTATCAAATTCACACTTGATAGGCATCACAAGTTGATTCACTTTTAACCAATCAGCAATGAGAGCAACCAGGACAGCACATGCACTCTCCCCAGCAGCATGTTCACTCCTTTGATCGATTGAAGCGAAAAAGATTTGGGTATGCAGCTTCATCTGTCCATCTCGGCTAATGACCTCTTTCTGCTCCCAATTCCCTACAGTGAAACTGTTCTCCTCAAATTCAGGAACAAATGATTGACTAGTAGTGATACTATCTTGTATTTTATGCCACTGCAAGAAACACGTATACTTAAATTAAGTACAAGACAAGTAAAAATGGAACAAAACAAACTAGTTGTGCATATAATATATACCTTTCCATCAGAAGAGATTAGAAGCCTACGATCATAATCAATATCATCTCCACCCTCTTCTCCATATTGTTTTTTCAAAAGTAGCTCCCCTTTTACCTTGGAAGATCTAAAGTGCAGTTTCCTTTTTCTCCAAGAAAGGATCCGATGTTTTGAGTTGTGATACTCACTCTGATCACATGTATTATAATTCTCAACATGTGCACTTCTATAATCCAAATTTTGGTTACCATAGTAGATCCAGCACTCATCTTTACCATTAACAATTGAACTTGAATATGGTAATCCTCCTGCACAGTTCCCAGAGGCCAGAGTCTCATAGTTCAATGAATGTCTCACACAAGAATCCTCTTCATTCTCCTCTGACTTAATTGCAGCATCGTTATCCAGGGAATCTGCATCAGATGTATACCTATATTCAGAATCTTCGCTTCTATTGGAACTCCTACCATCACTTCCTTCATCTTTGGAGCTTGCCTTCTTGGCCCTTCCAGTTGATACATAATCAGCAAATATTTTTACTCTTCTCAGACCTGCTTTGAGTGTAGTATATTCATCTTTATTTGTTGAGAGAGCTTCTACAGAACAAGGTGATGAAGGAGTACACACTATGGATCTTTGCACTGCATCCAAATATTCTTGAAGGGCCTCCAGTTTTAGCAAACTAAGAGATAACTGCAAAGAAACACAAATCATTACAAGTAATAATAATAAATAAATAATGCATACACTGACAGTGTAAAGGGTTTTTAACTATCATTCAATCACAAAACGTCATATAACTTTATTGACTTCTATTGACAAGTTCTGATGGATTGATAATATAAAATCATTTATATTGACAGCACATAGAAATCAGACTCAACTATATTATTAAAAAAAAAAAACTTACACAAATTGAGAGATTAGTAGTATCATTGGTGCCAGGGACATTCAAAGGAACTACAATTTCAGTGTCTTTATCCACAGCTGCAGGCACGTATTCAGCTAAGTTTATTGATGTAACACCAGCTACATAGGCCCTGGTTTTGGGGCCTTGCTTCGATACCTAATTCAGTGGAAAAAGAGTGGAGAAAGGTTCAAACTATCGTATAAACAAAAGTAGGTATTGGGCTCAGTTTTATTCTCTCAGCACGAATAAAAATCTTAGTTGAAATGCTGTAAATAGCTAGTTAAAATATACCAGAGTATGCACTTGCATTGGTAATAACACTTCGTTAAAAAAAGGGATAAGATCACAGAAACGGAGGACAAGAACATTTTCTAACAAAACAAAACCAAGATAGAGAATATAGCTCATGCATGAAGCATTACAAGAATCAGATCCATAACTTTTTAGAAAAGAATTATCATAATAAAATATTATATGAATCCTAAAAAATAAATATTTTATCATTACAAAACTGAAATTTATCTAATCAGTTAGTTCCATTAGAATTGTGGAACTTAAAAGAGAATGCACAACGTGTTCCATTTTGTTGTACTTGTGTCAATAAAAAACATTTCATGTGCCTCATCATGGCCCATCATCAAACTATTTCAAGTTCTACAAGTTCATTTGTCCACAAATAGGTCATAGATAGATCAATGACTAATCAGACAGTGTTCCTGACAAGAAAATTCTATTAAATAACATTCCCATTCTAAGAATCTCATTTTCTTGAAAACCTTTAAATGGTGTCTTTCTCCTTTTTGGTAGTGTAATAAGTTTTCCTGGTGACAACCTAAGTCAAGACTAAACCCCTCATCCGCCAGCAATCTTAAAGGTATATTCTCATGTCCAGGTGCATTTAAGGGAATTAATGCCCTCAGGTGTTGGTAAGTTTCAAACCCAAGAAACCAAAAGTAAAAAGCATGCCTAATAAATAAGGACACACCACAAGACACGAATATTGTAAATATACCGTAGATATAGAATAGAAACATCATAATTTTATAAAGTTAACATAAAATATAAAACTTTATTAAAAAACTAATATTTTAAAAATTAACATCAATTTACCTTGATTAATTTTCATTTTCCTTTTCATATTGAATAACCCTTTCTGCAAAAGGGTGCAAGTAAAAGAAAGATGTCACTCAAAATTACTAAAATTGTCCCAAAAAATCCCTCAAATCATGCTTGACAAATGTGCAAGCAAGGAATGTCTAAAGGGCATTTCACCATTTCCTTCATGTTCTAAGTCTACCAGCTACCAAGCGTATTCTAGTCCCCAACACAAATAAAATTCAATTGTAGCCAAAGAGCCTCAACTTCTGAAGCACCTCCAGGGCTAAGCAAGGCACTGTAGTGTTGTCACTGCTTAAAAAATGACAAGCCATGATTTAACAAAATATATATATAAGAAGAAGAAAATTCAACGTGCATGGCCAGTTCATAGTCCATTTGTAACAACCAAAAAGGGAACTAGTATCTTATAATTGAAATAAATAATAAAGAAGATAATAAGAAGACAGAGTGAATTTTATAAATTTAATAAGAAACTCACGTTGGAGACTGTGAACATGACTTCCCATGGATAAAACACGTTCTCCTTACACCTTGTAAAGGTGCACACATTTCTAAACTCCTGATTCCATTCAACTACTCCTCCTGCATCACCTGGACCCTCTTCTCTTGTGAAACTTCTCTTGATGGAGCGCCTCAATGACTTCAAGGCCACACCTTTCTGACCCTTCCATTTGATTTCAACCACCAAGGACCTCATCTCTTCAACTTTCTCCAAACCTCTTGACCCTTCAATCCTGTGCACTGTCACAACTGCCTCAAATTTCTTGGAAGAGAGAGGTGGCCATGGAGGCCAACTCATTATCTTCATCACCATTGGCTGAAAATTGGACCCTTTAAGTTTTCAAACCAAGACCAACAATAGTAGCACTGTGGTGTAGACCAATGGGAAGGAAATTGTGGGGTGGAAAGGAAAAGTCTGTTCTGGGGGGCTACACATGAAGCAAAAGTTTGTATCTTTTCAGCAAAGGGGTGTCAGTGATTGAGTAAAGTTCACACTCACAAGGTTCTGAAACAGGAGGAGAGAGGAGGTAACATGATTCTGAAAGCCGGTTGAAAACTTTTTGAGGGTGAAAAATTTGGAGGTACAAAGAATGATGGATTTTGGAAATGTAGAATATATAAGGTTATTGTGACACAGTGACAGCAAGATTCTGAAAATCCAAGGCTAGACACTAGAGACAGGTTGTTCATACACAGTTGGAAATTGGAGTGAGTGGAGTCTGAGAGAGTGCCGGCCCTTCTCTAAATCTCTTTCCACCTATGTTCCAACAAAGTACTACTAGACAATCATAATCCTTGTATGCATTCTCCCAAATTTACAAAAAATCACTCTTGCTGTAACACCCCAAAAGCAGAATGACCAAAACTCATGTTGCATTGACTTTCTTCCCAATATGTTTATCTATGCTGAAACTTATGTGTTGATTAACATCTTCCGAGTATCAGTTGTGACAAATTCAAGATAAAGTGCATTTAGCTAGAAAGATTTAAAAGCATTTTTATTTCCAAAAAATAATATTTTCCTTTCTCATTTGTATATTAGAATTTGGCATCGTACCTTGAAATTTGTTGGAATATTTTCTCAACTTTTATATAAACATGGTTAAATTGTTCTTCCGGTTGAGTTACAAGATTCCAAGCTCTTGTTTGCTTGTGGTGTGATGTGGTATTAAAGCTTTGATCCTCCACCAAAGAGGAAATGTTTTTGAAAACCCTAACAATTAAGATTTACTGCCATTGATGGTTAAGTATAATCCTATTTGTTAAAATCTTAAACTAACTACTTTCCTAAGATTTCATTAATACTTCCTACAATAGAAATCATGTTGTCACGGCTATTTGTTTGTGACAAACTTATCCGTACAAATAAAAATAAAACAAAATGAGTTTTTTCATAGATTATAAATAATTACTTTTTATACCAATTAAAAATTAAAAATTAAAAATTTAGAAACTTTAGCCAATTTGCTTTACAAACTTAAAATATTTTTAATTTATAGAAAAAAATAAATTCTTCTTTTACAAAACTAATTATAGTTTTATCTTATTTTTTTCAAAAGAGTTTACGCAAAAAATTTCCTCAAATATGTCTAAATTAATATGGACCTTCAGATTCAGAAACGTTGGCTTGTTTTGACGGTCGAACCTAATACCAAAGTCACAACCATACAACGTTAACGTTAAGGAATAGTATTTTAAAATATATATGGGGGTGCAGGAAGGAAAAACCCATTTGAGAACTAAATGAATCTTAATTCAGTTATAAATTATTTTGTTCCAAACATCATTTCAGTTTCCATTTATGTTTCTATCAATCTAGATTTGTCTTCAACTTTATATCCTTATCATTTTACATTATTTTTGAAAATTTTAATTTACTTTTTTTTTTATATATATATAAATCTTGTCTAATTATATTCTCAATTTTATTGCTTTACTTTAGCTTCCTTTCATGTCTTTTTCTTACTTTATTTTTTTTCGTTTCAATTATTTCATTTTTGTTAACAATTTTAATCTTATTTTTTAAATATAATCTATATTTTTAGTTATGATTTTTCATAATAAAAAAATAATATTAAAATTAAACCAAATAAGGGTTGTGATTAAAAAAAGAAACATAAAACAATGTATCTCAATTCACATTCATGATCCTTTCGATTGAATACATGGCATAACAAACTTCAAGAGTCACAAATCTTATTATCAACTATTAGGATTAGGATTTAGAGTTTTGGTAAGTTTGTTTGTATTTATTTTTTAAAATAATTAGTTTTTTAAAAAATAAAATAAATGTTTATTTTTTACGTTTGTTTAATATGCTTATTCCAAAAACTAGCATATTTTTAATTAAAAAATTATTTATTTCTTGAACATGTGCTTATTATTATTTTTTAATTTAAACAATCTGGTTGATGAAAAATTGTCTCAGTATCTTTATAATATAAAAGTATTGGTTAATAATTACTCCCTTCGTTTTTTTATATGTTGTTTTCTAAAAACTAAGGAATGTAATAATTTTCTTAATCTAAATAAGATAATTAGATGATATTTTATTTATTTCTTATTACAATAATTGTATCTGTGTAAATTAATAAAATAAGTGAAAAATAAGAAAATATTCTTCTGGTGTATGTTATAACAAATAAACAAATTTTAAAAATCGTAATATATTTTTTAAATAAAACTTAACAAAAATTTAGAAACCGTAACCCGTCAATTCCCTCTCTCTCGCATGCATACATACATACATATATATATATATATATATATATATATATATATATATATATATATATATATATATATATTTAAATATTTAATGCAATTAAGAAACAAAAAGAGTAGTGTTTAACATGTAACTACGTGTTAGTTAATATTTCATTTAACTCTTTTTCACTTTAATATATAGGGATCTTTATTTCAAGTCATTATTTTATATTTTAAAAATCGCAGTTCACACATAAATGTGATCGAAATTCTTAAACACATCTAAAAATTAAGTTTGGGTAACTTTTTATATTCTTAAGAACACTTTTTGAATTCTAGATTATTTAAAATAAAAGAATGGACATATAGATGTTAAAAAATAACTTCATTCTGATGAAAGTATAAATTCCCCAAAAAATATAAGGCAATGTTACTCTTTTTTTTAAGAATAAAATATACCCAAAAATATTGCTTCATGACTTTTTAAAAAACATAAAAATAGACATTACCACTTACATTTTCAGAAAAGATCTCATGAAACAAACTTCTCTTTAGAATAAATAAATTAGATTCATACTCTCTCTGTATATTTCATAATGTGAAAATAACAATAAACGTGGATGTTGGCATATATAAGCTAGAATTATAGTAACCTAAGCAAAGGACAGACAACATAAATCGGATGCAGAGTTTATTTGTATTATATAGTATGGTTTGATTGTGATGATGAGATGCTGAGATGATGATGATGATGAAGAAGAAGATGTTGTGTTCAAAGTGAACTGGAAGGGTTATAGAGGCGTTCCCCCAAAGCAACTATGAATTCTGCATACTGACAATTTGTGAGCAGACCACATAATTGATGCAGAAATTCCTCTCGAACATGATTCGCCTGTTCTAACAACAATGTTAAGTGTTCAATTGTTGCAAACAAATTGTCATTAGAGTTAGAAATTGGATTCAATGCATGCATGCATGCATGCATGAATTATACCTGCTTTAAAAATGTAAGTTGTTGTGGGGCACAGGTGAGTCTTAATCCTTTGTCACTTTCTGTTGCTGCATTATGAAGGATTTGGTGAAGTTTCTCCATGCCTTGTGCAAGAGCATTTTCTGTTTGTTGACATGATTGGACAAAATTCCAAATATCAGAAAGTTGTTGCTGAGAACACGAGTGTTGAAGTTGAGGCACAATAACCTGTTTCCAAAGCACACACACTATGATTCTATGAAGCATAAATAAACATTGTGGTAAATTTTTTTGGTCTCGTTTTAAGAAAAAACAAGCATTACCTGAAGCAGTTGTGAAGGGCGAAAGCCCCCAATCCACCACAGACTGCGTTCAGCTGTTGTGCACCAAATAGCAGGAGCAACATTGCTGACATCAAAATTTGCAGCACTTGTTTTCATCTCCGAGAGTTCAAAATAATGCTTCATGACTATGTCTATAAGACACACTAGTTTCTCATCAACAACTTCATCGTTTAAAGCACTCCGTATCTCACAAATAAGTTTGTTATGTTTTTCCAGCCAACGTCCATAGTTCATCACAAATGTTGTGTTTTCTGCGGAATTCTTAACTTTTAGTTGGTTTTAAACGTGCCGCAACAGAATCAACACTTGACAAAATTAAAACATAAGCTGACAAAAAAGAGAAAAATACTAACTTGGTCACTGTTCTTACCGTCAATTCTGAAGATTTCTTCCTTAGCATCAACCTCATTCCTTGGCTTATTTGCTAAAAATCTTCTGCCCTGACTAAACTGGTTGGATGAACTCATGATTTTCTTTGAACTGGTAACAGAAATGGCAACCAGTTAGCATTCAAGTTCATAATGCATTGATGAAAATGGGATGAAGAATGCAAGGTGAATATATACATCACCAAAAGGAAAAAGAGACCACTATTCACCAAGAATGACACCTATAATTAATAGTGCAACCCTTTTGTCCTTTTTTTTCTACCTAACACAAACAAAACACCCACTTAACACGACACGACGACATGTATTATTATTAACCATTTCATGTCATCATAGTTCTTATATTTATTGAATATTGAGAAATGACCAAACCATTAACCACCATCTTAGTACACTTTTGGCCTTTCAAACCATCGTGGGACAAAAGTACTGATGTGGAAAATCTGTACTCTACCATCATTTTTACACCAGCTCCATTTCATGCTAGTAGATTCCCATTGAAACTACTGATGTGGCTCTATAACACTCTTTCTCTCCCTTTTTTTTTATTATGTAGGTATCATCCAACGTTGTTTAGATTCTTGAAACATCACTGAATCTCTCTTTGCCATTAAATAAATAAAACTTATTAATCTAATTAATCTCACGTGGAGAAAAGAAAACACTGCTTTTCATAGTGTGGCATCCTTCTTGAGTAAGAAAATAACTTTTCAAATGTGCATATATTTGTTGACGGTATAAAATTTAAGAGAGATTGAATTTAACTTATTTCGAAGAGGCTAATGGAAGTTTGAAACTGTTATGTCATGTGTGAAACTCTATTTTATTTCAGTTGATCAATCGATTGAGGTTGACAAATGAAAAAGAAAAGAAGAAGAAAAAGGTTTTTTTCACAGAAAATTAAAAGTTGATGCAGACCTTCACCTAAATAGACAAGGCCATAATTGGTGAATGAGAACTAAGTAGTGAGACTTGAAAATTGTTTTAAAATGGTGGAGTAAGTAATATAACGTGCTATTATTTCATTAATATATATACCAAATAAAGAACAGTTTATTGCAAATCCTGCGTATCTCTGAAAGCATATAACCAAGAGTGTTGAAAATGGTTTTAATAACAAAATTGAATGTGACATGAACAATTCAAGTCTTCATTTTCTACCAAATTTCCATGTGTGAATGTAACTAGTGGTGGAACATGACTGAGGATTTTAGAAAGATTCGAAAGATGGGTGGATTAACTTTTCAAACCTTTTTCTTACTCTTACCGACTAGACTAATAACTTATATATATATATATATATATATATATATATATATATATATATATATATATATATATATATATATATATATATATATATATATATATATATATAGCTTAATCGATTTTATTGCCTGTATTTTAGGAGTAAATATATTTATTTTTAAATTTATCAATAAGATTTTAATAAAATATTATCTGCATCAAATAACTTAATTTAATACACATATTTATGTTGTGTAATGATTGCTTTTAAGTCAAGTGGTTCACCAATTCAATTGCAAATTAACAAGTATATTAATAAATTAATAATACATAAAATCATATTAAAGAATCATAATTTTTAACAGCAAAACTAAAACTAAAATATTATGTTAATTATAAATTCGTAACATTAAGAAATATATACTTAAAATTTGATAATATACACTAATATTTGTTAACAATAACAAAATTATTTCTATAATAAAATAGTAATAATGAACATTATTTTAAGTTAATTTTTCATCTTCAAAAGACTTCAAACATTTTTTTTTTCGCTATGAGCCTGTGAACTAATTTTGTACTGATTTTTAAAATTTTTTGAGCATTTTTTCTTTAGATTATTGGTGATGTATATTGGACAAAATACTCAATCGTTTCACCAAAATTTTGATTAGAATAGTCATTTTAGTCCAAATTTTAGAATACTAGCACGAATGTAAGAGAAAAAAAATCTTAGTACGAAAAATAAATATAGATTGTTAGATCTTATGATAAATAATTAAGGTTAAAATATACAAATAATCTTAGTCTTTTAAAAAGTTGCATATCCCTATGTGTATATTAGAGCTTTAAATATATAATCATTTAGAAACAAATATTATTTATTAAATCTTATGATTAGAATTAAAATGCTGTTTTTAAAAAGTTATATATATATATATATATATATATATATATATATATATATATATATAATTTCTCCAATCATATTATTTACTTTAAGAAAAAGTTATAGTAATGATAAAGTACTATTTTTACAACACCCAAAAAATATTTCTCCTTAGTGCATATATAAAAATGGAAGGGAATTTTATTATGTTGTTGTATGAATTTTAAATAATTTGTTATAAAACAAAAAATAATTTGTTACAAATAAATAATTAATTTCATGTTAATAAAAAATAATAAAAACAAAAAAAAGTGAGATTATTTTATTATTATTGTACATTTTATATAATTTATTTATTTTCGTGACCTCTTTTATTTATTTGAATAAAAAAGTGATTTACCCTTAATTTTTCTTTTTCTTCGTTCACTCAAGTATCATATGTGGACTTTTTTTCATAAATAATACTTGTTTTCAAAAATATTTACCAAAATAGCACATTTGCAACTTTATTTACACAAACTAGCACTGTTTACTATTCACATAATAAAATAATATTATTTTGCGCAACTGTTTACTGTTCACGTATTAAAATAATATTATTTCGCGTACTGAACTCTCGCTCAAGCGAAGGAAACCTTCGCTTGAGCGAGGAAATCTGTAACGAAGGGTAATCTGGGGTAAATTCTCGCTCAAGCGAAGAAACCCTCGCTTGAGCGAAAAGTATGATCGATTATTATCCAATTATAGTCGATCACTTTGACATATATGACTTTAGATAGCGGTTATATGGCCAACCGCTATCTAAACAACTACATTAGAAAGCGGTTAAAGCTAACCGCTATCTAATATATATTTTTAAAAGCGGTTGTTAGCAACCGCTATCTAAGGTGACTCGAGCGAAAATCACCTCCCTTGAGCGAGGACACCTGGAAAAATGGGGGACTCTCGGGTTCTTTATCGCTTGAGCGACATTATGAACGCTTGAGCGACAAGTGATTCTAATATGTGGTGAACCAAGTTATATTATTTGGCTAACTGCGTTTGGCGTTTCATGATTCGGTCATTACTCGCTCAAGCGACAAAGTCACCGCTTGAGCGATGAAGCCTTCAAACAAGGGGGACTCTCGGGTTCTTTTTCGCTCGAGCGAGAAACCATCGCTTGAGCCAGCAAACCTGCAAATATTTACAATGCTGAGTCACCCACCGAAGTCAGGATTCCCATGTCTTTCTGATGCACACAAGTAAAGAATCCAATGCTGAGTTACCCACCTAAGTTAGGATTCCAATTTTGGATTCCCTGCATTGGATTAGACAAAAAAGTAGAAACCATGTGAGGGAGCATTGGATTCCAATCTTAGACAAAATCTTGGATTCCAATCTTGGATTCCCTACATTGGGTTAGACAAAAAAGCAGAAACCATGTGAGGGAGCATTGAATTCCAATCTTAGACAAAATCTTGGATTCCAATCTTGGATTCCCTGCATTGGGTTAGACAAAAAAGCAGAAACCATGTGAGGGAGCATTGGATTGAAACCAATGGACTTCATTATAAATAGACTACTTTCATTCTTTGAAGTTCTCACATTGCACACTCCTAAATCTCTGAAGCTATTTGCATTATTTCTTCTTCTTATCTTTAGTCTTCTTTGTGTTCCACACTCCTCAAATGGGTGTAGTGTCTACTATTATCCACTATGATGGTTTCATGAACCCATGTCCCATGGAGGGAGTTACCTTCAATACTGGGACGGCAAAACTTGTTCCTTTAAAGAGAGGAATTTCTCTACAAAGGCTGAAGAAGTTGATCCACAAGAAATTGGAGAAAGAACCCCATGAAAATGTAGCAACCATCCATTTTTGCTGTCCAACTAGACTCGGAGTTGGGATCAACAACTTCATTGCTGTTGAGTTGAAAGATGATGACGACGTGGAGGCCATGTTCGATGTGCATGATTCAAACTCAAGTCTATGTGGTATTGAAATTTTTGTTTCATTTAAAACTTCTTCTTCTTCATACCCCAACACACACTCACCAGAAATTTCACCCTTACCCTACCAAGCTTTGGCAAACACTCACCCAGAAATACCCACACATAATGACTACATCCCTTTGACCCAACTTCTAAGTGGCCCTTCCACCAACATCAACGAAGAACTACCCACACAAGAGAACGAAATTGTTGGCCTCCCAATTGAAGTCGTTGATCCTTTTAGTGAGGATGAAGACGAAGATGAAATTCTCAGCCAACACCAAGATGATTCAGAGGACGAACAACCACATATCCCTACACATGCACCAAACTTCATGGAACCATTCAACCCACCACAACATTTTCTTAACTTTGAAAATCACATTCAACAACAAGACCCAGAGTATGGTCATGCGTTGGACAGAGAGTCTTTTGTTTCTCCGGCAGGAACTCTATTTCTTGGACAATGTTTCATAACAAAAGAACAAGTTCAAGATGTCATCAACCGTTTTCACATTGTCAATCACTGCACATACAAGGTGAAAATTTCAAACCAAAGTAGATATGTTGTTGAATGTGGTGATAACCAATGCAATTGGAGATGTCGAGCAATATTGCGTACAAGAGAGCAATATTGGGAGATTATGAAGCTTGAAGGGCACCATACATGCGTTTCGCCATTAATCAGCCAAGACCACAACAAGTTGGGATATAAAATGATTTCTCAAATAATTGGTCAACTAATTGATGCTGATTCGTCAACACCAATATCCACAATCATAGCCCACATCCAATTAACAACGGGTTACACTATAACATACAGGAAGGCTTGGTTGGCAAAACAAAGGGCAGTGGAGATCATCTACGGCAATTGGGAGGATTCGTATAAGAAGTTGCCTTGTTTGTTACAAGCGATGCAACAATTTGTTCCCGGATTCATCTACAAACTGCAGTCACAACCAGCTTACCAAGGTGAAGTCCTTCAACAAAATTCCAATATTTTTAAACGTGTGTTTTGGGCGTTTAGGTCATGCATAGATGGATTTGTTCACTGCAAGCCCATTGTTCAAGTGGACGGAACTTTTTTGTATGGAAAATATAGAGGTACCTTGCTGGTTGCAGTAGCACAAGATGGCCGCAACAACATCCTCCCCATTGCGTTTGCAGTGGTTGAAGGTGAAACAAGTGATGCCTGGTCATAGCAGAAGAACATGTCCCAATATAGCAGAAGAACATTACAGAACTGAGATGAACATTACAGAACATCATAGTAGGATTAAAAATGTTCATATTGTCATACCCCTGGTCATAGCAGAAGAACATGTCCCAATATTGCATGTGCATCTACTTCGCATCATTAGATTGTGTTAGTTAAGAAATGTCTCAATGTATGAAACTTAGGAGTTTTTCAATTAATTGAAAATGATGAAGATCTTATTGAATCATTTGATAAAACGAAGATCTTATTCAATGTATGTTTAAAAAGTTCAAGCAAACTGATTTTAAAGAGTATTTTCATAACTGCTGCATTAATTAATCTGTTGAAAGTTTGTTTTAATCTGTTGAAATAGCCGTTTCAACTCTGCAGTAGTCAACAAGTCACCCAGATAATTGAGCTGAAGATTTAGTGTGTCTTAACAGAAAGTTTAGGTAAAACCATTTTACCTTTTCTGCTGCATAAAGTTTCTTCATCATTTTGCAAAATGCCTCAAAAATAGTTTTAAACAAATAAAAAACAAAAGCATTTTGACAATGAACTTTCTTAATAATGTTTTTAACTGATATAGTTTTAAAAGAAACGATTAAAATCACTTAGAATATTTAAAGAAGTGTTTTTACAGTATTTTAATCGGTACAAACTTCTTTTAATCGATTAAAACCACTTTGGAAGTCAGGATAATCGATCAGAATGAAATTATGACCGATCAGAGTTGGTTATGATCGATCAGAATTGAATTATGACCGATCAGACCTATTTCAATCGATTAAAACGAATTTCAATCGATTAAAATGACTTGAAAATTTTTGTACAGAGTTTCAATCGATTAAAACGCGTTTCAACTGATTAAAACAACTTAGAAAAATTCTGTGCAGGTTTTTAATCGATTAAAACTTCTTTGTATCAGTTAAAATAACTTGAAAAGTTTTATATGAAAGTTTTAAAGCAAATCAATCGATTAAAACTCGAATCAATCGATTGAATCACTCAGAAAATGTTTGTAAAATGTTTTAACTGATATAAACATGGTTGTATCAACTAAAAACATTCTGTTAAAAACAGTTTTGCTTGTCCAATGGTAATCTTGTCTAATGGTAATCTTGAAAATGTCAATCAGGGGATTGCTAAGAAGCGGAGGAGAGCTCCAGTGGCTTTTTCTCAATCTAATAAAAGTGCCATTTAATTTGACGCCCCAAAATACGAGAGCAACCTCCAAATTAAGAAATGGGTCCAGAGCCTTCAAGATCAAGGGCGTAAAGAAAGCTCTGGATATTGAGGAAGGTCGATTGTAACGAAAAATGGGAGTCATCCACTGGAGGAGGCTTCGTATCCAGGAGAGATGCTTCGAAGGTCCAACAAGTGGTCGACAAGTGTGAAGAAGAGAATGTCACAAAATGAAGGTAGTTCTGACTAATGCATTGGTGGATATAACGAGAATCCCCCATTTTTCCAGGTGTCCTCGCTCAAGCGATGTGATTTTCGCTCGAGTCACCTTAGATAGCGGTTGCTAACAACCGTTTTTAAAAATATATATTAGATAGCGGTTAGCTTTAACCGCTTTCTAATGTAGTTGTTTAGATAGCGGTTGACCATATAACTGCTATCTAAAGTCATATATGTCAAAGTGATCGACTATAATTGGATAATAATCGATCATACTTTTCGCTCAAGCGAGGGTTTCTTCGCTTGAGCGAGAATTTACCCCAGATTACCCCTTCGTTACAGATTTCCTCGCTCAAGCGAAGGTTTTCTTCGCTTGAGTGAGAGTTCAGTACGCGAAATAATATTATTTTAATACGAAATAATATTATTTTAATACGTGAACAGTAAACAGTTGCGCAAAATAATATTATTTTATTACGTAAACAGAGTGCTAGTTGTGTAAATAAAGTTGCAAAAAGGAGCTATTTTGGTAAATATTTTTGAATTATGAAATTGCCCCATCATGTGTTTCTCTTGTCAATTTTATCGAGTATTTCCTCAGAATTCTCTCACTTCCATTTTTTATATGCTCAGATGATACAAACCTAGAACCAACCCTATCTCTGCGTGGCTTCTTCATCTTGTTTTTGTGCATTTCTCTGTTCAATTCTACTCCGAAATTCGAATATTCGAGAAACGCTTCGACCCAGACAAACTTTAATTTCATTTTAGTATCATTTTAAGGTTCTTGTTCTGTTATCTATTTATAATTTTCCACTTCAATTATCCAAATCTGACATACCCATTTCGGTATTCTTTTACTTTTCATTGATCCAAGCTGATTAAACCTCGTTTCGTAAGTGAGAAACTAGAGTGTAAGAATGCATATGGCTATTACTCTATGTAATTTTACAATTTTTTCTTACCTTTAAAAAATATCTTTACCTATTGATACATCTTTTTTATCTTATGTAGAAGAATTCGACAGATAAGCCATGTCTACCCAACATCATCAACATTGCCTACCATGTATAGTTGGATGCTTTTAGAATTTCCCATTTCATGAATAGCTCCAGTGTTTAGAGTTTTGCGTTGATATGTGATAATATATATTATTGATAATTGGTTATCTTTTTTTTTTTTTTTTTTTTTTTTTTTACTTTTCACCATCAGGAAAATATGAAATTTTGATTAACATTCGTTTTCTTCTTTATATGATCTTAAAACACCATTTGTGACCATGACTTCGGCTGCAACATGAAGGATTTTTTACTTTCTGTGACCGGAATTGTGGCCACAATTTCCTGCAATATTGAAAATCTTAATGAAACTGCAGCCAAAGTTTCAAATCTTGATTTTAATAGTAATTCCGTAACTTTTGTGATGCCACGACCATAGCATTAATATCACTCTCAGTAGGATTGTATCCTTTTTATAATCACTTTTTACCTCTAGGGACAGAAATAATCTATTTTCACGGTTTGTTTCCAGACTTGACTAAGCATGTTTGTTAGAGAAGATGGAATGATTAAACAAGCATGTCCAGTTGATGTTCGAGTCATTCCATAAGTTTATCTCCAGTACAGACCATTTTGTCCAAGAATGCAAAATACATATACACCTGTAAGAAATTATCTTCAAATCCAGCCATACTTCTTTTCTGCTGAGAATGAGACTTCAAGTGCAGAGCTGCATTTCACAAGGGATAGATATGAATCAAATATGAATGATTTGCCGATTCTTGCAAATAATGAAGGTAAGTATAGTATTAACTGGTGCAACTTATATACTTCATCTGTCCTTGCAGGCATGGAATTTTATTCTGTATCATGATTGTTTATGTCTGGTTATTTAACTTCTCTCATTGATTCTTGAAATATCTGTTGTTGTGTAGCTGTGGTTTAATTGATTTTGGATGTAATAGACTTTGGAAAAATGGACTGTAAGTGTCAATTCCACCTAATGCTTGGATAACATTGGGTAGTGCTGGAAAAAAATAATGAGGATTATTTGCCTATTTTGCAATTATGCACTAACGATATATTTTATGATTAAGGTATGCTGTATCCAGTGTGTGTTGTGCAGAAGATTATGTTTAATACATTATTGGTTTGCATTATATACCGTAGGAGAGGATCCAAATTCCCTTGAATATTAAATTAAGTAATACGTTAGGAATTTCACTTTGAGTATAATCAGAAGCTTCCTGTGGTACTTGAGTCTAGGAATATCAAACAGTCCGGCTTGGCCTGTCCGGAGGGGCCAAAAAGAAGTTACATCATACCAGCTGAGCCTATATTTATAAATGGGTTGTAATTTTAGACTTGGTAGTCCCAATATAATGTTTTTTTTTTATTTTTCTCAAAAGCAAAGGCATAGCTTGCATTAAGGATAGAGTATTACTACTAATAGTCTTTGTTCAAAAATGCATTTCAATGTTAGTATTCTAACTTCAATTTGACCTTACAGTGTTAGAAATAGTGCACTATAACTGCTTTGAACTATGACATGATATTTGTTATATCATTTAGTTCTATTTAATATTTTGTATTTTTGCCCATGCTGTAATTTATCAGTTTCATTGATGGGTCATATTTTTCTGATTCCTTGTTCAGTATTGAATATTAGGTTTCAATGTCGTATGGTTACAGCAATTTCTCACAAGTCTTACAAGTCTACAATTTAAATTCTGTGATACAGCTGAAGGGAATAATGGGATAGAATCCTATGTCCCGGATGAAATGAGTTGGGACCTGAAATTCTGTCGGATGAACCAAGCCAACGAAGTAATGGACCAGCCTCATGAGCAGAACATGGAAATTGGATATGAAGAAAGCCGACCACTACCAACCTATGAGGGTCTTGAACAAAGATTTATTGATGAAATCATGATATTAACTAGGGAGAAAAGTGACGCTGAGGATGCAGAATTTGCTAGGCACGAGGAGGTCAGTATTTAGTAGAATTAGTATGTGAATCTTGTTCAATACATGGAATAATTTAGATTAAATTTATGGTGTTAGATATAAAAATTATTTGTGTGCCTTCACAAAACTTGATCTTTTGGGCTAGTTTGTTCATGACATATAGGAACATTATGCTTTCTTTGCAAAATTAAGATTTTATTAAATCAAAATAATATTAGAAATGTGAATGCATAATCTATCGATTACATAAGGGGAAAAATTCATTTATAAAATACTGAGGATATAACGTAATTTGGGTGTTAGTAGGGGAATGCTTACCATTTCACCTCTAATAGTTTGATGACCTGTTCAATTTTAAAACATTTGGAGGTAATAGTCAGAAATATTTTATCTTATTCTTATGTTATGCTTTTTAATGTTTATGTATTCATAGCTATGATGGTGTAATCAGTACCTTGAAGTCACATGATTTAAAATAACATGGAAAAACTTTTGGCGAAGGCAATTTGTTCTTTTAAGAAAGCAGGCTTAGAAATTACAAAAATATAACATATACAGAAAGTCATGTTCTATTTTCTTTATTCAGGTGATTGTGGTTTGATTCTTGTATGCGTAAATAACTGCCATTTCCTTGCATTTCAATATAGTCAAATTTGGGACCAAAGTTGAAATTAGAGACCCTTTAGCATGGAGCAACGGAGCCTATTGGCATTCTTCAGGGAACAGAAAAGCTAAAAAGTTTTTCTGCCTTATGGACAAGGTCCATTTGTTTAACTCAATTGTAGAGCATTCTGAAATAACAGGTTTTGTACAGTGAGTCTCCATGGAGGATAAGAAAATTCAAAATTAAACAAATTATTATATAATTTGTAAATTTGAGGACCCAACACACAAGCAAGGAATAATGATTTATAAATGAGAAACAGGCATAAAAAGCAATTGGATAGAATGAATTTTATCAAATCCAAGTAAAGCTAGAGAAGACGTACAATTGGGTGGAGAATCTTCTTGTCACTGATGTCACCACTACCTGTGAATCTTCTATTTATACACATGATTACATCTTCTACTTGACACTATGAAATGAAGAGATTGTCATGTTCATATCATCAGTTGATGAAATGAACATAGGTCAAGTTACGTACAAACAATTTTTTATTAAACCAGCTCAAGCTTTGTTGTTTTGCAATTCGTAGTGGCAAAATTATGAGGCTATTTCAAACTTAATGCATATTGTTGTGGCAGAGAATCCTTGAGATAAACACCGAGTACCAGGAAAAGTTATCTTCACTTAGAGCTCTACAAGCAACACAGCGAGAAGAGTTTCTCCGGCAGGAATTACATGCAAGAGTGAATCAATATCATGAAGGTAAAAGAAACCACTGCCCCAACATGAAAGGGGCCGATGCCTATGGCTACGTATGACCCCTAACATTCCCTGATGGAGAAGCAATTGGTAGTTCTTCTGGTGGGAGAAGTGGAGGAAACGAGGCAAAGGTTCCTCTACCCCCTGGTCGTGTTTACAGTAACAGTGCTGTGTATCACTAACTAGACCTAATCATAATGGACTGGAGACTACTGGTAATTGCACAATCGTATCCTTGCTGTGGTAACAATTTGCGCATAAAGGTTAAAATATATTTTTCATCCATGTTAATAATAACATTCATTTTCATTTTGGTTCCTATATGAAAAACGCTTTAAACTGATCAATGTACACACAATTGATTTTAACATTGTCCCCGCGGGGATTGTTGTTCTAAGATTAGAATTGCATCCAAGTAGCTGCCATGTATTGCATTCATAATCTGTTGCATGACACAATTTCAACAAAAACAGTACCAGATAATGGGGACCTAATCGAAAGCAATTGTTTGACCAAGGGATTAAATTGAAAAAATTAAATCCAGATTAAACAAATACAGAAAAAAAAAATTTGTTTTTTTATTGATAAACTTCAGCATTCTGCATGATTTAAATATATTCAGAAAATGTAGTGTGCAAGGGGACAAGGATATGGCATTTCCTATTCTTGCATCATTACCTTTTTCGGTTGAGCTTACATTTAGAACATTGCAGCAAACGGTTACTGAGGATTCACATTTATAGAAGAGGAAAATAAATTGTGTTGAAGAGCCTGAAATAAAATGACAGCATTATGTCACTTTATAAACTACCGAAATAACAAAAAGAGAAAAGGTTTGCTTAAGAAAACTTATTATTTTTATTATAACTTCTTTATTTTTACCTTTTTAAACATTTGCATACGAAAGAAAAAGAAATTACGTTATATACAAATTTTTAGAATAAAAACAGAAGTAAACAAAATATCTTCTCAAGTTAAACTTTCATTCAAGATTCAACACATGGTCGTACTCATCTCAAGATACATTTATAAAGCTTTGTTATGATACATGCATGACTCTGTAACATGACAGCTCGCTGTTTTACAATTCCATATTATCTTGTTTATTTATACCAAAAGTATACATTCACTGTCTCGTTTAATCTGTTTCTACACAAAAATACATTTTGTTAAAATATATGGCAACTGGGAAACAGAATGCCTTTCGGTAATAATCATTCCACAGATTGCTCGCCGAAACTGTGAAGTTACAACCATTTAAGCTATAAATTGATTCTAATGCTGGTTACATTACTAGTAACAATGATACAATGATCTTTGCGAATATCCTCAAGAAGTAGTACAGCACATGTTTCTTCATATCATACTATTACAAAATTGGGAAAACATCAGCCTTGTATTTCTATTTTGAGTATGGAAGGTCAAAGAAGACTGACAGCTTGCACATATGCAGAATAGCAACAACAAATCTTGTCCAGACTGCCAAGTGAGCAGCAATAATCGGCAATGACTCTTTCAGAGCTTATTTACTTCTTGCACAATAACAGTAGCTTCCAGCACTGATAAAAGGTAATCATTTTCTTAAACAATGGTCCTACTTCTTTCTCGGTTTATGTTTAACTTTCACAATTTTTCTACCAGATTTATCGCCAGCACCTGAGCCCAATGAGAAACTCCCTCCTAGACTGCTAGAAGCCTGAAAAGGAGAAGGGTTCTGTGGAGCAATATTCTGTTGACTACCAAACTGGAAAGGACTGGCTGCTGGCGGAGTTGATGCTCCAAATACAAAATTTGATTGAAGTGGGGCAGGTTGCCGACCAAATACAGAAGTGGCAGGCGGAGCTCCTTGAACTGTATCCTCAGCCATACCATCTTCCATACTCATCTGATTATTAAGAGGAGCTGAGCCAAATACACAGGCGGGAGTAGGACTTCCAAAAGCATTTTGTGCTGAGGTAGATGCTGTGGCTGAAGTGAATGAAAATTGAGTAGTTGATGCATTGGAGGAAGATAAAATCATTGTTGGTGAATTGGCAGAGGCAGCGGATGTCCCAAGAGAAAACCCAGAGGAGGATGCCGTGGACAAATTAAATGAGGAACCAAATGGAGACTTGCTGGGCTGCCAACTAGACCCAAATAAAGTAGAACTTGAACTACTATTGGAGCTAAAGGAGTTTACTGCGGAAGAGGAAGCCGAGGTACTGAGTCCAAAAGTTGTGCCGGAATTGAAAACATTGGTGGTAGGACTTGAAGGAAACAATGAACTCCCAGAAGAAAAAACTGCACTTTCTGCAGGGCTGGATGAAGGCGATGAAAAACTGCTCAAAGAAAAAGTTGTGTTAGCAGTTAACCCATATGAATGGGATAGTGCAGATGAACCAAATGGAACTGATTGGGTCTGAGTACAGGCTTCTAACGCACTGGTAGTAGAAGAACCCAGGGCACCAGGCACAGAGCCACTGCTAGCACCAATCACAGAAGTCGGCTGGCTATATACAGTTGTGATTGCGGAAGAGCTGAAGCCAAAAATACTACTCCCTGAAGCTGAGTTACCGACTCCTGCATCCTGACTGCTTTTAGTTTCCCGCGGATCTGAACCAGAAGATGATACAGGTAAACCTGTTGAAGGGACTGGAGAGGATCCAAAATTGAAAATTGAAGTTGTTGGATATGAAGATGCCACCACTGCGGTAGATGAACTGCTATTACTTGATGCCATTGTGGCAAGTGTGATAGTTACCATGCTACTGCCATTAGAATCTGCAGTGGCATTAATGCCACTGCTTTTGGCAGCAGATAAACTGCTGAATATATTCTGACTGGTAAAATTACCGGACACAGGGGGTGCAAAAGAAGACAATGAAGGACTTGAAAAAAGAGAACGATTATTTTGATTTGAATTGTCGGCAAAATTGAATATACTCTTGGATGATGTCAATACCGATGTTGATGCTGCAGATGCTAGTTCGGATGCCCTAAAAGACGATCCAGTATCTTTATTAATCTCAGCATTACCATTATCAGATTCACGAGCTATTGGCATAGAATCAGTCGCACCACCAACATTAGTTGTGCTGCACATGAAAGGAACACATTTAGCACATGAATCAATGTAATAATTCACTGAACATAATATATGATGCCAGATATTTTCCTCAATTTCAATTGTACAATGCAAAAAGAAAAGAGCAATAACAACAATTTTGATACATCCCGGAAATATAACTGGAATATTTTTTATGGTTGAAGGCTGTAAAGGAATGAGTTTCAGGTGATGCAAGAAGTTAAGAAGAGAGAGTAAGAATCTAGTGATTCTAAGGTAGAGGGGTGTGGTTTAACTGAGGGGAACATGCACAAGGTTTCTATGTTCAAGCTTAGCCTTGAAGCTTGGAGCTTTTTCCATGGCTGGGAGCTAAAGCTAAGATCGTCCCTTACTGTATTTCTGTCTCAGTTTTCAATAATACCGTCTTGAGAATTGTCTTAATCCTATCATATAATCAATCATTCACAGTATATTGACTAGAATATTATTTCAAGGGAAACCAAAGAAACTGAGAATTTTTGGCGAGAAAATTTACTCATCAAATAGGTAGTCCTCTCCATAGTCAAACAAAAGGTGTTGTTGACACTTTCCAAAAGTCATCTGATAACTACATTAAAGTTAAATGCAGAAAAAACTGTTCGTAGAGGCAAAACCCTCTTAAATAAACAATATACCTTGAAAGGCATTAGTATCTTGCTGTTGGTGATACCCATGCCCTTGATGAAAAATAAAGAAATAGAAGTAAAGGAAAGGAAGAGCAGAAAAACCCCAAAAAAACAACCTAGATATCTTAAGATTGTGTTGAGGTTTTTTCAAAACCACAATAAATTATATAGACTAACCTGATTGAACTTCCCAGGTTTGAGTCAGAAGCACCAAATTTCAGAAAAGAGGGATCACCACCAACTGATGATGAAGTTGTGAATAGCATTGGTGGAACCTTGTTGACATTTTTATTGGAGCTAAATTCCACCAATGGAGCATCAGCAACAGGCTGTTTCTTTGATGAAACAACATTTTCCAACCCAAATGCAGGACCTGATTTGGTTATCTCCTTTGGTGGAACACTAGGAGCTGTAAACTCTCTCGACAAAACCACTTTATTCCCAAGAGAAAACAAGGGAGGTTTAGCAATTGATCCATTTGGGGTAGCAGCTGCAACTGGCTTGTAGGTTGGATCAAGGCTAGATGATGTCGTAGAGATAGAGGCATCAACATTCTCACTGACCATCGATTTATTGGTAGTTCCAATATGAACTTCACCATTTATTGTAGAACTTTTAGGTGCCATTGTTCTAGATAATGCTGATGGATTATCCTTTGTAATTGCTTTGGTACCAGAAGTAGTTTTCCTCATCACAGCAGTGGAGCTTGTCATTTCTTTCTGTAGAGGAGAAAAAGAATCGACAGTTCCATTTGGATAAGCATCATCATCCAGATCCAGAGAATCCTGTTATAAGAGAACAAGATAAGAAAAAAAATTAAATACAGCTATTCAAATAATACCCAAGAAACAAATTAGTCATGTGGATAGTCCTGCTTTCGCTAGTGCAAAAATTTCACACACCCCAATACAAAAAAATGTTTTAAATCATGACAACTAAAGAAATCAGTCATTTGGAATGCCCTCTTCTTTTAAATCATGACAACCATAAAATGTCTCATACCTCATGTGCACTCATATGAAATGCCCTCTTCTTTTGTGGTGGATCAGAAACAGGTTTTATCATAAAAGAATCCCCAGATTTTGCAGTTGAGAAGACTTGATTCCTTGGGTATGTAGTTTCTGCATTTGTTACAGGTGGAAGTAATCCTTCGGAAGGAGCAACAAGCTTCAGCGAACCATTTTCAACCTTGTCTCTCTGAGATTTTAACTTCTGATTCTGAGCACCAGCAAAAAAATTTCCAAATGGGCCATCTATGTTGTTACCATGTATATTGTCCAGCAATTTTGATGAATCTACAATTTCCATGCTTCGAAGAGCCTGTCCACGTAACATGGAAGGCGACAACTTTGTCAGTGAATTATCATTCACAATAGTTAGCGTTGATTCACATGATTTTTCTTTTGGAGAAACCAACTTATCCAGTTGTTGCAGTGTTTTTGAAGTCATTTCACTGGATTTTGAGGGCACCGGGGGATAGCTCAAACTAGGTATAGTGTCATGGACATTTTCTTTGGATAATTTCATATGGCTATGCTTAACCTCATCCAGCGGAATAGGCTTTTGCATGGAAAACCCTTTCTGTCCAGCATCCACAACCATTTGATACCTATCGACAGACAAATAGCTACCCAGTGAGCTTGAGCCTTTAGAATATAGAAGATTAGACTTCTGACAAATTCGTCGAACAGGACCAACAGATCCTATATCATTATCCAATAATGAACTTCTACGTTTTACTGCCTGCAAAAATAAGAAAACACAACACACAACTCTATTAACCTATCTAAACAATACACTGAGAGACAAGACATAATTCACAAGTACTCATACCCCAGGTATAGATCCAGAAAGCACATCATGATTCAATGCAGGCTGACTAGAAGATGATGGCTCACCTTCAACAACATGTTCACCACCCTGTAAAACAGAAACCATATCATAAAATTGATCCTAGAAACATTATTATCCAAGTGTTCTTCAGAAAAAAGTAAACCTTGAGAATGGATGTTGGATAATTTCGGGCATAAGGTGTTTGAGCCATATTATATATTGCAGATCTTCCACGTGATCTTGAGGTCATAAAACCATTCTCATGAACTGCAGCATATCTAGTAGTCCTTGGCACAATGGTCATAATAGGAGATTTAGGAGGAAATTTTTCACTGTTTAAAAGAGTTGGATCCTCCCTGAGTGCAAAAGTTTGCACACCTGAAATCGAAGAGGATACCTTGGAAGGCCTGCTACCCATGTAAGACTTTGCTAGCTCCGCAGGTGAAGCAACATCTTCAATAGAGAACTAGGGACAATACAAAGCAAGGTGTTAGATCAAGCACAAAGAGAACAGTAATTTCCAATCCACGAAACACAACCAAACATATATGTAAAGTAAGACTATGAAGGCATGTTCTCATACACTTGAAATAACATGTGGGGTTACTGTAAGACCATTTTCAGTCCCATTTTCTGGTACAGGTGTTTTGGGATACTCCTTTTGTCCACTTAGCAGCATTGGTTCGGAGGTAACCCTGTCAGTCCCCTTCTCTTCTTCCCTAACAGGTGCATCCACAGTTCTTGATCGCATAAGTGCTGTCAAATGATCAATCTCAGATCTGTGGAATAACAGACAATATCAGCACATAATCAAAGAAAAAATATCACAAGAGGTATATCATTATCAACGTAATTCCAAATGCCATAAACTGTTTACAGACAATAGGAAGAAGTAGAATCAAATTGATTGCAATATCTTCATAAAACATAAAAATTAACATATTAAGTAAAAAAATCACAAATCATTTAAATAAATGAAAAAGTGGATTAGAGGCACTGCAAAGAGCAGCTTGGTTGCACAAATAAATTTAATCTCCCCTGATATCTCCTATTTTTAGATATTTTAAGTAATTGCTTAAGCCATTTTATTTCACATATTGCAGTTGCTGTGCCTCACCATTCAATTTCTGCACTGCATCTAGGAAATATATTCTACTTCTTACTTCTCCATGAAATACCTTGAAGTGTAATATCTATCAGGCAGTGGAAGCACATGGGAGAAGGGCTTAGATCCTAAACTACCAATACCATGTTTTGATTTGAGTAATGGTGTCTTGAACCAATAAACACATACATGTATTTATAACTCTATAATACTTAATAATGAATACAAACAAAAGCTAATCACAATCAAATCCTATGGATGTTAATATGTGCAACATAACACACGTGAAGAAACTCATACCTGCTGAAAGTCTTCTGCTTTAATAGTTTCTCAAGTTCAGTTAATCCACCGTCAGCGGAACAATTAATTTGAGTACCACTTTCACCAACATGTCCTTGTTGCATGCCAGAGGAATTGTCTTCGACCTGTTTCTGAACATAATAACAAAGAAAAATGAAGACAACAAAAAGAAAATTATTTCACTGACCGATTTGGAGCATTGCAGCTCCAATGCTCTACATAAATCAATAGAAATGAAAAATAATTACAGAGGACTGCTAGCGATTCAATGAAAAAGGAAATTGTTTTCCAATATTATCTTAATGATTCTATACAAAAAACACATCAAGCATACCTCTACACACAAAATGTAGATCATTTCATGATATAACTTAACCTCCCCAATACACAAGGAAAATAAAATAGTGACGGAGTATCAAGAGTAAAAATACCATTTAAGATAACAAAGGTGCTACCCCCAAATAAAAGAAACAGTACAGGAACTAGTAGTGAATATTATAAATCACCCACCCATTAAAAATTTATAATTACCAGTAATCATAACATTACATTACATGCAAAGTTATTTTTTAGCTATTAAAAATATGTTTAGAAGCTTTAATAACTGTTCATTAATGATAATCTTAATATTTATTTAGAAAATAGACAGAGTAAAGAGAAGTTTTACAATTTCAAATTAAAAAATAACTACCAATCGTAACTTGCCTAAGCTATAGATATTATATAGTAGTATATATTACAAGAGAAATACTGAAGTGCAGACTATAGAATTACAGAAAATTTCAAAACGGAAAAATATATATTCATTCAGGTTAGTTCAAAAAATTCTCTTAAGCAGCATTTTCTCTAGAGCACAAATCTACTAATAATTAAAGATAATTCTTCAGTATATAACAGTAATTAAATTCATAATGGAATACCAATGACACTTGTCATGAGGAAACAATTTCAAAGCATATCAATCAGCAGATTTCAACTTTTGTCATTGCAATATATATGAGTCGAATTCACTTAATCTCTTGATAAAATGATTACAATAACAAAATCAAATATACTGCAAAATCATTCAGCATACTGGAATATACATGAGTAACACAACTGAAAACCTTAGCCCAACTGTTTCAGCTTTGTCTAAAGGAAAAGTGTTTAACAATTAAAAAATTAGTAATTATGTGTTTTTTGAGAGGAAAAAAAACAAAAAAGAGCTGTTTTAGTGCTTTCACAGAAACTAAAAAAAAGGCCACTGGCAAGACCTCTAAAAAACCTGGATTACAAAATTACATTTTTTAAGCTAAACAATTAAAAAATTAATTCCATACGTAAGCACGGTGTGTATCAGTTAAATGTAAAAAAGCATTTCCCTTCATCACCGCAGGATTTGGTCCAGTCTGGACCAATTTATTTTTCAGGAGAAAGGTTTGCGAGTTCTATCCCAACAAGTGATGCTACCAATCATATTCTTAACAACACATATCCTGGATTACAATATGAATAAGCTAAAAGAATCATATCCCGGTCCTTAAAATAAAAGCCCTAACCCCAGCAATAATTAAACACATCTGAATTGGGGGGGGGACAGAGGCGCGAGCATCTATTTGAATTCTTTAATGCAAAATCAGATAGGAAGTATTTCTGAACTAAACTATGAAGTACCCCTTAATATGTTTGTTGACATCAAATATAAAAATCATACGCCACCAAGATGTAAATCCCCAAGTAACGCAATGGGTACTAAAACATAGAGGGAATATGCATACTTACAAAAGCAGCCTCTTCCTGACGACTGTTCCTCGCCTCCTGTTCCGTTTCTGCGCCCACAGAACAAAATCCATAACATGCATATCAATGGTGATCCGATTTCAAATCAGCAAAGAACAATGGATAACACGAAAAAAAAAATCTTCATTAGTTCACAGAGCATTCCATCTAAATAACATTGACATTAATAAAATAATCTAAAACCGGCCCTGTGCTTTAAAAAACGAAACACTAACGAAAATGACATAAGTTGACAAGTAATTAGCGTAATGCCCCAAGTGAAGCTTGCAATAAACCCTAACAACCAAAAAGGAAGAAAAGGTGGGAACCTGAAGGAGGAGGAAGGCGCTTGCGGAAAAGGGAGGAAAAGAGAGAGTGAGCACTGTGAGTGATTAACCTGTGAGCGGGATCCAGAAGCTTGGAGAACCAACCGCCGCTGTTGTTGTGCCTGTTAGGGTTTCTGAGTGAGGTTGGGGGGCGATCGTACGGCTTCGTTTGGGTCCTGCCGCGAAAGAGGCGTTTCCTGAACTTGCCTCCTGCTCCTGCTCCCCCTTGGTATCCCTTCGCTCTCTCTTCCGTCGCCATTGCAGTGATTGGGGAGCTCGGAAGAGGGAAAGAGAAAATGCTGAGTGGAAAGTAGGGTTTTAAGCGTATACAGAGAAAAAGAACAAAAGGTATATACAGTACACATTACAAAGAAAAATACTTAGTAAGAAAAAAAATCAACAGAAAATAAATAATTAAAGAATAACTATATAATAAATAGATAGATATTAAAAAAATGATAAATGTTTTGTTTCCTTAAAAAAAAAAAAAAAGACTTCGATTAAGAGGTAATAGATAATTTACTTTTAAAATGTGTGTTTTATAATTGAAAGTATTAATGTGAAACAAATGAGACTACATTACTAAACATGTATTTGTAAAATCATAAATCACATTTTTACATATTTTTTAAGTACAAGTTTGAGCAATTATATTTCATTTTCTATAATTTAAGATTATGTTTCGTATCTCTTACTGTGATTTCTTTTTATTTTTTATTTGCTTTTGAAGATAAAAGTGCTTGGAAAAATAATATAATGGGTATTTTCTTGTTAACATTTGAAATTCGAGAATATAATTGGTTAAGGGTGTTTTTTTATAATATTTAATAAATAATTATCGAGGTAAATAATAAATAAATTTATTAATAATAAACAAAATAATTTAATTTTCATTTATTCATACTGTCTATCAACTCATTGAATCCTAGTTAGAAAATTCTATTTGCCTGTATTTTGTATGAAACATTTGCTAATACTTTAATAACCTTGAAAACAACTAATAATAAACAAGTAAGTATATAGTTGACTCTCTGGTAAAAGTTTTAGGTTTCATTGATTGGTAAAAATTATTTAATCATGAATAACTATTTTTATTTTAAAAATATTTAACAATATTATTTCATTTGTTAAAAAAATTTTTATATCCCTGATGTAAAATATATGTGAAAAATTACATATTAGATAAAGATATAATTAACTAAATTTATTTTCTAATATAATATTTGATAACTGCCTAACACATTTTGTATTATCATTATCAACTAATATATAATATAGGGTATAGATATATGTATAGTACTGTATGTATAGTTTTTTTTATGTACATGTATTTTTTTTTTCAATTACCTATAGATTTTTTCGAGTGCTGACAGATCGTGTCATCATGGTTTTCTCCGAATATCTGAGGAAAATTAGAATCTAACTGAGGATTCCTCGATGCCTGATGAGTAGGTACGTACGTTGTGCTTGTTTTGTGTTTTGGTCGTTGATACAAAAACCTTACCTTGATGGAAAAATAGTTGCATTGTTATATCTAGTTAATCCTGTGAAGGATCAAATCCAAAGTTAAGAGCTTGGAAGCTTTTTGTATCTCTTTTTTTTTTTGCAATTTCTCCCTTAATATACTGGTTGAGGAGGATGCACAATCTTCCCCGGTGATACTCATTTTCTTAGTTCAGAGATCTCAATTGATAACAATTTTACGGTTTCATAATCAATGCTACCAAAGAGGTATTTTTTCTTTGGTTTAGGGTTTAGGTCGGATATATGTTGAACTAAGTAGAATTATTGCTGAAAAAGGTGTTCATTCTTAAATAAGATTATGTCAAAAGGAGAATACTAGTGGAAGAAAAAGAAATGATTTTCTATGTTGTAACAATGCAATGAGAATTTTTGTTGGTGCGAATTAGGTGTTTTTTAAGTCTACCCAAATGAAATCAGGCCATCAACATGGTGGAGTTGAAACTGCTCGAACAAAGGTCGTACTAACATCATTCTCAGCTATGGTGGCTGAGACCACAACTTTCCCCATAGACTTGATCAAAACCAGGCTCCAACTGCATGGCGAATCACTTTCATCGAGTCGTCCCACTAGTGCATTTCGAGTTGGCTTGGGCATTGTTCGTGAACAAGGTGCTGTTGGCCTTTACAGTGGCCTGTCTCCAGCAATTATTAGACACCTGTTCTATACGCCTATTCGAATTGTTGGGTATGAGCACCTGAGAAGTGTGGTTTCTGCTGATAATGGTTCGTTCTCTGTTGTTGGCAAGGCTGTAATTGGTGGAACCTCTGGTGTCGTGGCTCAGGTGAGAACTGTTTGGTCTGGAAATGTGTATTTCATCATAATTCTTGTTGATTTTAGTAATTCTCTGAGTGAATAATTGAAATTGGATTTTTTTTTTACCTTTTCATGTGAAAATTTTGCGCATGAAGATAATGTTTAAAGAATAAAAGATATAAGTGTCAGTGTGGAGGGAAAAATAGAAAAGTTAGAGTTTCTTCATTTGCATTCTGTTGTTGACAGATTAAAGAGTAGGTATTTATGTTTCCAAGTTCCAAGAACAACATGTGAAAGATTTAATGAACATAGTAAAAATAATATATGGTCTTTAAATCAGTTCTCAGTTTTGCATTATTAATAGATTTGGTATAGCATTGGTTTTGTTGTTCTGACTGATTTTTATTTTAGTTATCAAAGGGTTAGCCTAAATGGGACTTGGACTGTAATACATTCAATGTTATACATAACATCTGCCTTTTCTTGATCCCTGTCCAAGTGATTCCACCTATATGAAGGGGGACTTTGTATGTTTTTCCGGGTTTACCACTCTTCTCAAGCTTAAAGCTTTGTCAAGTTTAATCTTACCAAGCTTTAAACTTGTCAATGATAGTACCAAATCCACAAATATAAGACAAATAACACAGCCCATCTCAACCAAAGAACTTAGAAAGGTGTGGGGTTCACATATTGACTAATAGAGAGATGCGTCCCACATTACCCACCATGTCTCCTTCAGGAGAGATAGAAGTGAAAAAATTAGGATGATTTCATCAATTAGGTAAGTAACCATTAGATATAAAGGATGAATAAAGGTCAAATAAAAACATATGAGCATTGGGATAAACTGCAATTTTACAATGATATTTTACAACAACGGTAACATGGGAAAGTTTTTGAGAATTACTTGTCTTAGCAATAAGGTTTAATTAATTGCACACCTTTAATGCTATTCTTGTTTCAAAATTACAGTGTTGTGCTGTTTGCTGTCATTATGTTATGCTGTTTGCTGTCATCATTACAGGTTATAGCCAGTCCTGGGGATCTTGTGAAGGTGAGGATGCAAGCAGATGGTCAAAGGGTGAACCAAGGTCTTCAACATCGGTATTCGGGGCCATTTGATGCCCTGAACAAAATTGTTCGAGCTGAAGGATTTGGAGGACTGTGGAAGGGTGTTTTTCCTAACATCCAAAGAGCCTTCCTAGTGAACATGGGAGAACTAGCCTGTTATGATCATGCTAAACAATTTGTTATTAGAAGTAGGATAGCTGATGATAATGTTTATGCCCACACATTAGCTTCCATCATGTCAGGTCTGGCTGCAACTTCTTTAAGTTGTCCAGCTGATGTAGTGAAGACTAGAATGATGAATCAAGCAGTCAAAAGGGAAGGGAATGTTTTATATAATAGCTCTTATGATTGCTTGGTAAAGACAGTAAAAGTTGAAGGAATAAGGGCATTGTGGAAAGGATTCTTCCCCACATGGGCAAGGCTTGGCCCATGGCAATTTGTGTTCTGGGTTTCCTATGAAAAGTTTAGAAAATTTGCAGGGCTGTCTTCTTTCTAACATAGTATTTTGAATTATGCTGCCATTCATTCATTCATCCACCATAAATTCACCACCAGTCACAGCCTACAAGGTACTAACCCCAGATTTGTACTGTTTTCAACTTTTAACTTGGTGTATAATTTTTTGGGATTAATAACACTCCTCTTTTCTAAGAGATGATTAAATTATATTACCTATGTGTTTTACTGCAGTTTATTTTAATGTGAATAAGTTTCTCGTGTGTTATTTTTTTAATACTTACTATCAATTTTGAAACTTTGGAAGATAAACTGAAGGCTTTAGATGCAATTTCAAAGCCAGTAACTGAGATATTCAAAATTTAATTTCGAAAGGTTCGATGTTTTGCCCTTGATTATTCATGGAATATTATAATTGAATACAACTCCCTCACCCTCTATCTAACGAGCCACATGGGAGCCTCCCTTCAATTATTTTTAAAATCATATACTATTATATAGGTACATACATGTAAAGAATTTTATCCTTGTCAAAAAAATGATATTTAGGATTTTATTGATAAAGCTCCACTCTCTTTTCTTTTCCTGATTTTTATTTTCGGACAAAAAATTTCACTTTGCACTCCATAGCATAAAAACATTGCCTCTATTCATTTTCTTATGACTATATTAAAATATCAACTACTATTCTGACAAAAAAAAACTTTAAATAAATAAACTAACTCTCTCACCATTAATCAAATAAAATAAATATAATATTTAATATAAATACAATACTTATTAATATTTCCAGATATACTTTAGTGGATAATTTTTTTAAAAAATGGATCAAGTTATTATTCAAGAACTCTATCTCTTTTAGGATGTCATGGTTTATTTAAAAAATAAATTCCAATGAAATATAATTTGGTGGAGTTGAATTTGTTGTTATTATATTTTTTAAGTTTTGAGTAGTCAGGATTAAAATATTATGTTATTATTAAGACTGTTAATTAAGGTAATCTCATTACTGAGTAAAAAAATTCACACTTCAAACTAATTTATATTTTTAAAATAAATTATATTTTTTTATCTAATATGTACAACAAATTATTTTAAATTTAATTAAAAAATAAAATAAAGAATATTTACTCAATATATATAACTTTAAAAATTATTCATCAGTCATATTTTTTTAATTTAATTATATAAAATAAAAATCCATATATATATATATAATAACAATAAAATAATATTATTTATTTTTATATAAAAAATAATTATTATTTTATAAAACAATTTATCCTATAAGCCTAAGTTTCCATCTCATTTAATCATGTGTTAAACAAATTAAGTTAAAACTGATCCATTAGATCATAATTTTTTTTTCTGGACTTGATATATTTTTAAGGTTTTTCTTAACCAACCCATATTACAAGTCTATTTTGATAGTGCCAGGTATTATAGAAGTTTAGAAAAATCAGACAATATAAAAATGAATATTAGAAAAATAAATATCTAAACAATTATTAAATGAAAGATGACATTAGAACCCGATGGCTTAACTCTCCATTCAACTTTTACTTCAAAATTGTCTCATTTTCGTTTCATTTGTGCAAGTTGATGTTTTACTTACTGTACTTCAATTCAATTTGTACATGGTCCATGGATAGAGAACATCTTATTTGGATAATAACAAACGACTCATTTTTAACTACCGAGCCTATAAAATCTGTTAGGATCCCAAATAGGAAAAACTCATCAACAATTGATTTACATGTGGAAAAAATAGGGATATTATACTTGTTCATTGACTGTGCTTAATCCAAAGCCCAAACCTGCAGCATGAATCCATGAAGGAAATGGGTTAGTGGGAAAGAATCAAATTATTTTTATGATATCATGATTGTTCTAATGACCATGGCCTAACCTGGATCTTGCCATCAGAGGAACCAACAAAAAGCATCATACCATCTGTATCTGATACCAATGATGTGATCTTTGTGTGACCACCTGCCATTTTGATTGAGGCAACCCGGGTGAGCTTATCCTTTAGCCAAACCTCAATGGTGCCAAATTTTGTACCAGCAAATATGAAGTCACTGTTAATGGCTATGCGATGGATGTCCAGTCCAGTTGAGAGTGATCCCACCACCATTTTGGAGGAAAGTGAAAATATCTGACATCAATTGATGGAAAAGTCAGTTCAGCAGGCAAGGGTGCATGTCCATAATGAATGACAACGACTTTGGTGGCACAGAACTAGAATTGGCATTTACCTTTCCTGCAGTTGAATCAACAGAAGAACCACAAGCAAAGAGAAAATCATCATGAATTTGAAGGGAGTATACGGTTTGTTTTCCCAACAACTTTCTTGTTCCAGAGAAGAATGAGCTTGACGTATTCTTGGACAAGTCAACCTCCTGCCATTATTCACCCCCACAATATTAAAGATGGGCAAGAAATTCTAGAGAAGTTTTTTGCATGCGTAGCCAAAGTGACTTGCTCTATAGATGAAAAAAACATATGGATGCCAGTTCTTAAGCTTTCTTTGTTGGTTGGTTTATTTCAGGTAAATACACTAGAAGAATACGAAGTGATTTAAGAAGATTCTTACCTGGATGCTGTAACCAGAGCAGCCACAGTACAGTTTGTCTCCAGCAACAGCTAGACATTTCACATATTTGTTAAAATTTATGAGCTTTGGAGCCTCTGACCAGTTAAAAACCTGTAACATCTCAAATTTTATTGATTGTATCTTACGATGGAACTACATTTCAATTTGATCTGTTCAAGAAACATTATAAGCTTGCCTTAACTCCACTTCCTTGAGATACATAGCATGCCAATTTGGCATTGGCTGTCAGCTCATACACCGGCTCCTTCACGTCGTGAACATCTATACATTTAATCTCATTCGATTTGATTATCCAAACCTGTACATGAGAAGTATCATTCAGTGGTGCATATTCGATACTATAATTAAGCTAGAGGGTTAACAAAAAGATGCACGAGTTAGTTAATCATCCAGAACTGTTCATGCAAGATGTTAATAGCATCGCTCTTCTACAGTTTTCAATACTAAGAAGAATTCAAAGCTTGTTCTATGTCAAGGACATTCATTTCTATTTACTTGTGTTAGTGAACTTGACTGACAATCTTAGTTTGGGATAGTACACTTTCTCCCTGACAAGAGAAATGCTAGTTTCTTTTTTCAATGCTCAAACGATAATGCAGTTTGTAAGTACAACGTAATTTAATCTGAGCTGCTTATCAGTAAGTTCGAAGTCAATTAATCATGAAAGATGTAAACATGCAAAGATAAGAGTCACTCATCACCTCAAATCCTAGCTACATATTTAATTTGTATGTGCAACAAAGTAAAATATTTGCTAACCAGGTATCTGACCAATTTTTCTTGTGACATAGTAAGATAGGTTTACCCGGATGGTTTTGTCTAAGGAGCCACTGTATAATCTATCATCCGAAGAACAGAGAGATGTAACAGCTTTTGTATGTTCATGAGTTTCTTGAATCACTCTTGGTATTCTCTTTTTTGCATCCCATACCTAGTAAGAAGATACCAAGTGGCACTGTTAAGACAAACAGTGAGACGTAGGCACACAACCACACTGTTTCTAATTGTTAGGACACTTTACCTTGATAGTTCCATCAGAGTGGCCACTCAAGACCTGACCGTTCATGTAATGCAAAGAAAGCACCTCTCCATTTGAACTCAAATCTAACTCAACAACTTCCTTACAACTCCACAACTCTGTCTATAAAATAGAGAATTAAAATGGTTACTTCTCTAAACAGATATATTAAACGAACTGAACTATATTCCAAATTACCATTCTACTCACCACATCAACAGAGTTTAAGTTTAGTAAGGCTTTCATAATATCAACTGCTACTGTTGAATATCTCTTCAGCTTCCTCATGGTTCTATAGATGCTTTTAGCATAAGCTCTAAGTGCTTCTTGAGTAACTGAAACATTGACCATTTTCGATTTAGTAATCCTTTGTATACAACTTGTAGATAATGTCTACAACTAATATCAACAAACCTACTTGGATCACTAATGAAAGTTTTCAAGGCTAGGCTAGCCAAGATCATCTCCTCCAGGTTCTTAGATGATTGCAGGACATTTATAAGTTCATCAAGCAAGGATTTGCGAGCAACATCCTTTATGCCGGTATCAGGAAGAGTAGAGAGCATGTGTGTGAGCCATGCGACAAGAACAAGGCAAGATTTTGCCATCTTTAAAGAATTACTCCGCAGGCATTCTTCCAAAGCTTGAAATATTGAACCATTTTCATGGTTGCAGAGTACGAAAGCTACCCTTTTCTGCCAAGAGTTCATAGCATTTTTTTCATCCTCCTACATAATAAAAATTTGTGTTAGTATGGAGAGAAATCAATTATCAATAAAACCCAAACATAAATCAAAATGCCACATAGCCCCAAACCATTGTTTCCGTTGATTCATTGTCATACTGTCCCAACTGTCCAGCCTTAATCAAAGCATTGTAAGGTTGAACAAATCCTGCAATCTTGAGCAACCAAACTTCAGTGTATGACATTCCGGAGGTAGTTACATGTCCAATAAGAAATAGTAAAGTATCCAAAGCCTTCATTTGAGTGCTTGAGAAATCCTTTTGCCAAAGTGCTTCTATAAGCGTCTCTACGGCTTCTTCCCTGTAAATGCTCATCTTCCGTGGCTCAACCTGAAGATGACAACAACAAAAATATAGTAAGGAAACACTAGAATATAAATTACATCTCAGTAACGTTAATTGATCTCAAAAGGCTAACCAGAAGATCAATCTGAAGAAGAAGACTAGCTACAGCAAGTTGATGCTCCATTGGAGCCATCTGAAGATATACAAGAAATGTATGCATCGTACTAAACGCTCCTTCATCCTTGATTGTCTGTAATATCCGGTTGCAGACTGTCCTTCTGTAATGTCGTAAAAAATAATAATAACTAATGTAATTGGTGATAGGAGAGGAATAGCACTGCTCAAAACAGTTTAGTGTAACAAAGGTGAACTACTG